TGCTGCTACAACTACAGATACAGATACATGGGCCGGGTCCGCACCCCTTTCAGTGTATGTTAGTAAGTATGTATGTATGTAAGTATGTCTGTGTGTAAGTATTTCGCATTGGGTCTCACAGGCCGCGAAAAAAAAACTTTCACTGAAGCTGATTTAAAGCGGACGCTGCTGCCTCATACTTGTCGCCGCTGCTGCTCCTGTCAAAAAGGCTTGCTCATGTGAATACACACTTCATGATGATGAGCGTCGTCGAACTTCATTAGCAGCATACAGCTCGGTTGGCTCGGAAAGCAAAAGCCATAAGCCATAAGCCATCAGACATAAGCCATAAGCCGTAAGCTGTAAGCCGCGCAATCGTGACGAAAAGCCATCAAGTGGCTCAAAAGTTGCCTCAAAGTGGATGCCTGGCCATTGACACTTGCTCGGCAGCAGATATGTGCAATGGACCGGACCGGACAAATTCACCGGCATCCGCAAGCCCCTTTGCATAGATGCGCTGGTAAACATTGTACTTTCATTTGGCAAACGTGGGCTGTGTTGCAGAGATGAGATGTTCCTGGAAACCGAAGAAAACACATGTCGACAATGTGCCCACACCTTGCGGTCATTTTAAAGTGCACACAAGAAAAATTGCTAATTAAGTCGGCCCACAGCTAAAGGCTTAATTATTATTTATTTGAATTGGCCATATTGCAGCCACACACGTATGCTCCAATTGACCAACCGGAAACACCGTTTGATCAATCAAGCCCTCTGCTTAACATTAGGCTCTCATTTTGAAGTTCATTTTTGATTAGCTGGTTGGCTTCATGGCTTTTGTTTCTGACCGAAATACCATTGAATACAACAAAAGAAAGTTGAACAATGGAGCCGCATGCCTTACAGCGACTAGAATTTGCCCAGGTCTTCATGATTATCAACTTCATTTCGTTTAGTTGGTCTTTTTAATTCACTTTATTTAATTAAGAGCGTCGTTTAACGTTTCAATAAAAAGCCGCTCAAAGTAAAAACGATGAACGTTTCAAAAAAATTTCACTTTAAAGAATGCATTGAGGCATTGAAACAGTGAGCATCCGGCCGGGGTCTGCTCCGGCCGTCTTGGGCCAATTTCTACAAAGACTGCAAAAGGTTGCCTGACCCGTCCCCCCCGAGGCAAGACATCATAAATAATGCACCAGCAACAACAACAGCAACAACAACAGCAACAGCATCAGCATCAAGGGCGTTGCTGCTGCAATTGCGTGAAAGTCCCGGAAGCTGTCAAAGCCTCAAGTTTCGACGTTATCCTCCAGAAGAAATAACTGAAGAAAAAACGACGACTGGGCACACAGAGTGGAGCAAAAAGCGAAAGGGCTGGGCACACGTGCGCACTAGCCACGGCCTAAGATCGGGCCATAAAACTGCAATTTTGGCAAAGTTTCTCAAGCCTCGCCAGAAACCCTTTCTCTTTCGAAAGAAAGCGTTTTTAAAGTTTGGCCTGGCCGTGTGAATTGGCCAATGTAAAATACGAGCAGCAGAAAGAAGTAAATTTAGCAAGTAACTGCAGTCTTCGATGGGCCAAAGCACAACAAAACAGTTTTTCATATATATTATATAATCGAGCTAAGAGCGTTTTTTATGGCTCATGTTGCGCCATTCATTTTGTTTACACTTGGCCATCAATTATTCAATCTTATGCGCTGTGACTAACCCACACTAACTTACATAAAAACAAAGAAATAGACAACTCAACTAATAATTTATTGAATAAATGGTGCAATCAACATTGTCGTCGTGCGTGGTCTATTAACGCTTTTGCATCTAGCCAGCTGTAAATGTTGATTATGTCCGTTGTGTTAGATAATAATTAAATGTGTACCATATGTGTTGCTGCCCAGCTCCATTTATAGCTGTAACTGTATCTGTATCTATATCTGTATCTGTATCTGTAGCTGTAGCTGTGACTCTTCTCGCTGCTGATGCTGCATTATTTGTGAGGCATCATCATGGAAAGTGAAAGTGTTCGTCTCACATTTGTTGTTTTCGTGCATTTTTAATTTGTATCTTTGAAGTCGCGTCGCATTCGTTGCGAGGCGTTGCTAAAATGTTGAAATATTTATGCTAATGGCCGTGGCAGGTTTGCCGACCAAGCGATTACAACAGCCACTGCCAATTTCTTATGTTGAATGCTACTGCCTGCCAGACCAACAGCCGTCCTCTATGTGTGTGGGCCTGGTCTCTCAGGTTGTGCGGCATTCCCCCCATGCAAATAAAACAATAGCTGCACAAGAGAAAATGCAATTTGGAGATTCAAGAGTTGCTTGCACTACGATTTACATTGTCATCATGGTCATCACATTGTGATTTTATTTGCGTAGATAGATTGCAAATTTTGAAGGCATTTTTAAACAATTAAAATAAATTATAATTCGGTTTTTAATATTTTCCGATTCAAATGGATATTATTTGATTGCATTTTCTAAGAGTTCATATTATAAAGGTTTTATTTTATTCAAACAATAAACGTTTTGTCAAAGTCAATTTTGAGAGTATTGTGGCATTGAGTCTAATGAATTTATATTGCGTCTAAGGTAATGGCGTCCACTTGATGTCCAGTTATATGTTCAAAATTAAGCTATTAAGGTGCAATTGACATTTACAATTGGATTTGCGTTTTCACTGAGATGCAAAACTGCAGTGGCATCAAGTTGAGCATCAGCATCAGATTGAGCATCGTGGTTTGCCGCAGCACACCCACGGCAAGTGCTTGAGCCGGCAGTCAGGCACTCAGTCACTCACTCACTTAATCATTCATTCATTTATTCATTCATGCAGTTTTGTTAGCTTACATTTTGAAGAGTTGCAAAGTTGCACGCGCTTCGTTCGCGTCGCTTCGGTCACAAGGCGGTGAATGTTGTCTACGAAAAAGGAAAATTAACGTTGAACTTTCTTTTTCTGCTGCAGCAGCAGCAGCGGCAACAACAACAGCAGCAACAATAATATAAATAAAATATGTACCCCGCTTCTTGTTTGTTGCTGCGGTTGCTTTATATGTATGTATATTCACATTGGGCTTTTATGGTCTTGCAGCTAAAACTCGTCGAACTGTTATGAATTTTACTTTTGGTTTTCAAAAGCAACACCAAAACCAAAACCAAATAAACCTGTTGATGCCACCTCGCCTGCTTGCCAGCCAGCCAGCCAGCCTGCCTGCCTGCCACAGCAACAACAATAGAACAAGAAGCCAACTCCCAACTTTAAATATCACTTAACACGGCTGATGTGGCAGCTGCTGCTGCTGCTGTGGCAGCTGCTGTTGCACGCGTCTTTCATCGTTATGGAGCCGCCGAAATGCAGTGAAAGTGTCGTTTCTCATCTTTTCTGCAAACGAGCTCAAAATCACAAGAAAAAAACCCAACTAAAAATTAATTAAATGTCAAATAATTCAGCACACAGCTTTGTGCAATGCCCCGATGGCAGATTTGCATCCCTATGCAACAGCTTCACGCAATGCGTGTGCAACGGTAATCCCGGCTGCCCCCTGCCTGCTCATGTTGCATATCAAATTCGCTTTCACTGGCTGCTCTGGAAAAGCATTTTCACACCATATCAGCGCGTTGTTGTTGCGCCCCGAAATTTGTAAGCGCATTTTCACACATTCATAATACTTTAATTAAGCATACTCAACACTTTCTTGCCGGCCAAATGCCGGCATCGAGCCTGGTCCAAAGTGATTTCATGCTGCTGCTCGCTTATCAACTCTCTTTTTCCTGATGACTTTCATTTATGCAGCGACAGCTCCTGGCCCGCCGTGCTATTTGTGCACTTTTATTTGTCGCAGTGTACTAGCCACTGGATATTGGCAATTGTGGTTTGGCTGGAGGCTACTGGTCAATATGTTTGCTCAGTCGACTTTCGGCACACTTTGGCCATGCCGGCGAGTCAATAACTCAGCAGCGGCAATAGACAAGTAGACAGATATTTATTTTGGCCATTCGTATTTGACAACGCATACAAATATGCACATAAATTTATGCAGCAATGTGTTTAAAGACAAAAAAAACGGACAGAGGAGAGTAGAGCAGGGGACGGATGTAAAAGGGCGCACAACAGCTAGCTGCATGCCACACAGAAAGACAGCGAGAGAGACAAAGAGAGAGAATTGTCGCAACTTTCCCTTTTTTGGAATGACTGCGATCGGGGTTATGATTATATTCCGAATATCTTATTGCTTATTCTTTATGGCCAATTGTTTATTGGCCTGGCCCACATTTGCAGAGCTATCGTTAGCTGGTCTTTTATGTAACACAAATTCTAATGGGCACACACGAATACAGCTCGGGCAGATACGTGACGATCGAACCGTTACAGGTGAACCAGTGAACGGTGATCGCCGATCGTTGATCGGTGATCGGGGACCGGCAAGTGGCAAGTGGCAAGTGGCAACATTGTGGCACCTGTTTGTGTGTGGCACAGTGTGTGGCTCTGTGCTGATAATTATTGGAAACGCGAAAGGGAAATGCCTTTTACTCTAAACAGTTGACCATTAAAACGATTTCAATTTCAATTTAAAATCAATTAAGATTACGATTTTTTTAATTTTTATTTTCTTTTGATTATGGTAAAAGTTAGCATCAAGTTCCCACAATGCAACATAGACTATCCAGACTCTCCAGATTGCCTGCCTCAGCTGATTTTGACAATGTTACATGAACTTCAAGCGAAAGCAGCGCAGTGCGAGCATAAGGCTAACAACAAATTACAGTAACAATGCTTTTCCAAGCCAAAGCCAAAGCCAAAGTCAACGACGACGACGACAGCGCGATTACCGTTGGCTGGCAAAACGAAAGACTTAAGCGAGAAACTTGCACGACCAGTTCTTGTTGGCCGAGGCTGAAAAATGCTTTCGTTCGTTCGGCCAGCAGCGGCAGCAGCAGCAGCAGGTCGGATGAGCACATGCCGCCTATATAAATTGTGCTGGGCCATTGGGAAATTGTATCATTTCATCCTAACCCGTCAGAGCAGCCACACAGCAGCCAACAGCAGCGTTGTGTGCCGTTTGTGAGCTAACCAAATATAACAAAAGAGAAAGTGCAACAACAACAAAGTCAATTTTTGTGTTCGGTACAAAAAAACCCCAAAAACAAAACAAAAAGTGTGCCCTTAAAAGGACTATACAACAAGAACATAAACAACACAACAAGTGCAACAAAACATAAACAAAAAACAGAATCAATATGGCAAATAGCAAAGTTATTTTCGGTGTCTTGTGTTTGGTGACGCTGACCGTGGCACTCCCAGCTGAGGAAACACGCGGCCATGCCCGCAACGCCATCGGCGGCAGCGGCGACAATGATATTATGGATAGCATCTACAGCGAATGCCTTCGCAAGGATTCCGTTTCGTGCGTCAAATACAAGCTGTTCAACTTCGTCGACAAGGTGCTGGGCGTACGCGATCAGTTCGCCCTCACTGAGGGTGTGACTGTTGTGCGCTCCCCGGATGCTCCCGTGCAGGAGGCAGCTCGTTCCATTTCTGGCGATGAGTCGTTCGAGTCGTTGGCATTGAATCGCATCAGCAGCTTCCTCAACACGCACACCATCAAGGTCGAGCTGAAGGGTGCCGATATTGTGCAGGCAGTGAGCTCAACTGGTCGCGCTCTGGAGGATGCTTCGGAATCGCTGTTCGGCAGCAATGATCCCAATGCGCCCGAGGAGAGCCGTGGCAAGAAGAAGAAGGCCGCCAAAATCTTGGGCCCCATTCTCGCTCTAGTCGCGCTGAAGGCCGCCGCTCTGTTGCCACTACTGTTGGGCGCTATTGCATTGATTGCTGGCAAGGCTCTGTTGATTGGTAAGATCGCTCTGGTCCTCTCAGCGGTGATTGGCCTGAAGAAGCTGCTGTCGCAGGAGAAGCACGTCACCTACGAAGTGGTCGCCCATCCCCATCACAGCAGCAGCCATTCCGTCAGCCACGGCAGTGACTCCTACGGCAGCGGTTACAGCGCCGATGCGGGCGCCTCTTCGGCTTCGTACGGCAGCAGCGGTCATGGTGGCTGGGGACGTTCCATTGATGCTCAGGATCTGGCCTATTCTGCCCAGAAGCCACAGGCTTAAGTGTAGTCACAACACACAAGTCACTCAAAATGAAGATGAACCACCCGGAGGACCACAATACGCACCACTAACCATCATCAACAACAACAACCAACTGAACCACTGACTGTTGAGCGATCAATCCGCTCTCACACACGGAGACAGACAGAGACTCTTAAGGAGGAGGAGAACACATATTATTTATTGTTCGTTTTAATTAATTTATTAATATAATTTATTTTATTTATTTTCCGCACACACACACGTGACAAAAGCGCAAAGCAACGCACACAAACAACTGGAAAACTAAGCGAAAAATGAAACGCAACAAGAAAGAAAGAAAAAAATCATTACAAAAAAAACAAAAAAAAAAAAAAAATCAAACAAAGAAAACAAACAGAACATAAACAAAAAGAAAAACAAAAGACATTGTAGCGAAAAGAGAAGAAGCAGAATGCTGAGTGTGCGTGCATTTAGTTTAGCTTAACCAACAATACATACATACAATACCATACACAGATACAGCAATGTATTCGTAACTTATAAAGCTAAAGTTAAGTTTGTAAAAAAAAGAAAAAAGCACAAAGCGAGAGTTAAAGTCGGTACCTTATGCAAAAACGTTTCAAATACTCAAATAAGCCCAGGCGGCGACTCTGTGCAGCGTTTAGCCTTAGGTTCTTAGCTCGCAACAGCACACACACACACACAAACACACACACACACGCACATACTGTCATACATATACAGAAACACACAGACATACACATTGTATCTATCTATCGCTGTTTCTTTCTGTAACGCACATACATTCTCTATAGCTCGAACACACATCTAACATAATCTGTCCATCTATCGCTATGCATCACTACAACGACTATCACTATCACTGTCTACTGCTACAAATCATTTACTTACACATACTATCCATCTAGAGACTATACCAAAACTTTGTTGGTTGCCATGCAACTGTTTGCAACGTATCTAACTATCTATCTAATTAATGCTATGTTCTTACTCTACTCTACACTACTCTACACTACTCTACTCTACTCTACTCTTTACTGTACTCTATGCTATCCTGTAACTATCTACATGCAATTCTAGTCTTACATTACGACAACAACAACAACAACAAACAGCTACAGCAACAACAACAACAACTAGCTTTAACAAACTAGCTCCTAACATCTATCAGTATCTTTTCACACAACTGTCTATCCCTGTCTATGAATCTATGCATTTCGAGTCATAGTTTTGGTCACATATACGCCATAACTTGCCATAGTTTTCCTGCCTAATGCACACAAAACTCGAACTCAATTTCGAATTGACTTTAAAAAATTTCCGATTTCCACTTAAATTCTTTCAACTTTCTCATTTCATTTTGCACCTTCATATGCTGCTCTATCCATCTCTATCTCTCTATATAATTCTCTCTCTCTCTCTCTCGCGCGCTCTCTCACTCTCTCTCTCTTTCTCTTTCTCTCTTCATATCTATATCTTTCTCACGCTCTCACATTTTAACTTCTGCTGCTGCTGCTGCTGCTGCTGCATTTTCTGTCACTTTCTAACGCTCTACTTTCGAAGCACACACATCGCACGTACGTTCTCTGTAACCATAGTTCACTGTAGGCATTTTTTTTATATTCTGTTTCTCATTACTTACATACTCTACATCTACTCTGATGTACATTTGCGACTTGGACCGTTTTGCCACAGCTGCCAGTTGTTCGCTTTATGCATTGTGGTTTAAACTTATTTTTAATGCATTCTTAAAAATATTTGTTTAAATCACTTTGAAAGCACGCTGGCCGAAAGCGCCAAGTCGCCACAGAGCTGATTGTCAACTTTAATTTAAATACACACATTTATATATACAAGATAATATTTTAGGAAGAATCGGACGGCACTTTCACAGCGAGAAGCATAGAAACTGCAGAATTCGGCAAACTCACAGAAGCAGAAGCAGAAGAAGAAGAAGAAGAAACACAAATATCATAAATCACAAATCACACACAAAGAATGTAAATCTAACAGCATCTTTTCTCTCTGTCATAAATGCATGTCATTAAAAAATGAAGAAAATCAATAAGTACAAAAAAAAATTCACAAAAAAAAAACACAAAATAAACAAACAACTTGAAAAAAAAAAAACAAGCAAGGAATAAATAAAAAATAAATCAATGAAAAATCCAAACCATGAGTTCGCATCAATATTATTCTTTATGGCCAACAGGTGAAAGCGAAATGATGAATACAAATTTGCCTTTGAGCCAACTCATAGCTGAGGCTCTGCATAATGGCCAAGCCAAGAGATCAGGTTGACAGGTCCATCTTTGGTAAGAATACGAAATGCGAATGCGAGAGAGGAGTGTGCTTTCATTTCAAGTGAAATTGATTTTCGACCCAGTTGCCTAAGCGAATTTTTTACAAACTTTTGCCCGTTAAGAGGTGTAAATAATTATGACTCCGGCCAAGACAACAAACAACAACAAGAAAAATGTTGGGCCGAAAGTGTGCCCCGCCGGCTACCGTTGCCGTGGCCAAAAACAGTCGGCCAACAGACAGTGAAAGTAAACAGTTAGGAAACAGAAACAACAACCACAGCAACAACACCAACATCAACATCAACAAAACTAACGAAAACAGTAAATGCATTGAAAACGTGTAGTGAAAAGCTGAAGAAATGCCAGCTTATGGCCATGGTCCAAACGTTTTAATCAGGGGTAAGGGTAATGCTTTAGGGAGAAAGAGAGGGGGGCTGGGGGGCAAAGAAAGGTTGACTGAGCCAAATTAAGGCGCATTAATTGTTGACAACTCATTCGAGCAGCAAACTCTTGACCATTTGACCAGCGCCCGTCGCTGACAGACTGAAAACAGAAAACAGCACAAAAAGTCGTATAAAAGTGGGCAACTATGTGACACCGAATGGCCAGGCACAAGAAACAATGCAATACCTCGCACATGACTTACAAGAAATATGCGTTAATTGTGTCATGTGGGCATCATCATTAGAATGTGTGAACGCTGCTGATGAAATTGTAGTTGTAGGCTTCAAAGCGCGGTCAATCAACATGTGCTTTACTTTTTAGCTTTGACATAAATGCTTAGCAACTTACCTAAAAACACATATCGTTTAAGCTGAACTTTCTTCTTACTTTCAACTTTATCCATATGTGCTTTCTATACCCTATAACACAAGAAATGTATAAGAAAGGCTTTAAATAGTAACAAAAATGCTAGTCAAACAAGCAACAAATGTTGAGCGAAATCTTTTTTTTCCAGAATTTAAATGTAGTATTTATTTGTCAAAGTTGTAACTGTGGAAAGTGTTGGCCCAACCCTACAGGGGATTTTTTAGTTGATCACTGCCTTGCATCTCAGTTAGCCGACAGGCCCTGCACATTTTTGCTGGCATTTATTTCATCTTTTCTTGCCTGCTTTGTTGAAAACCTTTCAATTAAATGTGTATCCGTTGAGCCTAGATAGGTTAGCTGACCTTGAACTCAGATTGCCTTTGAATTTTCACTCAATGGATTTCCAACTGACTAGACTCCCTTTTCATCAATTGCATGCATATTTTTGGTTCTTTTTTATTGTTGACCTTTAAAGCGTATGAGCCTTTAAGTCCATCGTATGTTCATTTTCCATTAAAGCCAATGGCTTAAGTTCCTTTCATGGTGAATTATTTCAGCATGTGGTGTTAAACAGCACCTTCCGCTTTCATTAGTTAGCGTTTGAGTTATTCTGAATTACTTTGGGTTGTCCTATGTAAATCGAATAACCAAAAAAACCAAAAAAATGAAAGCCTACCCATGTGATTTAGAGCGAACTACCGTTGTGCTTGCCGCCGCTAGAGAAATGTGGCTGCAGCTGTGGTTATTGCTGGAGTCGAAAAGAAAAACTGGTGCAACGAAAAAGATCACTGGCTGCCAAACAATTTCACATTCTGAAAACCAGATAAAAAGCCACAAAATTTGCAATAATTCATAAGCCGGCAGCGAATTGCGCACACACGCTCCAATGAGAGAGATAATTCAGGTATCTGCACATTGAGAATCGTTTGGCTGCCCAATTTGTGCACAATTTCACTGTCAACGGCCCTCAGGCTGAACCAAGTGGATGACATGCTGGCTCTTTGCTTGCCTGCAAGGGCATACAACTCAGCAAATGTTGAATGCATGTATGCTGAATGCTGCACGAAATGAAAACGAGTTTGGCTCCCTGGCTCAGAAAGCGGGTCACCAGAACATAGCCAACAAAGAAGAGCAACAACAGCAAAAACAGCAACAAAAAGAGAGAAACAAATAACAGCAACTGCAACGTTTGCATATGCCTAAAAGACAACTTGATCGGTTGGCCTTGCTCGGCGCTTTCCAACATATGAACAAAAATCACCTGTTTGCTTTATAATACTTAATATTAAGCGTTTTTCCTGCTGTCATCGTTTTCCACTCGAACAAGTTTTCCCACACTCGAAAAACACGCACTGCATTATGATTGCTGTAATTGTTGTCTCTACTGTTGTTCATGGAAGCGTTTAGTTTGGTTATTAAGCGCCTCCGTGAGCAGTTGCGATTATTGGTTATGATTAATTGAAAGTTAATTAGGCACGCGAGACGCAAGCAAAAGCACAAAAGAAACACAAACAATTTAATAACGCCGCCCAGATGATTTAACGGTTGATTTATTGTTACGGCTCCAGCTACGTGGAGTACTCGCCTAACTTATCGCTCACTTAAAGCAGTTCATTTTTCCATTCAGTTAGTTAACAATTGCGCATAATTGATGAGCTGTAATTCAGACAAGCGGTCAGTGGATTGTGGATGTGCCGCTTGAATAATCATTTATGTAGCTGCATATTTAAAACATAATCTCACGTATTTCACGAACCAGTGAAGAGAGTCGCGAACTTTTTGATTTTCTCACTCGACTCTTATTCTTAGATGAAACATATTTTTTTAAATCTTGTTTTTACTCATTCTTTAATCAATTTTGGAAAAAATTCTTTACAAAATATAAGTAAATATATCCGTAGACTGTTTCTGTGCAAATAGTTAGAGAAATATATAGCAAATTAGACTTGTGAATTTCGTTAATAGTAATTATTTAACTTGTTATTAAGCTTTAGCTCTGTAAATATACAAAATTAGAACCGGGTTCCATGCGGAATATCTGTCATTGGTTTACCCATTAGAAAAATTTGACCATTTTGAAATTTTTTTCTAAATTCGTATTTTTTGAAATATTTCAAAACTATTATAGCTACAAATCTTCATATAATAATAAAATATAAAGCTTTTGCTCGCTTTCGTTAAGCCAGAGCAAGTTTGTGTCTCAACTCTTTCGTTTATTTATCCCGCTTTTCAGACACTAACTATTTTCACAGTCAGCCGAAAAGTATGCAACATTTCTTGATCGTGAGCTTCATTAAGATTTGCTGTAGACGTTTAAGGTATTATGCTTTTTAAGAGGAATTAAAAAAACTCAACTGAAAATAATACATGTCAGCCTTAAATTATAAGAATTTTGTAGATTATATTAACATGACTGTTTTGCTCTGAAATATGTAAGATTGATAATACTGGATTCTTTCAATATAGAGCTGGTGTTGATCAAGCTATCCTAATTATTGTCTTTGTCTCAAGATTCTGTTATCATCTTGCAAAAGACCAACCCAAATTGATGCTGTTAAACATTAAGTTAAAGTGCTTTCTTTTTTCACTGTTTAGAGAGTCAAATAAAAAGAGAATTAAAAAACATAATAAAGATATTGTTAAAAGTACTTTGTTTGAGAGCGTCTACTGTGCCCCAAAGCCACATTTTCAGTATTTCGCATATGTTCTTAAAATGAAAAGTTAAATTTAACGTTAATTTTGTGAGACGACAGTGAATCTGTGATTAAAAAAAAGCCCAAAAAAAAAACCGCAATGATTCAGTCTACTAAGCTTTAGAAAAAGGAAACTTGGCAAACAAACATTTGGGATGAGTTGCTGCACTCAATGCCAATGCCACTTGGTCGGAGGCTGTATTTTCTTGGGGCAGTCACGCACGTTGCCGCCACTTGCTCCGCTTTTAAATGCGCAAACGAAAACTCAATAGCTTAGAACGAGCTGTTTAATTTGAGTGTTATAGTAATTGCAAACGAAATTGCTGCACTTGGCGATGTTGTTTATTGTGTTGTGCCTTGTGCCTTACAAGCTACACATTTTCGGCGGCTTTCGCAGCGAAATCACGAAAGCGCAGCTGCAATGGCCAACAGACTCTGGTAGCCATAGCAGCCATCTGCAGGCGGGCAACAGCCCGTCCCGACTAATTGGCGTGATATCTAGACTAAAACAAAGTGTATTTTTTCTTTAAATTTCAGCTGCTGTTTGACATGCACAAAAACGCAATTAACCGACAAGCAAACTGTGTGCTGGTATAAAATGCATACAATGCGCTTTCGAGCATTCAGTTCATAATCTTGAGTGTGGTGCCCAGCAACATTTTTGCCGCCACTCAGCAGAAGCAAGGATACCAAAGGCAGTTTACATACACACACATATATATATTTATATATATATTTATATATATATAAACAAACACACACACACACATACAGAGAGATGAATAAATACGTGTGGCACGTGGCGGCCCTGCTGATTATCTTCTGCTGGCTGCCAGCGTCTACTGCACGCACCGCCAGCTATCATCACATAAATAGCGTGGGATTGGATCAGCAGCAGCAGCAAGCAACACATTCGACATCCACACAGTCAGCCAGCTCGGGCGCCGGATCAACGAGCGTGTGGAAGGATCTGGCGGGCGTCTATCGCATATATCAGCAATGCGCCGGCGAAAACTTGTCCGTCTGTCTCAAGGTGAAGCTGCTAACGGGGCTGGAGAAAGCATTTCGCACGGCCAAAACGTTTCCACTCTTCGAGGGCATTCAGTTTGTGAGTAGCGGAGATGTGGCGCAAAAGCGCAGTCAACTGCCGCCCATTTCCGAGCAGGATATTGAGGCGGTGCTGCCACGCGGGCTGGATGCCAAGGAGCAGATCCTCAACAACATGATCATGAAGCGTGTCAGCAGCTTTCTGCAGAATCACACGTTACAGGTGAGTTTTGTAAGGCAATTTAGCTTCAAGTTACGGCTACTTATCAGGTCTCTATAAAACAGATCAAATTCGCCGCGGACAACAATTCGGTGGAAGGACGCAAGAAGAAGGATAAAAAGGGTAACGGCGCCTATATAATGATTCCCTTGCTGCTCGGTGGCACCTTTGTGCCCATTGCTTATGGTGCACTGGCTATGCTCGCCGGCAAGGCGCTGATTGTGTCCAAGCTGGCTTTGGTGCTGGCCTCAATTATTGGCATTAAGAAGCTGCTCAGTGGTGGTGGCGGTGGCAAGGAATCCTCACATGAGGTTGTCGTCTCCTCGGGAGCCCATTCGGGCTGGGGACGTGACTTTGATATGGCCTACACCGGTTGGAAGCCAGCCAAGGAGTCGGCGGGCAGCGCCAAGAGCCTGTAAAGCAGTTAGCAGAGCTTGAATTTGCATTTGAGAGAGAGAGAGAGAGAAATAGAGAGAGAGGAAGATGAAGATCCAGAGAATTGGAGCTCGCATAAACCAAAGAAACGATTGCTGCTTGAATGTTGTCTGAATAATCAATAATAATTTAGCCTTAATTCGATTATCCATGTATTTATTGTATATCGTAACTAAATGTGTGTGTTAGGCCTAAGTAAGCGTTAATTAAATATAGTCGTATATTTTGCTTAAAAACCCTGCTGCGTTTAATTCTCCAACCATGTCTGCTGAATTTTTATGATAACAATTTATAAAAAAAAGTGCTTACGTGCGTGCGTGAATAACAAAAAAATAAATACAATAATCCAAATAACAGCAAGGTAAAGAAAAAAGGCAGCAAAGTTAAAGACGTCTTCGCTTTCTACCAAAAAAAAAAAAAAACAGAAAAAAAACTTTAAGCCACATTTTTTATTTAGCCGTGCTGCAGAGTCTGTTGGCCAAGTCGAATGCAATATTCATAGATCAAATATGCTGAAGAGTCTCTCTCGCTTATTGTAATTGTTGCTTTTGTCGTTTCTTGTGGTATGCGACATTTTCACTTTTGCACTTCTGCTCGAAATATTAATGAGCTGGCCCAAACGGCAGCAATACCTGCTAGAACATTGAACCTTTTCATACGAATGTGGGCATTATTTAAATGCGCTTCCCACGCCTAATCAAACGGTTAGTTACTGGGCCGCCCTTTACTTTAATTGTTGACGTCATCAGTTGGGAAGTGGGCAACACTTTCATTAATTGAAAATTACTCAACCATAGCGAAACGAGAGCTACCCGGAATTCGCCAGCGGCACTGTCACTGGCAGCGAACCAGGGGTGAGGTGAGTGGCATGAAAGTGAAACTTTTAAAAAGGTGTCAATTTGGGTAGCGAGATGCCACTGAAATAGGGTGGGGCTGAGCTAAACTGAGCTGAGGATCCAAGTGTTTTATTTACCCTGCGTGGGCATCAAAATGAAAGCCGCTTTGGGGAGTAGCCGATTTTAATGCTTGATGTCATTCGTGTGGCTTTAAAAGCTAAACCGTTTAAAAGTTACACTAATGGAAGGGGGTAGTGCAAAGGAAGTTTACTCACGGGATGCTCCAGACCTAGTTTCCCGTTAAAGGCACCACAAATTTTATGAAATATTTAAGAAAATTACTTAAAATATTTAATCAACTTTCACAATTGTATTTTAAATGCCTTTAAAGAGCCTTTCTCTAAAACTCTGAGCAATTTAATTTAAAAAAAAAAGTGCATTGCATAATTAAATGAAGTCTTCAATGCTCGTCAGCCGTACTAAAAAAAAAAAAAAAAAAAAAAAAAAACTTTTCACTTTCATTGCGTTGACATGTAGGTAAAATAATTGCCCTGATTTTAACTCAATTTTGTTTGGCCCGCAAGTCGACTGAGCCATGCCCTATGCACAGAGAAAAGTAAAGGTACGTATTGGTGGTGTGCAACACCTTCGCGATAAACACCCACAAAACTGTTGATGATTAACACACAAGTCACGTCACACGCACAGCCATCTGTATCTACATAAACGTGCAAGGCATTTGCATATCCCATCAACGTCAGCATCAGCAAACAAGCAACAACAACAACAACAACAACAACAGCAGCAGCTTAAACACCTTGTGGCTCATCAACTATATGGTGTTTAGGCTAAGCAGATAATCAGTTGCAAAAAAAAAATAACAAAAATTGGTTTGCTTTGCATCTTGAATTGAGCTTAAGTAGCGTGCAAATCTCAACATTCATCGCTTTCTTTCAGGTACTTGACTAATGCGTAAACTACACAAAAAAGAAACAAAATACAACGAGCGAGAAAGTGCTGATCAAGAGTGAACGACTTGAGTATACCCTGTAGCATGTTGTTAATTTATATATTTATTTTTTGAATATGCATATGTTGCCTTTTAATGAAAGTTGCAGGACTTATGCTGAATATGCTGTAGTCATCTTAAAGGACACATTTTGAAATACAAATTAAGAGTCTTAGTCTTAATTTAAATGATAATTTATTGTTTGGTTTGAAACTCGAAACCTGGCTGGACGGACTTTGTGCATCTCTTCCTTAACACGAGTTCCAAGTAAATTCAAAATATATCAAAATATTTGTAAAAAAAACTGAAGAAAAATATACCTGTTGCCAAAAAGGAACTTAAAGTCGTCATTTAACGCATACCCTGAAGTAGTTTCTTTCAAATATAGCATCAGTTTGCTAATTTCAACTTAGACTGACTGCATGATCTAGCAACAATTTCTTTATTATGAAATCAATCTTCAATTTGGCAACACAGACGGTGAAACGAATGACAAGTTAACATGACGAAAAGAGATCGACAAAAATATTGCCAAAATTCTTTAAAAATTCTACAGGCATGCGATGAAGTGATTCTCAGTTGAGCTATAACATGCTCCAAGTGGACGAATAGAAAAATTCCAGGACTAATTATCTTAAATTAAGATTAGATGTAGAGGAGATATTCTAGTTTTCAAAAAGATTTTCTATTTAGTAATAAGAGTTCGACAGCAAAGTTGCTCACATTCGTGCAGGAATCAGAGTTGATGAAAGTGGTTTTAGATCAGAAGGTTTAGCTTATTTCTAATTTCTTTAATTCCATTGCACAAATAGTGCTTTTCAGTCGTTTGGCCATTAAGATCAATATATCTGAGCTGCTGCCTGCTTTTAATTGCCATAAACTTTCAAAATAAGCCATAAGCCACACAGAATATATCCGAGGACGTGTAAATATTTTGAAAATGAATATTAACGTTGAATAATTAAAGCGACATAATGACTGAAGATTTTGTTTGACATGAAACTCTCTTGTGGAGATCTCTGTGGAAATGGCTGCTGTTGGCATACAAAGCTGTAGATATATAGCTACTTATGTCCCGATGTGTGTGTGTGTGTGTGTGTGTGTTTGTCTACATACATATGGGGCTTTAAGTGAGATGGATGGGCTTTAAGTGTGATGGAGAGAAAAACAAATACATAAATAAAAAGCAAAATTAAAGTGAAATTTTTTCTTATCCATGCCGCCTGCAAACTAGTTAATTTTCTATTTTACTCCAATTTGAGCCATGCTCGTTGTGGTTTGCTTTCGAGCCACTGTAGACGCCATCATAAGTAGCGCTGTCTGTTGTGGTGTGGCTTGCTTTGGCTTGTTGTTGTTGGCCTTTGATTAGCCACACCAAGTCACGTGTCTGCAATTTCTAATGGTTCGATCAGTCGACGGTCTTATAGAGTACTTTCTGCCTAGGCTGTTAATGTGTGGTTGTGGTTATGGTTGTAGTTGTGGTTGTGGTTGTGGTTGTGGTTGTGGTTATGGTTGCTGTGGTTCTCACCCACCTGAAAGTGTGCCAATTGCAGGAGCCTCTGCCAGTAAACTGGCTTTTTTAATGCCGTCGTATTAATTTGAGCTGTCAAATTAATGCCGGCTAAATCTGTCGAATACAGTTTAGCGACCACACATTCAACAAAATGACTACACTTGGAGAAAATGTCGAGAAGCTTAAATCCAATGAAGTGCTAGATTGAAAATTCTACATCACTGAATGGAATTCTACCTTGAAGAAAGTCTAGAATACTCTTAGTTTATGCAAGTTTCTCTTAGGATATGTGAAATACGACTTTTCTCATATTGAAATTTATGAAATCTTAAGCAAGTTTAGAATTTTCATGAGACAACAGCTGGATTACTAAAATACTTATTTTATATAATTTAAATACGATTTTGTATGCCAGCTATAATTAAATGTAGAATAATTTATTTTCGCAGAGTGTGTTTGTGGGTGTGTAAGTGTGTGGATGTGTTTGTGTGTCTGTGTGTTTTCTTATGTGCAAATTGTTAAGTGTTGGTTAAGTGTTTGTCTGTTGACAAACAACAATAACAACAGGCGCAGCTAACAAGCCAAAGCCAAAGCCAGAGTCAAAGCCAATGTCGCCGACGAAGTGCTGCCGACGTCAGCGACGCGTCGCTGCCTGCTTCACACGCACACTGCTAGAGTCTTGGCCAGGCCAAGACATGACAGAGCCATAGCCATAGCCAGAGCCAAGTCAGGTTGCATTAAAAGCCGCAACCGATGCTCTTCGTCGTTGTCGTTGTCGTTGTTGTCGTCGTCGTTTTTGCAGCTTGTTTATTTAAATTCTAAGCTCGGCTACTGTTTTGCGTCGATGGAGCAGGTCGGGTGGCTTATGTGGTGCGGTGCGGTGCGATGTGATGTGGCGTGGCGTGGTGCTGGGGATGCGGCCAGCGTCGTGTGTTTTGTCGTCGTCGTTGTCGTCGTCAAACGCGTCGCTGTCGACGCTGCTGTTGCTGCTTCTGCTGGCCGGGAATAAAACTCGATCCGCGTGCGTCTTCTAGCCACAGTTTACGGATTGCCTTCTGACCGACAGATCGAACAAGCTAATCGCAGCGCAGTGCACTCAATCAACTGAATAAAAAAAAGAAAGAAAAAAACACAATACCCCCTACAAGGCACCGCCCAGTCAGTGCCCCAAAGGATAACAAAACCAACAATTAATACCAAGTGACAAGTGTTGTGTGCGACAATTAACACCTCCTCCCGCAAATAAATACAAAACAAAACATGTTGAAGTTTGTGTGCTTGTTCGCGCTGCTTGCCACAACGGCGGCAGCAGCTTCGGAGGCAGACAGCCTGCTGACGAGCGCCCTCAAAATGGTCAAGGATTGCGGCGAACGCTCGATGGTGTTGTGCATGAAGGTAACACACTACGAGAAGCTAACAATCCATCAATAAGTTAATAAGCAAAATTCTAAAAAAATCAAATAAATCAAACAGGAACGCGCTCTGCACTATTTCGACACGGAGAACGGCGATGTGAGGCTGACCGAGGGCATTTCCCTGGTCAAAACCGATGATATTCCTGTGGGAAGGTCTTTGAACGATGTCTCGCTGCCCGACGAAGCGGAGGCACGTGAATCCGAGGTGGATTCGCTGCTGGTGGAGCGTGTTGCACGTTTCTTTGGCACACACACGCTGCAGTTCAAAGTGCCCAAGGACTCCATACAGGACATGCAGCGTGCCCTCGAAGAATGTGAGTATAATGTAGAAAAAGCCAACAGATTTGACAGACAACTGCAAGATCTGCGTTGAGAAGTTGCTTGTTCTGCTTACTGGTTCTGTGCAATGTGGCCAAATTGGGTTAGTGGTGCAATTATCTGGTTAACATTGTGTGGCCAATGCAATGCTACAAATCCTGTTTTCACTGTTAGCTGCTTCTATACTTTGATTGGGGTCACGCAAAAGTAGGCATCCTGCTAGTCCCAGCTACAGTCACAGTTGCAGTTTTCCCTAGTCGCTTTTCATCTAGCGGTGCATTGACTGCAAACTTGTTGCTGTTGTTTTGCTGCTGGTGCAATTAATTGCATTTTAGTCAGCTCGCCGCACTTTCTTTTTGCGTGTGTGTGTGTGTGTTTCCGAGGCATAGAAAGCGGTCAATCCTGTTTCTTATTATTATTGCTTACTGCTTATTGTTTATTAATTATGTACAGTCTCTGTGCTCCAGTTGCTAATGAGCAGATAACAAGACAACAAGCGAAAGTATCGCATGCAAAACACTCACTAATCAGCTAATAAAAATAATGTTTTTCTTTTCTTATTTACTTGACTCTTTAGCGCGCGGCAAGAAGAAGGAGAAGAAGAAGTATCTGATGCCGCTGCTGATGCTGTTCAAGCTGAAAATGGCAGCACTGCTGCCGTTGGCGATTGGCTTCTTGGCGCTCATCTCATTCAAGGCTCTCGTCATTGGCAAGATCGCGCTGCTGCTGTCGGGCATCATTGGGCTGAAGAAGCTGCTGGAGTCAAAGAAGGAGAACTATGAGGTTGTGGCGCATCCACACTATGAGCACGAGCACAGCTATGGCAGGTCGCTGCATGGCAATGAGGCTCAGAATCTGGCATATGCGTCGTATAAGCAATAAGCGTCACAAATTGCCAAAAAGAAAAACAACTCAAAAAAATGGAACAGCAAATTTTAGTGCAATACACAAACAGAGAAACAAAAAGGAATTGAAAATAAGGGAGCACAGGCAGCTCGATCTAATTTATTTTATTTATTTAATTTATTTGTAGCTTAATGCAAGCGGAAAAACGGCGCCATTGAAAACTTAATTGAGAGACAAACAAATGAGAACAAATTGTTAGCAATGCAAAAATCAAAAAACACCATAGTGAATAAGTTCAAAAGAGGCAGCTGCATCGTAAAAAAAAGAAACAGAAACATAAAAAAAATTAAATAAAAGGGGGCGGCATTTTATTTATTTTTATTTTTTTTTGGCGGGCGCAGTTCAACTTAAACTAAACTAAACTAAACTGTAAACTGTACTCAAGTGACTGTAAATTGTATTATTGTAATAATTTGATCAGAGCTTTACTATGTTTTACTACCTTTTATCTATTTATTAACTATTAACAATTTTATATTTACAAACTAAACGAATACTCTTGCACTCTGTACACAATAACAACAGCAACAACTGTTTCGCCGCGCCCCCCTCCCCACCCCTCCTCCTCAAACAGCCCAGCAAAAAAAGCCACAAATCAAACACAGATACACACACACATAGACACACACATGCACATATGCACACATACTTGCACACACACACTCATACTGAAATCAGAAATGAAACTCAATAAAGCCGCATTTATCTGTAACTGAAATTCGTTTTGCATTTAACAGGTATATATATATAAATATATATTTATATTGCGCATACGCAACGTGCGCCGCATAAAATGGGTATTTTTTTGGTTTTGTTTTTGGTTTTCGAGTGAAATGCTTTCGCTCTTTCACTAATAAAATGAATTACTAAGGCAAACGAGGCCAATGATATCAATTGCATGTGCGACACATAAAATCACAGACGCTGCACAACAACAACAACAACCACAACAACAACACGAAATTTCACTTGCTGCATGCGCACTGAAGCATGCATCCGAGCCAGAGAACCAGAGTCAGAGTCTAAATCAAAGTCAGATTTGGAGTTAGAGTTGGTGGCTGAGCTGCAGTTGAAGTCAGTTCCCAGCTGGCTAACTAACTTCCTGGCCTGCCATTCGCTATAAAATGCACATATTCACTCTCCTCTCTCTCTCTCTCTCTTTTCTCTCTCTCTCTCTCGCTCTCACTCTCATGCACTCTGTCTCTCTCTCCCACGCCAATGTGCTCGTTGGTATCCGGTGTCGCTCCAAAAAATCGAATGAAAGTCGCCCGCTTTTGGCCTCTTTTGGCCTGATTTTTACATGTGCAATTGCAACACGTACAACGCACCATGTACCACGCCCACCGCCCACCGGCGTGCAATGATATGAAGATGCGGCACGCCACACTGTGCGCTGGGACCGTTGCAATTTATGGCCGAATGGCAAATGCCAAATGGCCAAAACGATTTCTTAACGGTTTGTCAACAATTTTCGCCTGTTGCTGCTGAATGCTGTCGCTGAATTTCAAACACAGCCCGGTGAAAGTGTTTATTAATACAATTTCTTTTGATTTTTATTTGTATGCATGGGAAACTCACGCCTCATAGTTGCCGCTCCGCTCCCAGTTAATACTCTTAGGCTCTCTAGTGTTTTTATCCCTTAATCAAAGTTTGCCGAAAACAAAAACCACACGTTAAATTTTAAGGCAACAAATTAGCGTACTCCTCGAGTCAGGGGGTTGTTACCAAAAGTTCATGTGGTTCTGAGCTGTCGAAATTCATTAGAAAAATTTGCAAAAAGTTTTTGGGAGAATCCGGACGAGTGCGTTGAACGATTCACTACTTTAGCAATGTTGTTTTTGTTTTTGTTATTTTTAAGACTTTTGTTACGCTGCTTAAAATGACAAGCTGGCAACACCAAAGGTGTTTCGAAGTTTAAACAACGTCCGCCTAAAAGTATGCAGCGAATAACAAGTGAAAATCTCTCCAATGGGGTTTTCTCGAACGAAATGAACATCAATAGGAAAAGCGTTTCAGGTTCAGGAAATATACACACAAATGGAAGTTAGAAGTTTGGTCCAACGCTTGAATAATTTAGTTGGCAGCGATTTTGTAAGAAAAAAAATAACGGACTCACTTTGTATTTTTGACTTCAGTTTGACTGCTCTTGGTTAATAATATATTTTTGGAATGTATGAAAATAATAATAATATTTACTATAAATTATTAATAGTACTATAATACTTTATAAAGTATTAATAATAAAGTCGTTTAAACATTATGCGTTTCAGCATTCAATAGGGACAGCTTGAAATATGAACGTCAGAAATAGTCTAGAGCCGAATTAAACTATTGCTGAAATACCCACATTTGTCACATTTTTAACTCTGATGGGGTATTGAATGCACTTTCTTGATAGCAAGGCAAAGGTCACCAAAATCCAACAGCAATTGTTATAAATGTACTTGTTAATGTAAGTCCAAGCAATTTACCACTACCGCTGCCAAAAGATCTTAACTGACCTAATGACAACTCTGGCTAACTTGTTTATTTTGGAATGTTGGCATTTTAATGCACACAAACAAATTATACCACTTATGCTTTTTGGACTATTAAGATGGGTGTACATTTTGGTTAATGCCGTAATTGACGTCACTTATTTGATAGTTCCGAATATTTTGGCTGCGGAGCCTCTTTCATAACTTTTCTGGAATGACAACAATAGCTCATTACATAATGGCCAAGATGTGCGAATATTGGCCACAAGTCATCATAGTGGCTCGCCACAGTGTTGTGTGCACTGACCATGACCATGATGCCAACTGCAACAACAACAACAACAGCCGTTTTGGCGTTGATGAACAACAATTTCCGTTATTGGGCCAGAGTTTCGTTACATGTGCAAAAAAATGAAGCAAAAAGCCGATTTTGGCCAAAAAGTTGAGTTGATTATTGTATAACGAGCTGCTATAAAGATAGGGGGTCAGCTGGCCAGCAGGCTTAGTTGAACAGTGATTACCAACAGTGGCACAGCAATTGCAGAATGTCGCGAGTGAAGGCTCTCCTGGTGCTCATCAGCCTGCTGCACTTTAAAGGCATCGCCAGCAGTGATTTAAAACATGACAGTTTGGAGGAACTGAAGCATTTCAAGCAATGTGTGCGGACCTCACAGAAATCCAAATTAAGTGAATGCTTCGGTCGATCGGCTTTGAATTTTATACAACGCTTTGAGGAGCGCGAGAATGTCACATTTGTGGATGATTTTGTGGCAGTCAAAAGCGAAACGGCATCGAGTCGTTCTTTGGTCAATGTGCTCGACACAGATCCTGTGGATTTTCGAGGCATTCTCGAGAATGCGGGCGCTGTGATGGGGCACCGTAGCTTGGAGTGGCACATGGATGCCCTCTATCCCGGTCTGATGTTCAAAATTGGACCCACAGCGGATGCGAACAGTGTGGCGGAGTTTGTGTTGGATAATGGTGCACTTGATGAACGACAGTTTGGCTACGAGGAGCCCAGCACAGGTAAATATATGATTACATATAAGATGATAAATGTTTCATAGTGAACTGAGAGTAAAATTTACATATACAATTAATGTAGTTATCTCGGTATAGTAATATAAATATTTTTTTTGTATAAGCAGTTTAAGTTTTATCGCCTTAAGAGGAAAAGCCAATTGGTTATAGAATTAGCAATAGTTTTTTATTAATTAGCAATAAGTTACGATCAAAATAAAAATCGTTCTTTGTATGAGATTAACAAATAATAATAAATAAAAATATATCAGATTTAGACTGTGAATAGTTCTGACAAGTCCTACAAATTTATATATTTTTGCATCAGTATTTAAAGCTAACTTGTAATCTAAAACTTAAAGCAAACTTATATTAAAGTACAATAACAGCTAAGGCCTTCAGCTCGCTGAGTATTTGCATTATTTAAGAAGTTAATAAATCCATTTTATTAGCGAGTTTTCAATTCTATGGTATTAACTTTTAAATTGAGTTTGTTCGCCTTGAATCACTTTTTGGTAAATCTATATTAATCGATTGTTGTGCTTTAGGTCGCCTGCTGGCCACGCAGTATTTGTTGCCCTTTCTGCTGGGTCTGAAGTTCAATTTGGTGGCGCTGGTGCCGCTGCTGTTTGCCGGCATTTGTCTACTGCTCAAGAAGTCACTCTTTCTGGCCAAGTTGGCCATCTATGTGAGCAGCTTTCTGGGTGTAGGCGGCGTGCTGGGCTCTCTGGGAGGCCTGGGAGGTCTGGGGGGCCTGGGCGGAGTTTTCGGCGGCGGCCTTGGTGGCGCCAACTTTGGGTTTGGTGGCGCACTTGGCGGTCATCGACCCGTTGGTCATTTTCCGGGAAAGGCGACAGTCTATGGACACGGTGATGAGCTGCATCATCAGTACAATGTGCATGAGCCGCAACCCTACAAGCGCAGCGATCGCAAAGTGCGCTTCGAGCAGCCAAGAGAGGCAGCAACAGCAACCACTAAGAGACCCACTGAGGATCGCTTCTATGAGTATGAAACTAAACGCAGATTGGAGGACACAATTGGATCAGCGGATGCACTTGTGCGCAACTTTAAAAGTGCCTCAAACACAAATAGTATGAACGGCTGGCAGGTTGTTGATGTGAGATCGCTGTAAGGCCTGTCAAGCGAATGTGTACTCTAATTTATGTATAGTTCAATAAGCTTAAATTAAATTATAAAATCTATGAGAATAAATGTCAGTAGATTATCTGGTGATTGTCAATTGATGCAGGCACCCCACTCTGTGCGTTTAAGCTGAAAACACAGCAGTTTCCTGTGAAAACATCAGTGTGCTCAGACTAATACCCAACACGGACACACGGAATAATAAATTGCATTAAACCTTGTTTGTATTCACCCCATCAACTTCCAAATTATTTTCTATAATCTATAGGGAAATTCATTTTAAGCTGAAGCGAAAAAAAATGGCTCCACTGGGAGGAAAATGAGGGTCAAGGTTGCTTAGCCGAAAATGTAATTTACAACACATTTTTTTAAACTTTGTAAGCAAAATCATTGGGCCCGGTCGACGTAGGGATTAACCTTCCAGAAAACGTAAGCAAACCGTTAAGTATGATAAATGATATTAAAGCGCTTTCCAAAAGCGAAAGTCGCTTTTAAGCTAACTTTATCAAGGTTCAGTAAGCAAATGTTAAGAGTTCAGTTTTAGGCTAGATTTTGAGGTTCGCACTCGCTTGAAGTACTTTTCCAAAAACTTTTCTTATTAGATACCAATCAAGTGACGCTTTGACAAACCACTTAATTGCTTCAGTTAGAATATGTATAATGACAAACCATGACGTCACAAGCTCGATTCATATAAATAATGGGCTAAAAGCTGCCAGCAGGTTATTTGAAGTTTGAACGTCAATCGCGGTAAGCAAATATGCGTCTTCAGCTAGTGTTGTGGCTGTTGGGGCTTCTACTGGACAGCCAAGCACAGGAGCAAAACAAATCCTTGGATTGGACTCCACACCATTTGGGCCGCTTGCTGAAACAATGCCTGAGTGGAGTTGAAGTTTGGCAATGTTTGGGCACTGAGAGTGAACGCTTGCTGGATGCAGCCACCATGGATAATAGCACTTGGGAGTTGAACGAGTATCTCAGCATTGAGCCACAGGAGCCAAGGGAGGCTGGCCAGGCACGCAGCGTTAAAGGATTAACTGGCAAATTGTTGGAGTTGGCGCAAGGACGATCTCTGCGTGTCAGGATGCCCCGACAGCTGACCATATCGAATGCCATCGATGAGTTTGGCAACGAGATGGGTTTGGATGAAGGTACGATGCGGCTCATTGATGATAAAATCGATAAGATATTTGGTAGTTTTACCTTACCAGACAAAGATCAGATTAAAAAGAAAAAGAAGAAAGACAAGAGTAAAAAGAAAAAAAAGAAAGAGAAAGATAAAGATAAAGATAAAGAGAAAGACAAGAAAAAGAAAAAAAAGAAAAAGAAAAATAAAAACAAAAACTGTTTCGCAAAAACAGGTCGCAAGAAGAAGGACAAAGATAAGAACATGGCCATGATGGGTGGAATGATAATGTTGGCGACCCTCGCACAAATGTTCCTCGGCAAGGTCATTCTTATCGCTGGCGCCGCCTTCATAATGGCCAAAATTGCACTAGTCATTTCGCTACTGGTGAGTCAATAGATATACAATCGAACTACTCAACCACGAACTGTAAACTGCCATAGAAAAGGAAACTCTTCGAGTTGGTCGAGTTCAAATTAGAGAAGTTCGATTGGTATGCAAAGAGACAGTTTAAGTCGTCTCTTACATGATCAAGTAATTTCGCGCTACGCACTTTTCTGCAGGGCAGTCTAAAAAAGGGATCAGCTGGCAACAGTGGTAGTGCTCCGGAGCACGTCATCGTCACCAGTGGGGGTGGTCACGGTGGTGGACATAGTCACGAGAGCGGCTGGCATCGCAGCATGCCCACTCACGACTACAGTGCCATCCCCCCGCCGGTGCACGTCGTGGAGGAGGCAAAGTCTGGAGAGGATCACGCCTACCATGCCTACGAGATGGAGCACGTGGATCGCCGGGAGTTGGCAAAGGAGGTTACAAACAAACCGGGTTTTCTCTAGCTTTATGTATTTCTGTGGTAAACAATATATAAAATTAACTATTTGTAACTTAACTTAGATCTAAGATTTGAAAGTCAAACAAGTGTAAATACAATTGCCGACAAATTGAAACTAGGCGAACAATTTTTCTTGATCTTTGGTTTTTTGGGTCAGCAGCCAAGCAGCGGAGAGCTTTATCGAGTTACCTTGACGCCAGCAGCGGCGCCTGCGCCAACTCCTGCCCCAGCTGATCCAGCCCCAGGGCCGGCAGCAGCATGTGGCAACCAGGCGTGATAAGCCTTATCCTGCATCATCATTTCGTCATCAATGCTCCGATGATAGGATCCACCGTCATGGCCACCGCTATCGTACTCGCCCTGATGGCTCGACGAATAGGTGTGACTCTGCTGCACCTGCGGATGCTTGACAATCTCATAGGTTGTCTTCTCGCCGCCATCGTGACTGACGAGCTTCTTCAATCCAATGATGGCGCTGATGATCAACGCTATTTTGCCCACAATCAGCGCCTTGCCAGCGACAATGGCAATCGAATGATAGGCCATCTTAAGTATGGCAGTCTTCAGGAGCACAGCGGCAATAAATGGACCCAAATACTTTTTATCGTCCTTCTTCTTATCGCGACCCTCTCCAGCTGCTGTCGACTCGCCACCCATAAAGTAGCTCATCATCCACTGCAACCAATCCTGACTGTTCCTCTCGCCAAAGCGCAGCAAACGTGGCAGATTCACCTGCAGCTGATGGCTGTGCATAAAGTTGAGAAATCTCTCCAGCAGCAAGGCATCCAAACTTTTACTCGACATATGCTCGAGATCGCGATTGTTGAGCTGATTCTCGGCAATGCTGGCACGTCCTGTGCGCGTATCCTCGCCACTGCTGCTGCCCGTGCGCCTCACCAGATTAACGCCATCCACAATGCTGAGCTGCTGGACCTTAAGAGCTCTGCCCAGGAGGCGTGCGCCGTGCAGTTTGCAGCACCAAAAAATATCCTCACTATCCACACACTGTCCATAAACGTGACGCACAGTGCGGAGGAGGCCACTCTCCCCACTGCCACCGGTGCCATTGCTTTTGAGTTCCAGGGCAGAGATGGGTCGATGGTGAGCGAAGAGCGCGGCCAGCAGCACCGCTGCAATGAGACCCAATCGCGTATCCATTGCTAACTTTATGTGTATATCCTTAATGTTGGACTTTAGCTGTCCCCCAGTTGTGATAGTTTCCTTTGCTGCTGCGACTGTTCTTCTGGCTAACTCACTTGGCCAACTGATCTTGTGCGCCAATGTGTTGCACAAATTTATACACTTGAATGTTTGCCACAATTAGCCAGGCAGCCGTTGCATCCAGTTTTGCTTTTTCTCGGCTGCCTCAATGTTGGCTATTCAGAGCGTAATATGCATGTTAGTCGCTGTTAGCAGTTCTCCAACTCTTTTAGCTTCGTTGCAGATTTAGTGCAATTGCCAGCCAGGCAGTCAATTTTCATTGCTCATTGTCGTAATTAGCAAGTCTTTGTAATTATTTCTGCTGTGTATTGTTTTTATTTTTTATTATTATTATTCCTCAACGCTCGACGCCTAATGATAGATTTGCTCTGACGCCCACTTTCATCGGTTGCAGTCTGTAAAAGATTTGAACGAAAATAGTTTTGCAGCTTCTGGCAACTTTTGCGCCTTTGAATTGCACACGCAAAAGTTTTTGACACACATATTAGATATGCTGCATTGAAATCGAAATGAACTCAAATTGCCATTTAAATTACAGGCATTCGTTTGCACAGAGAATTGCTAGAAAATTGTCAGCTGGCAGTAAGAAAGTTAATGAAAGTGCAACGCTAAAGAACTCAATTCGGATTTGTATTCACAATTTTCAATTATACTTTGACGAATTTGTGTGGAATGCAAATGCATCGATATTTTTAAACAATTTGTTTTGTCGAGTTTTGTGTAAAAATTGCAATTATCAAACTTTTTCTAGAAAGTGTATTTAGTTTTCGTGCTACATATTAGCTCTGTTCTAGTTCTTAAGAAATTAATATGACAGGAATTGTTAGATTTTGTTTTAAAGAAAGAATATTTTGCAATTATTTCTTTTATTAATTTGTTTTGTGTTTAGATTAAGTATATCACCTGAAAGATTGCTTTAATTTTGACAGCTATTTCTATTTCTCTGTATCTTTTATACTTAACTCTTTAATAGAAGTGAAGCACTCAAACTTCCTTTCGAATACTCCGATTGTTTTTTGTTTTCCTTTCATAACAATTTTCTGCACGAATGATCTGAATAAAATGTATATAAATAGTAGAAATATTAATTTTTCGAATTGTTTATATTTACTGATACGATATGTATACGATCTGTATATGTAAAGATATTGAGGAAGGTTAAAGATTGATTGTTTTTAACTTCGAGAAATCTCTCCCAGTTGGTGTAAAAACTGAAATGGGAGTTTCAGTTCCCAGTTGCACACTCTCTTTACAAATTCCACACGCATGCCACATAAACAGAAAATATATTTCTCATTTTGTCTTTTATTAAAAGAGTATACTTTTAGGCTTGAAATCAAATTACAATAGCATTAAGCAATTGTCTGCAAGCCAAGCAGCCACAACTACTTCCTCGCTCCTGTATAATTTCGGACTTTATTAAATTGATTAAAATTTCCAAATGTCAGTCTTCTAACCGTATTGGATATATACTTGCATGTGAGTTTGTATACTTCAAAAATTAACAATGCAGAACAGCTGCAAGTGCACAAGTGAGTAACGTGAAAGTAGTAAATCTTGATGCCAAGATTGAGACAAGGTCCATTGGCTTGTTCTACATTTTAGACATGGCACGTTGAACAGATGTGCATGTGTGCATGTGTGCATGTGTACATACATACATATGTAGTGTTGTATGGGAAGCAAAGCCACATAATCCGTTGGCGATAATTTATGGTAATTTAAGCTGTGCCCGCACGCAAGCACAATGCACAACTTTCGCAGATGGAAGCCGTAGCTCATCTGCTGTTTACAACTAATTGCCCAAAAAGCCGAGCTTAAGAAAATGCAGCGGCAACAACCGATCAGTGGCAAGCAGCAGCGGCAATTGCCAATTTACTATAATTGCCATTTGTGTTAACGTAAAAGTAAACAAAACACTTAGCAGCTTGCCCCCATGATGAATGGCAATGGCAATGGCACTGCAATGGCAACTGCAATGGCAACTGTGGCGCCCAGAAACTTACGAAAAGAGCCAAGTAATGAACTTACCGCAAAAACTTTTACCATCGATTTATTTGGCCTTTGCATTTATTTATTTTCATTTTGCACCGCAAGCAAAACCAGAACGACGAGTCGCTGATTATGTGGGTTGCAAGTCTGGGAACCCACCGAGAAAAAGAGGAGAAGAAAATACAATTGCATAAAATGAAAAGCCTGATTCAGGTTCGTTTGGTTTTTGGCCACAAATATTTTCACTTTCACTTTGTGTGTGTTGACATCGGAGGCGCCCCCGCATAGGAGCGAGCGGTGGCACAGGTTGGTTGCCATTGCCATTGCAATTGCTTCAGGTGGTTGTTTTGTTTTTGTTTATTTTACTTCTTTTTTTTCTTGTCTGCATTGCCTTATCAAAAATTAAGCGCGACTGGCCAATTACGTTTCACTTTGACCCCGGTGTGGAAAGCCGGAATCGCCGTGACTGAATGCTGATGAACCTGCCCCGGCTGATGAATTTATTATATGCCTGTCAACCACATTTGTTGCTGTTGTTTGTTTTCCCAAGCAATTTACTTTTCAATTCAATGTAATGTAAATATATTGTGCACATTTGCATTCGTCGTCAGCACACATAACAATCATTTTCCTTCATGTTCAAAAATCCCTGGCAGCAAATTTTAATTTGAGTTTTCACTGAGTTTTCCACCCTCAGAAGCTAAGCTTTTGAGGTTCTTGGAAATAAATTGAGTGGCGCAGCTGGGGGCGCCTTTTCTATTTCTATGTGGCAACAAGTCGTGTTATCGATTATGCATCGTTTGAGAAATGCATAAATAAAGTTCGCGCCTGATTAGCTTATATGCCACACGGAGCGCATATTCGAATTTCCCCGAAAGTATTTATCGGTGAAATTTGTAGTAACCCAACCAGCTTCATTTACCTGCATGCAAAGTTCAGTGTTAGATGTCACTCAATATGGCCATGACTGTGGTAACAACATGCTGCCAAATGTGAAACGTTGACCAAGTATCCCTCATCAATCAGCTTTGCCAGCCAGGTTAACCACCGGCTGTGGCAACTGAATTTAATTTAGCCAAAATACAAAACTTCACAACAAAAAAGTAAAAAAAAAAAAACTTTTGCATTGCATTAAATTTTCACATTAAAAGTGTTTTGATGCCTCGACATTCGACGCTCTTTCACTCCCTGTGTACCCATCTCACTCGCACAACACAAACTCTCTCTCCCTCTCTCCCGGGTTTTCGGACCCAAAGGCTGCCTCTATATCAGACTGCCATGACACTGCAGCAGATACCAGCAGCAGCAGCGGCAGCAGCAATAACAACAACAACAACAACAACAACTTGAACAAAGCTGGTGGCAAACAATGTTTCATTAGATTGTGCACATTTTTCTAAAGCTTATGTTTTGCTGTTGCAGACAAAAGGATTTCTGTTGAATTGTCGGCATTGTTGAGAGCGTCGCGACGACTTCCCTCAAAAAAATGTCAAAAGAATTTGCGCAAATAAATTGAGAATTCAAAAATGATATTGGATGCTTCAAAAAAAAGGTCTTCGTCGCTGTTTAGACACCTTAACAAATTACAAAAGTTTTAATCCGTTGCAAACCCCATAAAACCAACAACAACAAAAAATACGTAAACATGTTTTAGTTGATACGAACTGATTGGGAGGTCATATCCTGATCCTGATCATATATATATATATATATATTTTTTTTTACTGCTCGACGAGAAAATACAAATCAAATAATCTGAAAAATGTGAGGGAAAACCAAGAGTCGACAAAGCGAAATCGATTTGTCTTTTCCTACTGAACAACATTTTTGAGTATTCCTTAAAACGTCGCGAACAAATTATTATGCATTTACATTCAATTGCACAAGTTCGCTTAACCCCTTCACGCCTTTTAAAGGTGCACAGGGTATAGCAAAATCGAAGCCCTAAGCCCATAGTGTCCATGGTATTTCTGTTTGTCTCGGGTTCAATGGCCCAATACCATACAGGCGTACACGCGCACAGCCACCCATGGATGATAAATTGAAGACGCCGAGCAGGCGAACGTGACACTGGCCAAAAACAGAAAAGTGAAAGCATTTGCTTCAGAGTGAAACTCTGTGCCAAGGAAGAGCACTGCTTCACCTTTTGGCAGTTGATGTCGATGTCGATGTCGATGTCGAAGTCGATGTTGTTGCCTTGGCCGCGACATTGCAGGCTAGTCACAAAATCTGGCGTGTCGAGTCTGAGCAAAGTTCGCTGCATACTGTTTGTTGCATGTCCATATATATATACATATATATATATATATAGAAGGGGCTTGGGATTAGTTTCAAGTGCCACTAGAGCTTCAAATTTGCGTTTGTAGCAAGGTAAAAACTAATATGCAGTTTTTGTTGGTAGACTTACAAGCAATGCTCGAGGGCATTGCTGTGGATTCGCTAGTAATGACTTTTCCAGTTGGGTCAAGTGTTAGCGACTTTGCAGTTTAATTGTAACTTTCTGCGATTTTATCGCTATAATTAAAGAGAGAAGCCAACTGAAGCGATGCTGCTGCTGTTGTTGTTTTTCCTCTTCTTCTTTTTTTGCTAAAAGGTTGCTCGACCAGGTTGCTCATCTTGCGACACCTAAAATACTAATTACAAGGCATGCATCAACAGAAACAGCACGAGATATAGCAACAACGAGAGAGTGAGAGAGAAGGACAAAGCTGTGAAAATGTTTATTTGGTTGAATTTTCACTATAAGACAAGAGAAGCGCATTAAAATTAATTGATGCAATAATAAAATTTAATTTTCTTTGAAGCCAGATACTTGCTCCAGTCATCTGTGGAAATTTCAAATATTTTCATTTCTACACCTTTTCTGGGGACACATTTTTTCTGTCTGAGCATGTAAAGTGCAATTAAAGAGATATTTCAAGGAATGTCTTTAATTATATACTTTTTTATATACATTTCATTATATTGAATATTTATTAGAAAAAATTTAATTTTAGAAATTGTTTTCAGCTGCTTACATCAAATATTGATTATCGATTGATTATCCGAATTTATTTCAAATTAAAATGTGAGAATAATTTTTGATAAAATTGTAATTTTGTATTTAATATAGATGAGAAAAATTGTAGTAAGAAAATGCAAAGCTTATAATCACAATTTCTATGCGTTTTATTTTAATTTAAAACAAATATTCAAATATTTTAAAATCATTAAAATCTGGGACTTCAAACTTGCGAAAAAATTAAAATTTTAGGGCTTAATTAATTAATAAAACACAATATTTGCAAGTGTATTTATGCCTGCTATATATTGGACAAGCGCTTTAATAAATTATTTAAAAAATTTTGCGTTTTGCTGAGTGGGCACTTCCACTATCTACTTCAATCTAGTTTAGCCTGTCCGCGGGCTTTTGCTCACCTCATAGTCATCTTATCCTCGCAAATTGTGAGTTGTTGACACATTTTGCGGCACCCGCCTAAGCTGAAAGTTGGCAGCTTATCGTGCGACGTCAATTTCAAAGTCTAATTAGTGAAAGATTTGTGCGAAGCGTTGATTAGCTTCAATCTGTCATTAAAACGAGTGAATGAGAGCTAAAATACCGAAAGTCATATACACTTACCGAGATTCATGTTAGCTTCGCTCCGATCTTTATCGGCGGATGTGCTTCAAAGTACAATGCCGTCAAATTTTAGTAAGGCCCTGAGATAAACAACCGACACTACCATCTATTTAGTTAACAACTAAAAAATAAAAACAACCACATACTTACCCATATTTTCTCTTTCTTTTGTTCCACTCACCTCGTGAAAATTGCAATTTTTGGTGCACCTGGGCCGCTTGGATGAACGCCCGCATGAAATAGAAAGTTAAATACAACATATATTATATATATACCTATACATATACATATATATATATATACAGGTTCTAAACAACTGAAAGTAAGTCTAACTTTAACCCGTCAAAGTTAATTTCGGTGTGGTGTTAAGGTATTTGGCAAGAATTTAGAACAATTTATTTACTTTCTCCGCTGGAAAAATGAAAAACTTCACACGCATAAAAAAGAGAGAAAAAAAAGAAGAAGAATAATAAAAATGTAGATGCTTAAGTCTGTTGTTGTTTTTACTGCTGTTGTTTGTGTTTGCTGTTCTTGCGATGCCTGCTGTTTATTAAAACGCAATTCTGGTTTATTTTCAACTGTTGCCACAATGAAATTTTTTTATGTTTTGTTTTGGTCTCGACCACAAAATGGCACAGAAAAACTGTAAAAAATCTCGTTGTGGCTCTTGAAAGAAAAGTGCAAGGCGTGTCACACCCAGTCACAGATTGCCGGATGATGGCTTGTCGGCCTACAGACAATGAGCTGTTCCCGATGGTGGTGGTTTTTCTTGGTGGTGGTACTTGGGGCTGGCGTATGGCCTTGGCCATGGAAGCCACAGCAACTGTGACTTTCTGACACCCAACTCTTCCTACAACTTCAACTCGGGGCCAACAATTGAGGTTGTGTTTGCGTGCACTTAGGCAACTCATGTCCATCAGATATGAATATACATATTCAGATGGGAGCGTGTTTGCAACACGGATATGGATAGGTTTAGCGTGGTAGCTGCACTCGCATAAAAAACAATATTATATCTACCAGTTTCGGGACACAATTGTATGCAATGATGGACATTTTGACGGCCTTAGTTTGGGGCTGCATTATCCATGAGCCGGGCTAACAATGTGCTGCATAAATTGAACAGAGGAGCAAGCTTATTATTGTGGATATCATACATAAAATTGTGCATAATGCTTCCACAGAGCTGTCAGACCATGAAATATGAGCAAAAAACAACGACAAGTATATGAATGTATAAGTAAAAATGTGATAAATGAGGGAGCTCGAATATAAAGTACCCTGTAAAATCTAGAAAAGTTGGAGCCTGATTTGTGCTCATTTTATAAGTCTAAGAATACTTTCGTTGACAGCGATTGATTGATTCAAAGATATCATGTACAATAAACTTTCTTGCTTAAAGACCAATTCATGTGCTGAATTCATGCACTAAATTTAAAGAATCACAATTTTATTCTTAAGTCTAGGTAAGGAGAGAGAATTGTGCATAAGTCTTGAATGTTTGAGGATGCACTTATAGACTGGGAGATAACTTAATATTGCCCTTGAGGTTGTCTGCTACATATCTGCCCTTAAAATATACCCACACAATTTTAGTATACCCTATTTCACTCACTTAAATCTGCAGGGCGAATAAAAGAAATGAAAGCGAAATAGAACTGTCTATTATTATTAAATTGTTTCCAGAAAAATGAGCTGCACAACGTCATTCATGACATTCTCTTCACTCGCAAGGCTCAAGTCTTTGAAAATCATTTGAAGTTTTTTCATTTTCTGCTTGAGCCCACTTTGCTTATTCTGCAGCCAGCCAGCAGCGGTCAGTGAACCATCTAAGAAAAAATAAAAACTTTCCTACTCATAATGTTCGCCATTCACTAATACTCATCGGCATCGGAAGTAATGCTATCAAACGAAACCATACATAATGATATTCACCTATCCATGCATCTCATGGCCCTCGTCGACAGCGTCCAGCTGTCCATGTGTCCAGCTTAAGGTGCGCCTTAGTGAAAGTAATGTGGAAATTTGCGGTAGCCAAAAATAAAAATTAATGGCCCAACACAAGACATTTTCAAAGCATTGACAGACACTGGACCTGAGGTACACCTATACTTATATTTAAGGTGCAATAAGTAGCCAGCACGATTGTCATTAGTCTGGGGCGGATCTATGTATAGGTTTAGGCTCCGGGGCCTAAATTTGCGACTTTATTAGTTGAAAATGAACTGAGACTCAAAATCCCCATTTGTCGTTGCACCTGCCTCATAAAGTGCTCAAAATACCAGCTGACTTGGCGAAAGCACGGCACAAGAATACAGAGAACGTTAATACACTCACCAAAAATAATGTGTGATAAGTTAGACATTAAAATTCTAAATCCAATAAATTCAGCTGCTTCAACTGTTAAATATTTAAATGTGCAAATATTTAAAAAATCAATTAGTTGATTACTTAAAGTATCATATTTTATTCATACGTGTAATACTTAACTTCTTAAATAATCTTCTCATTATTTTATAGAAATCAAATTATAAGCATGAAAATGCACCTTGGGATTGGTTCAGGAATTCATGTAACATTGAAGAATTGATCAAACCAATTTATGAATATTCTAGTTTGAATTTTTGCTTAAAAGTTTTCAGAAGAATGTGTTAGGAATCATATGCCCGTTGTACTTTAACTTAGAACATCGGTTTTCTCTGTGTGTACATACATATTTCCGCTTGTCGTTTTTCGGGGGAAAAGTTTTTTGCAAGCCACAATTATGTGGCCTTTGCGGCAGCTTTCCTTTCGCCTGCTTGCCTGCCAGCCTTTGCGGCAGCTTCATGTGGCACGTTCTGCGAGATACGTGGATACACAGATACAAATGCTGGCTCATGCATAAAACAGAGAGGACGGACAATAGTCAGCAAATCCAGCTAGCATTGGGCCAACAATTTGTCTTTTGTGGCAATGGCAACAACGGCAGCACCAACAACGAGAATAACAATAATAACAACAACACCAGCACAGGGGCAAGTCAATGGCCTATGTGTCCGCTTTTGGCCTGGCTTTAATAGATGCATATCATGGTCGGTGTGCTATCTAGTTGAAAGCCCTAGATCGAATCGATACACTCTCTAATACATGTTAATAGCATTGCCTGTTGGGTGTTGCTCGTATGGTAGTTGATGTTGTTGTTGCCACCCTCTCGTTTTGAAAATTTCCATACTAAAATTGAAGCTGCAAATGGCAATCGTTTATTGGCGGATAAATACTTTCTTTATGATCAACGCTGAATGGAATTAGAAATGCGAGACGAAAATTGCTAAATACCAAAATTGAAATTGAAGTGTCGACAAGAGCGACAACAACAGCAGCAGCAACAATATCTGCATCAGCAACATTGACAACCAAAACGGCAGCCAGTTTAAAAATGGTCAAAAGCCAAACACCTACCCAAGCAACATAGTCAACTAATATATTTGGCCATAAACAACGAAAGCGGCTGGCAAAGGAAAAAAAAACATGTCTAAAGCTAGCCACTGCAATGATCATTACAGCAACAACATATTCCAAACAACAGTAGCAACAGCTCCAGCGAGCAACAGCAACAGCAATAGCAACAGCAACAGCAACATTAACAGAGCTGTTGGGAAATGAGAAAACGAAGAAAAGAAAAACACGAAGCCGCAAACGAAGTCGGCGCGAAGAAAATCAAATTGTGATTAAGCCGACGCGAAAGAAAGGTCTATAAAAGAATAAAGCGCGCCAAGGCTGGCCATCAGTTTGATTCACACTTGCTGGCAGTGCAAGACGCGGCTCCAAGCTCAACACCCCCCAAAAGAAAAACCCAAAAGAAAAGCAGCCAGCCAAGGATTAAGTTAAGCGAGGTGGACGTGGTCGCGTGTGTGTTGGTTAGTGTTGTGCGTGAGTGTGTGAACAAATAGGAAAATGACTTTTAAACATAAGCATTTGCTGCTCGTACTGGGTCTGTGCCTCGCCAGCAGCAGCAGCAACTGCGATGCAGCCACCGAGCAGCTGGGCAATGTGCCCGGTGCCAGTGGCAGCAACAGTCAGAATGCTGGGGCACGCACCTTGCTGCGCGTCTACGACGAGTGCAATCGGGCCGAGAGCGGTTTTGTGCCATGCCTCAAGAAGAAGGCCATCTCCTTTATCGACCGCATTGCTCCGATTGATGCAATCAATGTCGCCGACGGCATTAAGCTGGTGCGCCTGGAGTCGGCGCCACGGCCAGCTGCCTACAGTGAAAATGAATTGGAATCGTCGCTAGCGCGTTCCGGCAGTGATCGCGATGCGAAACTCACAGATATGCTGATTGAGCGGATGAGCTACTTCTTCAACGGGCACTCGCTGCAGGTCAGCTTCCCCAAATTGACATCCGAGGAGATTGGACGCGGCCTCGAAGAAGGTAAGCTCGAAAACTATCCTAGAATTATATATCTAGAAATAAAAATAAATTATTAAATAGAGAGATTATACAAGAAAAAGCTGCACAATATTTTATTGGAAAATTAATATTTTATATATATTATTGGAAAATTATTTTTACAGAAATATTTTTAGCAGATATAGTTTTATTTATATACTACATATGCACTATTAATCAGTATGTAAACAATGAATCAAAGACTGAAAAAAAGAAAATAAATTGAATTTTAAATTTAAATTAATTTACAAAATTGTTATGCCAAAAGTATAAGCCATTCAACAACAAAAAAAATATTTCTTTTATATACACTTTTCAGAAATACTTTAATTTAAAAAAAAAAAAACATATTCATATCTTGTTGTTCTGATTCATATTTAGTTCCAGGACATTTATTTTTCTGAGTGTGCATACTGAAATAGTAGATTTAATTGAAATTACGTTAGCTGCCAGCAAAAGCACCGCTAAATGTATTTAGCCACTGCGCGTGACAGTGACATAATTTTGCGCCACTGCGCCATAATTGATGGTTATTAGAGACGAGAGTTGAGAGCCTGGCTCAGATTGTTACACATATGATAATATATGCCTTGTGGTGTATACATGGTATAGTTTTAGCCTAATTGAGTAGCTGGCAATGACATTGGCAGAAGCGCGATCGGCAGGCATTGCGACTTCAGTTGGCCCATTTCCTTGCCGACGCCAATTTTCTTGCAGTATGGCTTTTCATGTTTTTTGCATTGTTTGTTAAGAGCGAAGCGTGGAAATTCATGTCTCTGGGAAAATGTGCAATTGTTTTTTTTCCTTCTTTTTTTTGTACATACACACACACACACACACATACGCACACGCCGAACTCAATACACGAAACTCGTTCGGCAAGCCAACAATGACCCATAAACCTTAACAACAAGAACAGCAAGAAACAAACAACAACAACAACGATGGCGAAAAATTGTCATGCCAGAATTTCGTGTTAGCTCGCAGAAAACATGAATTTAATGCAAACATCAAAAGTCGAAATATTGATACACTTAAAGCCGCTTATAAAACATCCTAAATTGGCTAATTTAAAGAGATATTTTATAATGAATTCGAAATAATATTCGAGTTGACGAAGACGCAAATTATTATCGGCTAACAAATCCACTGAGTGTGTACTCATTATATGTACTCCGTCAGTTTACGTTAACGAGACTTGAAAGAAAGTCTGAATTATAAGCCATAAAGTAAAGTATGCTGCAGCTTAGCACGAGTCAATAGAGTATTAAATAAAAAATGAATTTAATTTGAATTGAACTTATTTAACCTCTTATGGATATTTTCTTCTTCTTAATATTCAAATCAAATTTGAAGTTATCACATTGATTAATAGCTGTAAAAGAAAGAGGGAGGGAAAAAAACAAATTTACATAAATTAATTCTTTTGGGTTATTTACATTTTACAGAAACTTGTAAAAGAACTGAGAGTATGTCATCATACTAGAAAAATAATTTGATAAAAAATTTAAAAATTCAAATATTGCAAAAAATTTCCATTCAAAACTGTGTGTTTAAAATTTAAAAAAACAAGGAGAGCGGAATACCATTAAAATCAACGATAAAATGCCTTTAGATAAAAATCTAGCTCTGATAGCTTGTCAAAAACATATCGAGATAACATGTTTTTAAAGAGACCCAAAGGAAATGCTGAAAGAAACGACCTATTCAAAGTCAAGGTATACTTAAACGTGGCCTCTTTTTTCCATGAGCACGTAAACAAGACATGGAGCGGAGGCTTTGAGATGTCATGACCATGCCGAATATAAAACGCAATGAAAGTGTCGGCCTGGCCACGTTTCTCTGGCCTCGTGGGCCATGTTAACGACTTCTTGGGCTGCCAGGCAAACGCTTTGCATCAATTACAAATTTGACACAAGCACTTAAAACATTATTCGGCTGCGACAGCAAACATTTGCCAGTAATTTTTCTCGTAATGAAAAGTGAACTTACTTTCACAGAGCACACAGTTTTTCTTTTACTTTCAAATCATTGATCAAGATTATATATTCAATTGATATTTATTAAAGCCAAAACTCGTCGAACATGGCCAACACTTTCCCAATTGCTCCACCATTTTTGGTTAATTGCAATCGCATCAATCGCAAGCTTGTAATGACTCTCTGTAATATCTCAACGCCTCCTTTTGGATTAATTTTGTCAGCTCTTAAGCAGAGTCTCCACTGTATGTGTGCTTTTCACTCAACCAAGTGAAATCGCCAAATGCATCCCTGTAGAGACTCTGCAACGAAATGAAAGCCGCACAAGTGGCATCTGCTTCAACTGATGGCCAAAATATATTCTCTCACAGCCTTTGTAAATCTTCGGAATCAACTGTTTACACTTTCACCAGCAAATACCAAAGGAAAATAATACTCAGAGTTCCATAGACATTATTATCAGAGATGCCTGTCCTAACAAACGCATTGTTTTCATATCAAGAAATTAATTGTAATGAAAGCGTGTGAAACATTACATTGTCACAAATAACCAATTATAATTTTTAAATGGTAAACAAACTAAGTTGAGTTTATTTGGTTTTAACCCAGTAAACGGGTTAAATTTTAAATGTGCCATTTATTCAAATTAATTTATATTCATAAAATGACATTTACACCAAACAGTAAAAGAGCAGCCTACATTGGGAAAGAATTTAAAACGACGACTGATATTTCCTTTTTACATTATATTATATATGTATTTGATTTGAGCTCCATTTTTATGTGTCTTATGTGCAGAATAACAAACTGTTTTTTTATGACTTCAACTTGATTACAGGTCGCGGTAAGATGAAGAAGATGGGCATGATGATGGCCATGATGGTTGCCACGAAGATGATGGGCATGCTGCCTATTGCCATGGGAGCACTCTATATGCTGGCTGGCAAAGCCTTAATTATCTCGAAGATTGCGCTGCTTCTGGCAGGCATTATGGGTCTAAAGAAACTGATGTCTGGCAAATCGTCAGGCGGCGGCGGCGGCGGCAGTTCCGGTTGGTCTTCCGGCGGTGGAGGCGGCGGCGGCGGCTGGTCCTCGGGCGGCGGCGGTGGTGGTGGCGGCGGAGGCTGGGACAGACGCTCCTTAACAGAGGCTCAGGAGTTGGCTTATCGTGCGCACAGCAGGCAACAGGCTGTTCAAAAGCAGGCAGTGCAACAACAGCAACAACAACATCAACAGCAGACACATTCAGCGCCGCTGCAATCAACGCTGACAAAGTCATAGACTACAAACCCACACACACACACACACACACTCAAAAACACACTCACTCACATACACACTTAAATACATAGAAAAGAGGAAAAGTTCATAGCTCGTCATGGTTGCATTTATCTTGTAGATAAATCACACAAACGCTGAGAATGAGAGAGCAAGCGCCCAGGCCGGCAAATTGTAATTAGATTTTCCGCGTTTTCTTCGATGCTTTTTGCACTCTTACACTTGATGCGTTTGCAACGGTTAACAGTTGCACCTACGGATACATCGCTGGAAATGTATCTGTAACGTGCACTTAGTGCCTTCTATTTTTTTTAATCATTAGCATTTGCATAAAACATAATACAAATCGATTATGTAATACGAGCGAATGTGACGCACTCAGTTCCGCTCAAATTTCAATCAATCATCAGCACACGACTGCAAACTCAACTCTGTCTGAACTCTTGTTTCTCTATCCAACTAACTAACTATCTATCCACCTGTCTATCTATCCACCTGTCTGTCTGTCCATCTGTCTGCCTGTCTGTCTGTCTGCCCGTCTGCCTGTCTGTCTGTCTGAATGTCTGCCAGTCTGCATCTATCTAACTGCTTAATGCACTCGCTCACAGTTCCTGTTATTTTTCAATTATTTATTATTCTTTAGCTGCTTCTGCTTTGGATTGCACCACCTCATCTTCTGGCCAGCCACGCTCTGCACTCATTTCCTCAGCCCCACTTTTCACGCGCACTCACATTTTTGATTAGCTCTAAGTTTAATTCGCTCTAACTGTAGTCTAGTGTGTAATAATTTATTATTATACTTTATTTATTTCCTTATTATCTAAGACGTATCTCGCATTTAAGCAGCAAAGTTTTCAATAAACAAAAAATGTTACAAAAAAAGTTACACTCAAACACACACATAAGATATAAATATATATAGACGTATATTCTTACATATATTTATAAATATTTATTTATAAATAAAGCAACATACGTACTGAAATTGTGCATGACTCAATTTATTCAATGTGTTCACTTTTGGCACAAGGCTAGCTTAAAGCAGTAAATCGAGGCAACTCACGTGCTGGCTTTGCACATGGGATGTATTCTACAACGCAAAAACACTTGCTGGCATGCTGTGGCCATATGCCAAGGACACCGCTGCCACATATGTTAGTTAGCCCACCCACTCACACATCCCCCATGAGCATCCTGTCGTTGGTTGTCACGCCTCATCCCACCCCAACAGAGGCCTGTTCTCGCTCGCAGAAACATATGTCACTGCTGATTTTGGGACACAAAGTTGATTGTTCCTCGCTGCTTAGGTTAAACGAACAAATGCTTCAGATAATTTATTACTTATGCACATGAGCATAGCTTAAATATAAAATATTGGTACTCAAATTCATACAATTGAAATGCATTGATTTCGTGCGCTTCATTTTAACACCTGATGATTTGATAAATACGCAGTGATTCAGCAAAAAATAGAGAAACACAATATTTAAGTTGTGGTTAGCATGGAATAGAACGGACTTAAAAGCCGCTTATTAAGCTATGCAAAAATCCCCGTTAAATTGAAATCAGGTTTCGATTAACCTCGAAAGAAGCGCTCACTAAGTGTACTTAAGTGGTTCCGTGATTGAAAATCTCAAAAGTTGAATCATATCTTAGTCAAATTCAACTATTAACTCTTGTCAATTATAAGTTGGGTTTTGTAACCGTGAACCTTACAAAATATTCATCAATATAAAGCAAGTTTCGCTACTCAAACCAAATACAAACCGAGTAGAATTCCATACCATATTATGTATTCTGGTTTAACCAAATACAGGTTTCGTACTTAATGCACTGCAAAATAGCTTAAGTGTGTATGGGATGAGGGAACGACTATTTTATTGTGGAAATAATAATAATATAAGTTATTCAAAGAGTAAGAATGGCGTTCTGCTAGAGTAGATGTTTGACTGGAAGACACCTTGTATCCGTGACCAAATTATCTAATAATATCCAAAATTAATACATTTGTATGAAATTTATTTATATTATTTATATTTTTATTAAATTGATGCTTAGAAATATCTGGAATATGTTGAATAATACGGAAGCTGTTGCTTATACCCCTTGAAAAATCACAAGAATCTTTTTATCAGACTGCCAGACAGTTCGGCTCGTTTATAAATATAAATACAATTTACATAAATTTATGATGCCCTTTCAGCCAATACCACCAAATGTTGTAAATTATTATCTTTTATCTTTCCTCATTTCTAAGCTGGATAACTTATGTAATCGCGAACTTGTAGACCATTTTGTAATACTCGTTTGGCCATTTCTAGTCAAACAGATTTTACAAATTAATTTATTCCTTTGTTTGGCTTGATTTTTGCTGTTTCGTGCCTGGGGAATTTTTTACAATCGGAATATTTAATGAACATCAACTTGTTACATGAGGCTCTTTTAGTGATTCCAACAAATTAATTGATTCTTTTATGTTGTTAATTTTTCCTGTTTTCTGGCCTGTAGAATCAAACACGCACGCATGGTAATTTTATGTATTTGTTTTAGTTTTATTTTACGGTCTTCTTAAAACTTATCTGTACAGTTCTACGGGCACGCTTACTTCTTCTTCCACCAGCCGGAGGAACCGCCTCCGCTGCTGTAACTGCTGCCGCTGCTGTAACCGCCGCTGTAGCCACCGTGACCGCCGCCACCATAGCCACCGCCGCCGTAGCCACCGCCGCCGTAGCCACCGCCGCCGTATCCACCGCCGCCGCCGCCAGTGTGGACAGTGGTTGTGTAGACCTTGTAGACCTGGACATGACCGCCATGGCCGCCGCCATAACCGCCGCCGCCGCCATAACCGCCGCCGCCGCCATAGCCACCGCCGCCGGAGTAGCCACCACCGGAGTAACCACCGCCGGAGTAGCCACCACCAGAGTAGCCGCCACCGCCATAGCCGCCGCCGCCGTAGCCGCCGCCGCCGTGTCCACCATCGATTATCTTGATAACCTGAACACCACCGCCGCCGCCATAACCACCGCCGCCGCCATAACCGCCGCCGCCATAACCACCACCGCCGGAATAGCCACCACCGGAGTAGCCACCGCCGGAGTAACCACCGCCGGAGTAGCCACCGCCGGAGTAGCCACCGCCGCCGTAGCCACCACCGCCGCCGCCACCCTTTCCAAGGAGACTCAAAAGTCCACCATGGGCCGAAGCTAACGTGGCGACCACAACGAGTAGACACACAAACAGCTGTGTAAAGGAAATAAATTTAAAATAAATACAGCACGACGAGAAGGACCCTTAATCCTTGTGGCCAAATGGGTGAAACGCTCAACTCACTTTCATTTCGCACCGAACGCTATCGCAGCAAACGAAAAACTAATTCGAATTAGCCAAAACGCTTGCAATTTATGAACAGCGCCAGCCTCCCGGCTGTCTACGAACGAATCCGATTAAACACAGCCAACAAAAACAACAACTGTTCAAGTTCAAGAACAACAAATTATTTGGCCAAAAACTAATTAGGTAAGGTGAGCTATTTTAGGCACTCCGAATTTTGCATACTCTTCCAGAACAAAGACCAGTTTTCTCAACGAAAATTAGTTATTAATTTAGAAATCTGAACGATTGTTTTTGTCGCTATATTATATAGACAATAAAGCTTTTCTTGGAAGAGCTTTGAAAGTGCAATTATTAAAGTGAAAGAGTCTTGTGAAGTTGCACAAAAGAAAATTTGAATACCAACATATATATATTAATATCGATTCGTCTTAGGAGTAAAGTTTATATATATATAAATATATATATGATAAATTCTGAGATGTTTTATTGTTTACGTTGTAAGGGTACAAAAAGCGACATACGACTGATCAGAGATAGTTATACATCTGTATCCACGAATTGAGAGTTGGCCTTTGGAATTATCTGGCAACCAGAACCGAATCTGGTTATGAATGTTGGTGCCTCTCAGAAAGTATATTTATTATGTGCATTAGTACCGGCTTCGGAAGTGTTTTCTATGGTGTGTTTACTAAACTAGTTCTTGCCGAATTGATTAGCATTTCATTAAGCTAAAACATTTCAAATTCGGTTCGAATCAAACACATTGATTGGAGAGTGATCTCAATTCCCCCAATCAATCCGTAAGTCGTCAATTTATAAAGCCCATTATACCATTATACCCTTGTTTTTTTGTTTTCAACAACACCAAAATTTATTCATAGTCAACAACTGTCCAAATAGTTGTTCAACAGACAAAATTACTGAAATTGTATGCTGCCCGGCTTGCATAGGTAGTTTTGTGAGTAGTTTACAACACTTTAACATACAAAACACAAAGCGAATGACAATAAAAATCTAAATAAACATATTAAAGTGTTGAATGGATCCACTGGGCATGGTTTATAATTGCAAAACTGAAAGATGAATCTGACATAACTAAAGCCTTGGCATGGATTACTGTGCGGTAGCTAAGTGAATGTGAATACGAATCTTGCAGACTCAAAATCAGATGTTCATAAAATGCAATAAGAGTTATAATATATAGCAGGAAATAGCAACTAAATTCCAATTAAATGCATATAACAAAGCGATGAAATAGAGATAAACTCAAGAGACAAAATTAGTGGTCATAAAAAGAGAACTTGTCAGCGAAAACAAATTGAACTGTTTAAGAGTAATAATTAAAAGTGAACTAAACATAAATTCGATATTAGCTTAATAGAAATTTGTACTTTAAGTGGGCCTCTTAATTTGTTTTTTTTTTTTCTTTCTATTAATTGTATGTAAATTATTAGAGGAAATGAATTTTAAAGTTATATTCGAAAATTAGCAATAAAGATATAAATAATTTGACATTTAATGTCTATTTTGAAGTGTTAAGGTCGTAATGTGTGAGCTATGATGCTAACATGGAAATGTTAAATAAATAAATAAATAAATAAATAAATACCCATAAAAAAAATAGAACAATATTTTGTAAGCCCTTCTTCCGCATATAGGAATAAAACTAGTTTATCAAACTTTATGACCTTTATTTAACTATGCTTATCCAGAAGTTAACGTTTTTCTTCATTTCAAATGAAATACCTACAAGGCTGATACTAATTATAGAGCTCTACAAGAGGTATTTATCTCTCATCCTTTCTAAGACATTTAATTTAATTTTACAGAGCTTTAAAAGTAAACCAAAACATTAAATAAAATATTTTTAAGATGTGTACATAATAATGAGCATCGTACAAAGTCAGGTAATGGCTTCTAGAACGTCTTCAATTAAATCGCAAAAGTGAAAATTTATTCAAAACTTTTGCATGATGTAGCACGTAATAAATCTAAGAAAAACAAAGCTGCCGCAGAGTAAGTGCTTAAGAGCCTACTCATGAGCTTAGTGGTTGTTCTCGCTTATATCCTTTTTGTTACCTTTTCATCATCATCGATAGACAAACAGAACACACGCGCTGTTAATTCTGTGAAAAATTCCCAATAGCAATTGCTCTAAATTTAGGTTTACACACTCTGGCATTGATGCCATATTTATTGAATGCAGAGCGAAAAAATCTGTATTTAATTTCGAATTGCAATATTGTTGCAACATTGTACAGATTGCCAATAAGTGCTTACACCTACTGGCATAGGCAGGCTGGCCAGTCAAAATTCGATATGTTATTTTAAAATAGTGATTAAAATCCTTTCTTCCTTAGTTGCCGCTCAAAATTGTATGGTGAGATACTGCCAGAGGATTTTGCTTAAGAGACTCTTCTCGAACAAGAGCTTTGCTCCGGCAAAAAACCTGGCAGGTAGTTGCACAGGACTGGCAATAAAGTAGTCGTATTTTCGACCATATTGCTAGCAATGTTTGAGAAACAATTTAGAGCAGCTTAAAAATAGGCACCAAGTAGATGGAAGAAATGCCAACAGCAGCTGTCACTGTGCTTAAAAGTATGCAAAGCTTTTAGTAGCATGCCACAGCACCCAACGTGGCGCCTTAAAGCAGACAACACAACGACTTTTAGCAATTTGACAGTTAGTGCAATGCAACAGCTAGTTATGTGCAGCTGTCATGCCCCAGCAGGTTGCCCCTTAATTGCTGCACTTAACTTGCGACCATCCGTCTGGCAAGTGGCCACAGTTGTGCTTGACAAGCTCCGCAATTGTGTTGCATGTTACAAGTGGCAATTAACACGCATGCGCTTCAATTTAAACAGCATGATTTATATTTCGGCACACTTTCGCAGCGTTGACTGCAGCAGCAGCTAACTCTGAAGTTGCACGTGGACTTGACCGTTTATATAGAATCATAATGTCAAGTGCATGAGACAGTTTGCTTCGAAGTGGCATGCAACACGCAACCAGGCAGAAAAGTGAAAACAACAAGTGGCACAGCTGAAAGTGAGCTAAAGACCCTATAAATAGATACACATACACAATAACTTGGTAATTAAAATGGAAACACCTCAATAGTCACCGTAAGTGGGGAACACGAAATAGTAAATACAAAATTAATGACAATTAAATAATAACAAAAACAAATAAATAAAATCAAAATAAACACAAAAACGGCTGCTTTCAGCTCAGATATTCGCACCATTGAAATTTAAAGAATCAGTTTCTGCTATTTCAAGATTGAAGTGTAACACATTTTTTGTTCAGTGTATGAGTGTGTGTGGCCTGCACAATTCAATTAGCAGATTTCAACCGCATTCGGGTCGCATTTGACCAGATCGCAAATATGCATATCTATATATATATATATATATATATATACATGATTAGGTCTAACACATAACTGTTGGCCACATAATTCAGGCAATGAGTGTGGCAAGTTATGCTTGAGATGGTGCAGTAAAAGTCAACTAGATACATTTACAGCTACTTATCTAGAGTTCGGTATTTGACCACTTATTGGACTCTGGGCGCTGCCACTTTCGGCGAAAGGCCGTAAAATCGCTCAACTAAAACAGTCGTAAAAAATGTTGATAGCTTTTTGGTAGAATTTTCGTTGGATACAAACAGAATCAACAGACATCGCTGCTGCCTCAGTTCAATTCCAAGCGGCGTGGCAAGTGCGTGTGTGCAAAGTAAAGATTTCCACCAAAAATAAAAAGGACGTCCAACGACAACAATGTGGCAAGTGTCAGTGTTGAGCATATATGTGCTAATGGCGCAGGCGAAGGCCGAGAGTCGCTTTAATGGCGGCACTTCCGGCCTAAACAATGAGCCACAACAGCAGCAGCTACAAGTGAATCTCAATGCCTGGCAGCCATTGACGGGCCACAACAATTGGCTCATTTTGCAGGCAACGGCGGCAACATCAATGCAGCAGCGCCAACAGCAACAGCAGCCAAACCAACAACAGCAGCAGCTACAACAACAACAGCAGCAACAGCAACAACAAGCAGAGCAGCAACAACAGCGACTTCCTGTCAATTATTACGCCTACAATCATCGCTATCAGGCAAACGAGGAGGCTGCCGTTGACATCGGAAATTACAAACAGGTGCGGCAAAATCGAAAAGTTGGCCCTTCCAGCTACGTCTTAGCCATAAGCCAGTCGATACCGAGACTCCAATTGTCGCCATCTGATGTTGGGCAGGATGTTCGCCTCAAGCCGGAAGCGCGCAAAGCTGACAATTTCGTGGCCTTAACTAATGCCGCCGATAAGCCAGTTGATGGCCCGAAAAAGTCATCGCCTCCATCATTTACAATTAACAACTATTTGGAGAGATTTGAGCGAGTCATGTCTAAGGTGCGCAGCTTTTGTGACACAGTGCGTGAACTCATCAGCATAGAAGCTGAGGGAGCAGAGGAGCAGGAGATGGAGATGGAAAAGCAGCTTCGGTCAGGTAAGAAATTACACTCAGAAAACTAAATATACGTAAACTCACGTAACCGTGAACCATTTCAATGATGAACAGAGTTGCAAGAATCTTTAGACAAGAATATATTTTTAGATTCAATGTTTTTATTATAATATTAACAACCTTTCAATATATTAATTAAAAAAAAGGCAAAGAAAAATTGATTTAATTTTAGAACTAAAAACTTGCAAATATTAAGCATCATTTGCATTTTTCATGCTCACAAATTTTTTGAGCATATTATTTTCTGTGTGTATGATGGCTAAGAATGTTGATTAAGTTTTTATGTCCCTAATGTTCGCCTGTTTTTCCGACTCGACGCTCAAAGGCCTGGCCACTTAATTAAGTTCAGAACTGCGACGCTTCTTTTATCTTCTTCTTGCAGATACCCAGTCAAGTCAATTGGAGGACAGCACTTTAACAGCGACATCAAAGGAAGTTCAAGGTCGTCACAGTCGTATGCCTGCCGTTTCGCAGAGCCGCAAGCTGAAAAAGTTGAAAAAGAAAATTCAGAAACTGCTTTTACCCCTACTCATTGCATATAAACTGAAATTTCTGACGCTGATACCCGTTCTAATTGGTGGTCTGACCCTGCTGGTGGGCACCACTGGTCTCGCTGGCTTCTTCTTTGCTCTATTTACGGCAGTGATGAGCCTGAAGTCATCAACAGGTGCTGGCCACTCCAGCAAAGCGATTGTATTAAAGAAAATTTGAGGGCAATTCCCATGTTTGCTCACAGCGATTGATTTTTTAGATTAAGTTACAGACTTAAATGAGGCCCTTAAGCTTTAAATTGGGTCCAGTTAAGCCGTTAAGCGGTGAGGTGCGATGGCTAAGATTGAAAAGTTTTTGCCTGAGTGAAATTAAGTAATATAGGCAAAGCAGCTGCTCAACCTATCAAAGAAGTTTTTATACTCTTGATTTGGTTCAAATTGAACACAAATATTTGGCTAATATTAATCTATTTATTTGTAGTTTTAAGATACTATTTGTTAAAGTAGAACTATTATATTTATTAATTATTTATTTACTATATAGTATTTCAACGTTCTTCTTTTTTGTTTGCTTCATTTTGTATTTATTTATTATATAGTAGCTCAATTGTCAATTTAAGATAATCAAATTGCATCGAATTTTGTAAAAAAGTAAATTACAATAGTTATTTAATTTGAATAAACAGATTTTCTTGTTGCTGTTTAGTCTTTAGTCTAATATACCTGAACTTAGTTAGGGCAACAACAGTAACAACACCAACAACCGGATGCCAGAAAATCGCATTAACACTCAAGAGACGTTAAAATGCAATGAGTTGCCAATATGGGATCATGACATGAATGTGACGACAGCAAAGCGTTTGCCGTTGACTGCGATTAGTTTTCGGAACCGACACGTTTGAATTTTAATGTGCGTGGCCACCTCACAAATGAACTAACAGGTAACAATTACATACACGCACCACACTATTACACACTCCAACATTTCGACAGGCGATTGAATATGTTTGCGCCTAAGCGATATTTAATTTAATTTAGTCAGCTGGCGAGTTGCGGCAAACAATAAACCCAATTGGAATAACAGCTCACAAATATTTAAATCAAATAATATTCCGATCAAAACGAATGCGTTGCTTATTGGACAAAGGATGTTTTGAAATTAGATTATGTACGCATTAATTAGATTTGTTGACAGCTACTTAAATTGAGCTGCACGTTTGGAAAGTTTACAATATATATAATACTAATTTTATAATTAAGAGTTGGATTTAATGTGCGAATTTGAGTTTTATTGTCTTGCAGTTTTATGTTGGGAAAGAGCTAACAGTGTTTTTTGCGGGTTTTAATTATATTTGCGAAAACTAACTTGAATATTACGCATTAGTGCAAATTATGACATTTTAAACATGTTTTTAAATAAGATAATAAATTTAAACACTCTCTGACTCACGAGGCACAGCAATTTGCTAATTTGAAGAGGGGTAGGCGGTCTCATTAGCAAGCATTTCTCTTGAAAAAATATATCAGCAGCTGAAATGGCAAGTGAACCGCAACGCGGCAAAGTAAAATGCTTGCCAACAATAATGAAGAGTTTTAACTTGTTGATGTCTGAGCCATGGTAATCATGCAGACAACAACAACAACAACAACATCGGCCAATCCGTTTATTAAAGTGGGGAAAACTTAATGTGTACGTTCACGCTCAAGTAAAACTGAATCGAAAACCAGAACAGAAAGAAAGCAAACGAAAATAAGTTTGAGCAAAATAGAATAAAACAACAGCAACAGCAATCGCGGACTATTAGCCACTTGGCCAGAACTGCAGGTAGCCCAAAAACCACTCAAACGCAACGATCCAACTATGCGGGTGCATAACTCAGTTAGTTAGTCAGTTAGTCAGTCAGTTAGTTAGTTAGTTACTAGTTAGTTTGTTAAGAAGTGCGCTGCAGTGTAGAACTGTATAATCGGAATGCGCTTGGCCAACATTATTCTGTGTGTGTCCTGCCTGATTGCGGTGGCACAGAGTCACAGTTTGCCGCCAGCGGTGCAGTTGGGTGGTGCAATTGTTGCCGCCGTTGAACAAGATGCCGAACAGGAGGCAGTTGCTGAAGCAGCAGCAGCAGAAACAGCTGAGCAGCGGTGGCTTCAGCTGGCAGAGCAGAAGCTGCGAATGCTCTTCAGTGATGAGCTGAGCGCTGGTCAAGTGACTGAGGTCCTCGAAAACTGGACAGCCGAAGGTATTTATTATAGCATGCGAATCTCCATAAGTTAAAATTGCATGCCACTCTAACAATACTATAATAAAGTTGAATATGAAACGCAATAATATTTGAGTTATTTATAAAATAGAATTCCTATTCATTTATATTAAGTTTGGATTAAAAAAAGGATTCAATTCAAATAAATATCCTGTGAGGTTATTAGGCTAACAATTTTGAATGCGTTGTTATTTAAAATGAATAGTTAAGTTGTATTAAACAAAGTACTTTATCCAAATAGAGTATTATATAATTATGTTTTTATTTTTTCATATAATTTGAAATATGTATTTTATAAGTAACAAAAAATACTTAAGAGTTCCCATTTAATGATAAAGACTTCAGTGGCGAGATTTATTTTATATGTATTTTTTATTATTATTATATACATACTTAAACGCGTTTAATAGCCAATTTTACTACTGCTCAGTGCACAATTAATGCTTCCATTCACACAACTACTTTCCAGCTCGGGGCAAGCATCGCAAACACAAGAAGATGCTCAAGATGCTTTATCCACTGCTGGGCGCTGCGGTGCTGGCCAAGTTGGTGTTGCTGCCCTTGATCTTGAAATGGCTAACGGCGCTCTCGGCCTCATCATTTGTCATGGGCAAAATTGCGCTTGCCGCTGCTGGTCTTTTGGCCTTGAAGTCCATGATGACGCACGATCGACTGGAGATCGTGCATGCCACATCATACGCACCAGCACTGAAGAGCTATCATGCAGATCTATCATCGGCTGGCAGCAGTTGGATGCCAATCAAGCAGCATTATATACCACTGAACGTGGCCAAGGATGGAAAGAATTTGTATAAGCCATTTCTATAAGCGATCGAATTTGTCTGTTAATGTTTAATATGCAGTGTTAGTTGTTAGCCAATAGGCCCAAATAAAACCACATAACTTTAGTTTGCTGCTGCTGCTGTTGCTGCCTGCTTGCCTGCTTGCTTTCAATCACAATTAATTAACACATGCCTAGGCAAATGATGTTACGTGGACCCAAAGCAAAGTCGCACAACTCGACCAGGTCTGACAATGCGTCAATGCGTGCGGAGAGCCGTTATGCATAAAAACGGTTTATTGCGATGGACGCGACGCGATGCGATGGCCAAGACGAACTTCCGCAATTGCGTCGTGTTGCAATACAGGTAAAAAGACGACAACAATGCGGCTTATGTAAAAGCCAAAAGCAAAATCAATAAACAGGTCGACACAAATCAATCAGCATGCAGCAGATGCAGCCAACAACTTGGGTGGGTATTCAGCGAGGGCTGTCACAACAGTACGCAACGTAAACTGTAAGTTGCTCTTAAGTCGCAACACATCAAACCAGAAACATCAATTTAAAAAAACAATTATTAATAACCTTTTATACTTAATGTAGAATATATTCTTCAACTTAAGTTTCTCTTTTCTCTGTGGATTAGCACTGAGTGTAGTTTATATTTTGTTGTAAATTAATTACTTTATGTAAGCACTCAAAGCCAGAACTGAAAATTACCCAACAGTCGACTCTGAGAATGCCCCCTAGAGTTATTAACTATGATTGCGACTGTGGCAGAGTTGTGCTTGCGCCACGCAAGTGAAAGTTGTAGGGCGAACATTTTATGGTAATACAAAAGCACACAATACTTCAAATACAAATACAAACACAATTGCAGGCTGGTTAGCGCAGAAACAGCAAAACGCGACAACAAAAACGATGTCGAATGCTAGCCGCATATCTAACAAATCGATCAACAAGGCGTCGCCTCTGTGTGCCTCTTGGCTGACTCTTCTTTCTAGTTAAGAAAATAGACAGAAGAGCCACGTGACGAAGACCTAATGCCCTTACAGAGTTTTGACTATTTGGCAATTTAATTATCTGTTCTTCAGCAATATATTTAAGCATATAAACAGTGTGATATAAAAAATGTCATGTCTCTGATATTAATGGGAATAATTAGTTATATTATCAAAACATACTTAGGAAAATGTGCCTGATTTTAATCAGAATAATTATTTATAAAATCTATGATTTTTAGATTTAGTTATCTGCTCTTCAACCATATATTTCAATATGTTAATGAATATCTAAATGTCTCCGATATTAATCAGAATAATTATTTATAAACACAAATTGATAATTTGAAAAACATTGTCTAATATATTTAATCGTATAATTGTCAAGTTTGAAAAAGAAAATGTATTTTTTAAATACTACGCACATGTCAGATAAAAAAAAACAACAACAACAAGTCGCGATTGTTGTTAATTTCGTCAAAATATTCCATTCTCTGCTAGAAATACCCTAACCAATGATGAAAGTGAAGTTGCAGGCGGGTGTTGTCATCGTTTTGTTGTTATTTTGTTTTGTTTTTTTCTATGGCTAAAGTCGCATCTCAGATAGTCTGTTGAGCTGACAACATTCTCAGTGGACGCTTCGATGAGTGCGCAATGTTTGCGACTCTCACGAGATTACTTAACCAGACCATTTAGCATAGATACAGCAACAACAACAACAACAACTAAAACTTCAATTTCAACTTGAGGTGTTTGTTGTTTGAACATTTGTGTCAGCAATTTCACTTTCTTTGAAGCTTGGGCAAATGGGTTAAAAAACAACAACGCTCTGCCATTGTCAACTAACTGATGAGAGGCCCTTGGCCTGTGAAAGTAGTGTGGCCACTCCCACAGGCACAGTTATAGATTTTTGGTTGGGAAATGTGCTCATAGCTGAAGTTTTTGGGACTCATGGGGCTATGACAGTTGCCTCACCAACATTCGGCTACAATGTCAATGATTTTGCGGGGCAAAGTGAATTGAATTTAGTTTAGAGTTCGGCCAAAGTGCTCACAAGGTATTGCCCATGAATTTTTCAGAGACCCAAACCCTAAATAAAAAAAGGTCTGCACTTTCTCAGTCGCAGTCTGACGAGCTCTACGCACAATATTTACAATTCATATTTGCGCAAATGAAAAGAAAATCAATTTCACCTTTCGGTATTTACGCGTTTAACCCAAAAATGTTCCCAATAGCTTCTTTTTGCTGTCACTCGATACTTTTAGCTTTATTTCTTTTCAATCGGCACTGGGCTAAAGGGGGTCGGGGCAAAAACGTTTAACTAATTTGGAAGAAGTTTGTTTTTGGCTGAATACTTATGCAAAAGTAAACAATTAGCTTGAGTCAACAGGAGTTTTTTCTTTTTGCAATCAAAGTTCATTTTAAATTGATGAATATAAATTTATTAAATATTATTATTATAAAGATGTAAGTAAGGGATAAGTATATTGAAGTTTTTGGTTGTTATACATACTTTTCATGGGTTCATTTTTAGGTATACTTTTGCAACTTTTTAGACGCATGTGATCTCTTTTTGTTGCGTGTATTTATGTTATTTCATTTTATATTTATTTTTTCACTCAAATTAAAGTATCTTTTGGCGCATTCCTCTGTCATTTACCCAACTCTTCCTCTTTATTTTTGGTATGCCAAATTTAAAGATTTTATTTATTTAATATGCATACAAACACGCAAATGGGTCAATAGAACGCACACTGATTGGCCCCAGACACCTTAGCAACGTTTGCCAACTCGAGCTGCAAAAATATGTCTGGCTAATTTAAAAAGTAAACGCGGCAAACAACAACAATAACAAATGGTGCTATAACGTATGATCGACTAGAATGTTACCCTGCTAATGTTAATATTTATTACCTTAGACTACTAACGGTTAGTAATTTTTAACTATTTTATTACTATTCTTAAGCCATCACTTACTTAATCTAATATGAATAATAATAATAATACACAATATAATAATATTACAATTATATTCTCATTTTTTATGACACAAAATAAGTTTACCAAAGCTCTATATGAAATTTAAAATAACTCATATTCACTGCTTACAGGGTGTCATTAATTCGAGTAACACGACACTTGACCACACCCACAACACTCAAACACAAAGAGAGAGGAAAGTATGCGGCACAATTGGTTTATGGCCACTTGTTGCGGCTAATTGAGTGACGCCAGTCAACAAATTGTACGCACACGCTATGAACCTTATGGATTATAAATATATATATATCTATATATACAGTGGCTTACAGTTCATTTCGGGCAGTGTCTAGCAAAAATTTTAAAGTGCTATAAAGTTTAAACAAAGAAACAAACGCAAAATGTTTAAATGCCAATTTGTTTTATGTTATATCACGTTTGAAAAGGAAGCTTCAGTTTTTATTAAAATATTAATTAATTAACTAAAATTAGTCAAAACTTAAAACATATCCAAAATACATGTTACAGTTTTTTTGGAACAGTCTTGGAAAAGTAACATATTAGGCGTATAAAAACTTAAATAAGGATGTTAATACTTAGTATGATATCCTTTAGCCTTAATAACTCCCCTTAACCTATTATTCATGGAAGATACCAGCTTCCGGGTCGTTTCTGGACTGATTTTGCTCCACTCATCCAGCAGAGCATTTTTGAGATCGGATCTGTGATTCCTGATGTTATTTTCCAGCAGAGCCCACAAATTTTAAATAACATTTAAGTCTGGAGACTGGGCCTGTGGAATTATCGTGTGGGGGCAGTTCCAGATATGCCAGGACTGTACTAATCCGGACTTATGCTTGGCTTTTGTCCTGGTCGTTGTCGTGGTAGAACCGGAAAGTACGTCGGATTCCTAGCTTCTTGGCACTTTGGAGTAAATTTTCCTTGAATATATTGAAATACACACTCTTGTCCATTGTTGTTTCAAAAAACACCAAATTTCCCACGCCGGCTTCCGAGATACATGCCCATACCATGACACTTCCTCCGTCGTGCTTGACTGTTGCCTTTAGGATTTTGGGACTCAGCTCAGTATCGGACTGTCGCCACACATAAGTCCGTCCGTCTGAGCCAAAAATGTTGAATTTGGGCTCATCTTCAAATATGAATTTGTTCCAGAACTCCAAATCCTTGTCCAAGTGGGTTTTGACGAATGCCATCCTAGTCCCTTTATTTTTGGCGCTTATAAAGGGCTTATTCCGTGGTACTTGGGCATTAAAGTCATGGTTGCGCAGAACCCGGCGCACAGTTTCCACACTGCACTTTTTCCCCATTTCATCCTGCACCTGTTGAGTCAGTTTTGGAGCCGATAGCTTGGGATTTTCCCTTATTTTCCTGATGATCCTCCGCTCCTCCTGTTCGGTGAAAATCTTGTTTGGTGCATTTCTGCCCTTGTCCTCTATTCGATTTTCGTCGACGAAGAGTCGAATGATGTTGAATACAGTTGTGGTGCTTAGATTTACCATTTTAGCTATTTGGCGATGTGAATATCCAATCTGGAAGTGTTCCAGGATGAGATTCCGTTGCTCAATGGTAGTCCGCATGTCCATAGTCCTTGTTGGCTGGTGGCACCCGAGATGCAGGATATAACTAAACTGACTACGAAGGATTGGTCTATTTATTCCAAAAATAATCATCCCGGCGTAAAAAATCCAGGTTTTATGGCACCCAGGTGTCCATAATGCCACTGCCCGAAATAATATGTAACCATAATTTCAGGTACTTTTTTACATAACCCGGCCTAGCCGGTGGGGAAACCCCAGTTTATGGGGGTCATATATTCATTATGGTGGTTAATATATGTACCTGCCACCGGTCTTTGGAATTTTTGAAAAATATTGGATAATTTGTTAATGGCAGGCAATTAAAGTTTTTGCTAGACACTGCCCGAAATGAACTGTAACACACTGTATATATATAGATAGATATCTATGGCTGACTGTTTTTGGCAAGGGCCGCCCGCATTCAAGCCTTTGTGAAGCTGTCAGAAACGCATTACGCCAGAACGAGAGAGAAGCGTTCAAAAAGGGGGAAGGAAAAAAAGGTTAGCAACAATTGACAGCTGTGTCGGGTAAAAAAGAGAAATTATTTATATGATTGGCATTTAGAAATTTCATTTGATTTGACATTTAACTGGACAATTGATAACTGACTCACACACACACGCCAATCGTTGTTGCTGCTGTTGTTGTTGTTGTTGCGATTGCTGCAGGAACCGGCGAAATCAGGTTTTTTGATGCCCATTGCAAATTGCAAAATATTCACTCGAAAAATTACATAACTTTCACTCCACGCTAAACGACGTCAATGAATGAATGCGAAACTGGACCGCAACTTAGCCAAAACGAAAAAAGAGGTTGAGTGAAGGGGTAAGGGGGGGTTTTTAGTAAAATAACAGGTGAGTTATCATCAATGAATGCGTGGAACTGATGAAATATTTGGCGTGCCTCGAGCTGCAACGGACAATTATGCAAATGAGGAGCAACAAGTGAATCACTGCTGCCAAACCCGAGTAAAGGTATGCGATGCGTATGGTCGTGGTACACTGAGAAAATTAAGTGTGGAATCAAATATTTGAAATTCGTCTGTAACTGTTTAATTTGCTTGCTTTATAATTATTATAATTAGTTTTAGAACTTACAAGAATTCAATTCAACTACAGCTGGGATCAAGTACCCAAGAAGGCGTTTCGTACTCAATTCTTAAGCTTAAATTACACCTAACTTGACTTAAGCTGAGATTCTACTTGGAAAGATCCAGGAAAGATCATCCCAAGATGATTTCTTATATTTAATACACTTAAGCATTACCTTAATCATCTTCAAGTGTGTAATTTGAAGTACGTTTTGTACTCACTACTTGGGTGCGTACATAATAAATTTATAAAATACTGAAATTAAGAACTAAGTGCGCAACTTACTTACCTTTTTTTCTATGTGTATGTGGTGCGTATATGGGGTATGTTTAGCGTACTTTCTTTTTTCTGTGCCTTTTCTCAAGTTGTTTTTGTTTTTTTTTCGTATTTTTAGGCAGCTAAAACAATAACCGAAAATAAAGGCGCGTCACTCATACGCAGCGTGTGACAGGCCGACGCCCGTGGGCTCCGCTAAATCCACACAGAGCAATAACAACAATATTGAGCACACAGCATTTAGTGTCGCATATCGTTGTAATATAAATGAAAGTGAGTGAATTGGGACTCTTGTTTTTGTTTTTTGTTGTTCAATATTTTCGTCTCTTCAATGGATTGGCTTTAATAAGCCGCTGGCTTAATAAAATACAAATTGTCTTGTTCCGATTTTTTATTGTCGACATTTTTTCATATAACTTTAAAACTTTAATGCCATATATTTTTTTGGCTCTAAGACAGAGAAATGTAGAAATGTTCACGACGAGCGTGTGATCTCTGTAAACGTGACTGGGAAAACATTGATAATGAATCAGTTACAGCTGAAAACGTGTTTGAGTCCACATCAATTAAATATGCAAAAAAAAAAATATTTGAAATAAAATAGCAACATTTTTTGTGTTCTCACTTTTCAAAATAGCAAGGCAACATTTCATTTGTCACTTATTCGCAGTCCACTCAAAAATAAACTGAAACATACCAAAGCAAACTGAATTGAGAATCTTAAACTGATATTTTGAAAATTGCTTAACGGTAATCAGTTGATAACAAATTCAAATTGCAAATAATTAGCACTCAGGCAAATGATTATACCCCAAATCATTGCAACAGTCGTAGTTGTGATCCATGCGATTATGGTCGTAAGAGGTGCTAAATGTTGTTTCGACATGGCCAAAAGGGGCAAACAGAAGATGACCCATTTCCATAAGCAGCAACAGCAGCAGCAGCAGCAGCAGCTCCATAAATGGTAGGCTCCAAAAATATGCAGCGACCGGATCAAAAAATTAGCAAAAATATGAGTCTCAACTCTGCCGATATTGCGAGAGTCGAATGAAAGCGGCCTTTAAAGTTGGCTCGAAGCATATAGTGGAGGAACAAGCAAAAGCAGAAGCGTAGCCGCTTTTGGGGAGGGCGTGTATCGATGCCATAATTACCTGAGCCTGAGCCTGAGCTCATCATGGGTGCCCAGCCAATGATGCCAATTGTTTGCACTATGCTCCACTCGAATTCCACTCGGATTCCGCTCGCTCTACTGGCCAAGTCCAAGTACAAGTTTCTCTCCGTAAACTTACACGCTGAAGCTGACGTCGACGTCAACGTCGACGCTGGCGTTGAATTTGACGTTGAGGTTGACGGATGACGACTTTTTGGGAGGCGTCGGCGTCGGCGTCGCTGCTCAAAAAACAGTTAAGAAGAGTCAGCAGCAAATGAACATATTCACTTAACAAACAAGTTGACTTTATTTTTCTTTTTCTCTTCTTTTTTTTTTTATTTTGATGTTGTTGTTTGGCCCGTTTGTGGCCGCTATAGTTACTGTTGTTGTTGTTGTTATTATTGTTGTCGTTGTTGTTGTAGTCCCCTAGATTTATGCATGTGCTCGGTGCCTTTATTTTCGCGTCTTTATTTTTTAACTTTTTTGGTTAGCTTCCGCAGTCGGCGGCGACTTCGACTGCGTCTTGGCGGCTTTTTTTTTTTTTGTTTAATTTACTTTTGAAATTGTTTTGTAATGCGCTGCGACGACGATGACGCTGACGCCAGCTGCGCAGCTGCCAGAAAATGTCGCCCAATATAAAAGGCTAGACGTCTGCAGACTTATGCATCAAATTCATCTCGAGCTCAGCAAAAGCAGCAGCAGCCAGCAGCAGCTAAGGATTAAAACGCGTCGCGTAATAATTAAAGAGATCAATCAAAAAAACCACCAAACTTAAACGAAAATGAAAGTGTTCGCCATTGCCTGTGTGAGCCTCTTATTGGCAAGCTGCGTTTGGGCCGCGCCCGGCGTGCAAGATAATAGAATCGAAAGTGACAATACGCTCGGAAGGGCAGCCCGGTATTTGGGCGCCTGTCTCGACAGCGATGATATGGCCACCTGTTTGGCCGTTAAGGGTATTACCGCATTGAATCGCGCTGCAAGGAGCAACAACATTGAGCTGGTCAATGGCGTCACCTTCATGAGGTGTGTTTAAGTGCGAACTTAGTGTGTGTGTGTTCTTTGTGACAGTGTATAAGCCGAGAAAAAAAAAATGAACTAGAATTTGACTAGCCATTTTTTGATTGGCAAGTGCATTTGAAAAGCAGATGGATTTTATGGCCTTAAAGAAGAGCTCTCATTTTGAAATTTTGCTCAAATCTTACCACAAATCAAATTTGATTATTTTAGGGTATATTAAATATTTTGTTAGGGAAAAAGTTTCTGAATATTTGCATATTTTTAATATGTGTTCTTATAACAGGAAAAGTTTTAGTGAGCATAACGAAAAAAAGTGCACACATTAATATTCATTTATCTGAAAAATATAAATTAAAAAGTTGTTATTATGTTGGACAGATTTGGGGCAAACACATTTACTCAAAGAAAATTTATTTCCCAAAAATTGGAAGTTATTTTTAAAAAAACGCCAACATTTTTTCTGACTTTCAGGCTAATTTTAGTTCAAGGGCATACATTTTTCTAAGTGTTTGAAAGTAAATCACTGAACCCTAAATGAAATTAAAATATGCAAAAACAAATTACGAAAAATGCTAAAGTTGAGTTTCGTTGTCTTTGCAGAGATCCTGCCAGTCCTGTGCAGCGCAGCGGCAAGTCCTTGAGCGAGCAGGACATCTACGCCGAGCTGCCACAAGGCGAAGAGCGCAATGGCCGTCTGGTTGATTTGGCCATCTCGAGTGTTACCGACTTTTTGACCACGCACAATCTGGAATTCAAATTGCCCGCTGAGACCACCCAGCAAGTGGCTCGCGCTTTGGATGAAGGTATATAAATACAAATCAACTTCAAGCTGGACAGCCATTATGTTAACTGTTAAATTTATTATTTGTTTTAGGCCGCGGCAAGATCAAGAAGATGATTGGCCCCATTGCTTTGGCCATTGGCGCCAAGTTGTTCGCAGTGATTCCCCTGGTGCTTGGATTCCTCGCGCTGTTGACCTTCAAGGCTGTGATTGTGGCCAAGATTGCTTTCGTCGTGGCTCTGCTCGTCGGTGGCTCTCGTCTGCTGGGCGGCTTTGGCAACAAGTTCGGCGGCGTCGGCTCCTTTGGCGGTGGCTACAACTCCAACGCCTGGTCTGCTCCCGCTAGCCCTGGCTGGAGTTCGGCTGCCTCCTCGTCCTATCCCTATGCTCGCAGCATTGCTGTTGATGATGCCCAGGAGTTGGCCTACTCTGGCCAACAGCAGCAGCAGCAGGAACAGTAATAAGCAGTTAGCCGCCTTTGGCCTTTTGGCCAATAGCCAAAAATGTGCCGTCTTAAATTGAAAGTTTAGTTTGTAGTAATTTATTTGAGAGCGTGCAGCTGACGCGTTATTAACTAATTAATTTATTGTATTACATTACACAACACGACACACACATCAGCAAAATTAGTCATGAAAATAAAAATCGATTATTTACCGAAAATATAAGTTTAATGCAGAAGTTTTGCTTGTAAACAGTACAACTGTGGCACGACTTTCCCAAGGTCTAGAGCAAAGTAACTGGTTTGTGTGTGACAAAAATAAAATACATGCATGTGACACTCTTCAACACTTTGTGGCAACATGTTTTGTGTGCCAGGCAATTAAAACTTTTTGCCTTCTGGTTCGCTCCTAGCAGCGTCAAACTCTAATTGATATATATACATACATATATATATATGTATATATATATATATAATTATGTGTATTTTGAATTTGGTTTTGGCATATGAGTCGGCTCATAATTAAAATTTGTGGTATGCCAGTTGGTTATATGAATGCCTATTGCCTGGGCATGCTCATTGTTAAACTTTCTACATAAACGTCACATTAAGCGATCGGTTAAAGATATATATGTGTATATATATATATATATATATATATATATATGTACGAGTAACAGTATGCAGGCATGTGCGACAATTTAGCTTTCTTTCTTTCTGCGCAGATTTGTCAAAAGATTTAGAAGCAATTGAAATAGAAAACGCGACACTTTACTAAAAGAGAATGAAATCGAAAGCGACGTTGAAAGCGGCATGCGTCCACGCGTCTTTCACTAACTGGGCCAAAACGCACATTAAGTCAACAGCGGCGAGGCATACCAAATATGGCCAAGTACGCCGGCGACTAATAATCGGTTTAATGAAATTCAATGGCATGGCTAATGAGACAACGAGACCACAAGACCACAAGACAACCGACCTAAAGAATCTGGCACATAAGCAAATGGAGTCACGTTCCCATCGGACTGGCCAAAAGGCGTGGCAACTTTGTTGCATGCCAATTAGGATCGGCTAACGGTGTGATAGCTCCCTCAACTTGTCAGCCAAAAGGAAATTGGGGCATTTGCTTATATAAAATATTCAACGAAAAAAAAAAAACAAAAACAAAAACAAAACAACAACAAAAAATCATATTCAAAATGTTCGGCGACTTCCCTTTCGTTTGGGACGTGGGACGTACGTGAAAATATGGTCAAGAAATTTTTGTGTTGGGTGCCCATCGACAATTGGCCGTTAAGTCAGCTACTGAAGCCAGCTACCAGCAGCATACGCATAAAATTTGCATAAATTTGTTGTGGTTGTTGTTGTTGTTGTTGTTGCTGTTGTTGTTATTGATGTGCAGTGCAGCGTTTGTTTTGTATTTTTGGCCCGCGATTTCTAGCCATCCAAATTGGACGCGTACAAAATCGAAAAGGTATAAAACTCCGTGCCATTGCATTCAATTAATCACAAAGCAATTTCCACTCACAAAACCAACAGCAGTGTGTGCGCTGAACGGTGTGGATACCACAAAGGATTATCATTAAACAAAAATCAACCACCCCCCCTCAAAAAACAGAAAACATCCATCTCTAAAAATGTGCGCGAAATTTGTTTGTGTTGTGCTCGTGGCGAGCTTTGTGTGCGGCTCTTTGGCTCTGCCCTCGCAGGATAACAGCGAAAAGGATTTAGTGAATATGCTCAACAAACTGGATAACGAGGAGTCGATTTCGCTATTTGGCGGCCTACGCATCGATCGCACCGAAACCGGTCGCAGTTTTGGCTCCGCCAAGTCGCTGGAATCATTTGAGGATCGTGCCGAACGTTATCTGGAAACGCATGAGTTGAATCTCTCATTCTCTGGCGATGAGCAGTCTGAGAACGCCGAGAATGTTTACAGCGGACGTGCCATGGAGGGTGAGTAATCATTAACCGCAATGCCGGCGTTGGCTTTCATTCCAGTTTGTCTGACCGTGCAACGGTGACAAGTTGATTTGTTGCACAAAATGTGCCACAAAATGTGTCGAGTGTCGCAGATTGCCTGTCTGCCTGCCTGTCAAGGGGCTTCATATTGCGCATACGCCACAAGCAACTAATGGTTGTCTGCTTTGAGCTGGCTGCGCTCGTGTTGCATACTTTGCGGCGACGACTGAAACTTTAACTTCAGCATCTTTTCGTTGCATACTTTTGGGCGGTGCGTGCTTTAATGCTAATTTAATGGTTAATTGTCCACAGAATCGCGCAGCAAGCGCATGAGGAAGATGCTGGTGCCACTGCTGTTGCTCTTGAAACTGAAGAAGGCTATTGTCGTCAAGGTCATGTTCACCATCATCAAGTTCATCTCACTGAAGGCGCTGGCCATCTCCTTCCTTGCCCTCATTCTGGCTGGTAAGTCACTTATTTCGAAATGGATTGAATTACGTATTAAGCTATTAACTCTCATCGCTCAGGTGCCACCTTCTTCAAGGATCTGTTGGCCAAGAAGAAGGATCACATCACCACTGCCTACATCACTGGCAGCCCATTGAACGCCGAGATTGTGCACTCCGATTGGAACCGCAATGGTCAGGCTAGCGCTGCCGATTTGGCCTATAACCATTATGGTCTGGCTCAGCCCTTCTAAGTTGGCCAACATGAAACACAATTAGCTATCTCTCAAGTCAGCCCTCATCCTTTGCTATCCTATCCTATCCTACTTCTTATTTTCATACTTTCTGCACTTTCCTCACCACTTCCACCCCCCTTAAGAGACTTAACCCTTTCCCATGGCTAAATTCGTTGTAGCGTTGTAGTCAATAATTATTTAGTTGTACTTAGTTAGTTAGCTGCGACATACCAAAAACCAAAAAAAAAAAAAAAAGAACACATAACGATGACAACCGATAAATACCAAACTCGACTTCGCCAGCTCAGGACAATGCACAAGGAACACATTTATACCCATGCTTGCGCTATATTTATTGCACAATCAGGAAACATGCTCTCCCAGCAGACATGCAGCTCAGGTTCATAAAAACAAAAGCAAAAACAAAAGCAAAACAACAAAACAAAAGAAAACGATATGTAAGCAATCGAAATACTTATGTCTGCTAAATGACTTTACTTACTAAGTATTTATTTGAATAATTTATAGCAATTGAATAAAAAGAATTCATGAAATGCAAAATAAAAGTGTGTATTTTATTTAAGATTTTCAAAAACAGAAAGAAATTTCCATAAATCGAATAAAATGTCATCATTTTATTACTTTCTATATATTTACTGCTGCTCCCATTTAGTTTGTTACATATTATTGCGCTCAGCATAATGACAATGACTAAACAACTTCAACAAGTCATCAGCATAAACACTAGCCAGTTAGTTAGTTGCTCCAATTAGGCTAAATAAGTCATCGTCGACTTCTAGTTATGAATTAATTGAGAGATGTCCAACGAGGCACGCGACTTTTATCTGCCCCATAATTAAGCAAGTATCTGTGAATTTTCTTTTCGACTTGAGAAAACTCGGTCCGTGGGGGGGTCTAATGGTGACAAAAATTAGACACACGTTGCGCTACGCTGAACGCCGTGGCGCAGCGAGGAGCCGCAGAGGAAAGCGAAAGTGCCGCCTATTGGCCAAGTTGGGTTTTGGCTTCGGACTCAGTTGAACGACTCTGGGAAGAATTTCGACCACAAATCGTGGGGTAATTAGAAAAAGTTCAAGACAGCAACGGTCGAAAACCAAACGCGGCAATGACTTTGCCTTGTAGTACTGTGGTGCGTAGTGAAAGGGAAATGGGTATAAAAGGTAAAACCATAAAAATGAGCTGCTGCAGTCGCACCCAAGTTACCCAAATCATTAGACGTACTTAAGCAACAAAATACAGCATGTTGTTGATCAAGACTTTGGAGTATCTGTTTTATCTCGCCTGCATAAGTTTCTTCTGCAAATATATTGAGGCAGCCAGCTTACAACCGACAGAAGCAACTACAATGCAAATGGAGTCACCACAAAAGAGTCCAGCTGCCACTTTGAATGAGTGTGAAAGTTCATCGTTTAGCTGGATGTGCCTGAAGATCGAGTTTGTTAAGATAATGGAACGTTTAGCCGAACAGCAGGAGTTGAAAGTGTTGCCAGGCGTGACTGTCGTCAAGGATGAAAATGCAACGGAGATGAAGACTTCCGATTTGATGGCTGGTAAGTTTAGCTCACCAACTGCAATCCATCATTTTCATATATCAATATTAAAGTATTAAATTATATTATTGTATTTAAAATAACTCATAAATTAAAACGACATTCTATAAAAGGAACTTGACAATTTTTGTTTAGCGAAACTAACAAAAAGTAACCAGTTATTATTTAAAATTATCTAAACTAAATACTTACTTTCAATGCAGAAGGGATCCGTTTTGTTTTTTAACCATAACCCATTATTTAGAAAATTAAAAAGTGCTTGTTAATTAACACATAATTGAAAAATGATTTATATTTTGTAATTTGAATTTTACAGAGGTAGCTCGCAGCTATCCCAGCGATCCGAACACGCGCCTCAATGGTTATATTCTGGCCAAGCTGGAGAATATATTGAGGACACGCGTGCTGCGCTTTCGGCTGCTGGACGAGACGAGCCTGGAAGAGGGGCGCAAGCACAAGTTTGGCAAAAAGGGTGGCATGGAGGCACTCGTTGCAGTGGGAGTCATGATGAAGGGCATGTTGATGGCTCTGGGCTTGGGCGCCATTGCAATGATGGCCGGCAAGGCGCTAATGACAGCGCTAATGGCTTTAACTCTGAGCGGTGTGCTTGGCCTAAAGAGTTTGGCCGGTGGCGGCGGCAAGTCGACGACCTACGAGATTGTCGCCAAGCCCGTTTATACATCCAGTCACTCGCATTCCGTTAGCCACGAGGATGGACATGGACACAGCGGACACTATGCAGCTGGCGGCGCTGGTGGAAGTGGCAGCGGTTACGGTTACGGCGGCTATGCACGTTCCCTCAACTTGCAGCAGCCCAACCAACTGCAAATGTTGTAACAATAACTTCTCTGATATTTATTTATTTTATTTATTAACTTTCGTACAGTATTAAACTATTATAAAAAGAAAATCAGCAAACAATTATTTATTTATTTAAAGTGTAAAACGTTGTCAAGTTCTCATAATGCAATCAGTCTCAAAGTTAGCTTTGAAATGCAGTTGGCTATATTTGCCCAACTAATTAGTATAGATATTTAATCTTCTGCCAAGTTGTTGACTTGTTGACATGTTCTATTCGCGTTTGCTGACCATGCTCCTGGTCTGTGCTGTTTGCCTAACTAATTGCAATCTTTGGCATTTTAAGACATAAGGAAATGAAGAGCTTGATTCTATGCTCAGATTGTGATTACTTACAGCTCTACAAATTTCCGCTTTTGATTCGAGATCGTTTTCAAATTTTATTATAAGTATTTAATTTATTTTAATGCAAGAAAATCAAAGTCCATTTAAGTCATTAAAATTAGTCCAGCAAATAGAAATAATTATTTAAACTTATTTCAGATAAAAATACAATTGATTCATTAATCTTTTTATGAAGTGTGAAAGCCATTTATTTTGGAAATTTAATTAGCAACTAAAAGGCGGTCAATAGACTGAAAAAACTAAATTTGCACCTGTTAACTGTAAATTAGCGAATCAAATTTCTTTTTCAGCCTAATTTAACAATCGCATCGATTTTGTCATATAAAGCCAGGCAGAAAGAACAGAAGATCAGTTGTCTCAAAGCCAAGAACAATGAAGACTCAATTCAGTGGTTAGAAAATATATCCAAAAGTTGGTTTCAATCATTAATCTTTCCCTTATCGACAGTGATATTTGTGTTGCTCTGCTCAGCATGGACTTGTACAGCAGCGCCACTTGCAACGACAATCGGGCCAACAACAACAATGGCAATGACAACGGATGAGGAGCCAGCGTCAGCGGAATCATCATTAACGCCGGAGGAGGAAGTGGTGCTTCTAAGAGGTCTGTCAGATGAAAACGAAATAGAACCTGTAAAATCAGAAAAGAGACATCCGGCACCAAATCATTATCATCCACATATGCTAGCTGATCCCATGTCATATTATCCGGCACCAGTTCCAATGCCATATGGTCAAAATCCATATTCTCCATGCCCATATGCACAAACACAACCCATGTTCTATCCAATGCCTGTGTATTCACCTTATTCACCCTTCCCCGCCTACAATCCAAATGCGTTTCACGAAGAGAAAAGTCCTCCCAGCGTCTTAAAGGGCGCGTCGGCTGACTCTACTGAAGTCGTTAGTGTCCAGCAATTACTGAAAATTGCAAAGCTCTGGAACAATAAGCCGACCAAAATAGTGGTTCCGGCAGATCCCGACGCCACTGCAGCACCACAGAAGCAATTCTTCATCAAGAATTGGATAAGAAACAAAGTGAATAAGAAAACCACCACAACCACCACCACCACCGTCGCCCCAGATCCTCCAGTCGAAGGTGAGGCTGGTGCAATAGTCTTCAAAATATAATAAGAAATTGCAATGGAAGCATTTTTTAACTATTTATTAACTTATTTATTTATTTTCGTGTAACGCAACAATAATAAAGTAAAACATATTGCACAAACATAAATGTTAGAATGCTTGAAGGCACGACTGCAGGAGAAAACCCCTGGATCCCATTTCGGTATCACAACGGGCCAAATATGGCCTAAGTGTGTCAGCCTACCGGGCTGACTGCCGATACAACCTAACCTAACCTATTGCACAAACAAGCTAATAACTTATCTTAATCACGGAATACTCTTTTATAGTTTTAAAAGTTTTGGACTTTTACAGGGCTATATCGACTCGACTCAAGAAAATATATACCATATGGGATTCGAAGCGTCACAATCAGCATATTTTAGATTTATTGATTTTATTCGAACTTATAAACTACTATTTTATCCATTTTTGGCAAGTGTGTCTTTGATTTGCACAGCAGATAAGTCTAAAATCAAAAGACAGGCGGATAAATAATGCAACCACAATAACAAGATCTGCAACGGAGCCAACATTCATTTTAAATATAACATTAATTGAGATTTTATGAAAATTAGAAGCAATGATTTGTATTTTTTTTTTTATTTATATACACAGCTTTGTCAGTAAAAGAAGAACATTGTAAAAGTGTACAAATGTAATTAGGTATTTATTCCAGAGTAAACATTTCTTATAAATAAAATAAATCTTAGAGGCACTGAAATAGTTCAAATTCAAGAACATTAAAAAAAAAGTTTTGCAAAAAGTGCGGTTAACGTGAGAAGCAACTATAGAATGACAGAAAATGGATTAAGTCAGCAGGATAGGATTAAATCCTTCAATGCACATATTTATTTGTTCATAAATAATTTAATTTATATTTTGACGTGGCTTTGAAATACTTATTTTAGTAATATTATATACAATTTGTTCTCATTACGTAGTTCTGCAGGATTTCAATTTTCTTTTTTTTATAATTATAATAATATTCTACCTAAAAATGTACAGCGTCGTATTGTCAACGGATATAAATAAATATTTCATATATTTAATGTAAAAAAGTGTAGCATACTTTTAGGCATTTGAGTAATGCGCTCTCTCTCGCTCTCTCTTTTTCCACAACATTTATCATAAGTAAAATCTCCGGCACCCAGTCGTTGGGCACAGCTTTGAGCTTGGAAGCTCGTTGTCTGTGGTTCGGGCCCCGTTTTATTTCAGTTGGAACCCAACAGTTGCCGACAGCTGCCGCGTTGTGCATGTGAAACAACAATAAAAAGCAAATATATAAGCCCAAAACTGTGAAACCAAACCCAAGCCCACGCCAAAGAAAACTGTAAAAGTGAAAGACAACGTTCGTCACCTGTAATTTGACAAGATTAATTCTTAATATGAAATTCGTGAAATTGTTGTTGCTCTGTGCTGGGCAGACAAGCGAAAGTAACTATTAAAACAACAACTGCAACAACAACAACAACAACAGCTTCTAATTAGACGTCACGCAACAAACAACAAAAAGTGCGAGCCACAAAAATGCGTTAATTGATAACAGTGCGCAAGTGTGTGTGTGTGTGTGTGTGTGTGTGTGTGCTCAGTTGTGTGTGTGTGTGTCTATTACAATTCATTAATAGTTGTAAGTAAAAGTCAGGCTGTAGCGATTTCCTATTAGTGCACAATTCTTGACCCAGTTTCGACTGCAAGCTGCATAAATAGCAAAATAAAAAAATAAAAATAAAAAATAAAAAAAAAACTGGCTACCAGCTGCTGACAAGGCTAAATCCAGGCAGCAGACACTAATTCAGGTCTTTCGCCCCATCACACAAATATCAAAATAAAACCTGTTTTCCGGCTTTTTATTTTCTGTTTGGCGTTGCATTTCTCCTGCACAAAATTACGAGCATGTGTGCGCATATAAAAGTGAAATTTTTGTAGTGTGCCCCCAAACTGTGGCATGTGGCATGTGGGAAGACATTGTTGTGAGACGCTGAATAAAGTTCTGGCAGTCAGAATTTTAGCTTGTGTCTGAGTTATTAGCGCATGCCCGATGAGCATCACACCACGCTCTAATACCCAACGGCAACAACAGCAGCAAGCAGCAAACAGCAAACAAACACATAATTTTGAGGCGTGCACATTATTCTAGCAATTAGCCCGGCTTAAAGCTGCTGGCGTGCAATTCTGTATTTTGTTGTTAAACACTAATAGTTATTTACACACATTGCTTGCATACATCCCCCCAGCAACGACAAATGCTAATTCATTTCATTTGCCATGTCTAAATTTAGCTACAGCTTAACATACATTTTTGGTTTTTCTTGTTGCAAGTTACAAGCGTTAAATTCATTTGCATAACATGAGAAACAGCTGAAACTGAGTTTGTTGTTGGCAGCAGATTTATTTTATTCATATATAAATATGCATTTTGTGGGGCAACGAATGTTAAATATATAATGTGGTTTATGCGCTTGTTATTTCAAATATAAAATATTAAAATGTACACAAAAAATCAAACTAAAATGCATAAAAGAAAGCTTTGACGAAAAACTCCAACTGTTATTTAAACATAAAAACAGCAGTTTTCAATTTTTCGTGTTAAGTTATGTAAATAAATTTGTTTTTATATGCTTGACCTGATTGGAAATAGCACTCTAAATCGCATATTTAATTAAAAGCAAACAAGTTTTGCACATCTGTTTGCTTGGCCGCAAATTTCTGTTAGCTGGTTAGAATAGCATAATTCTTATTAAAATTCGTTGAAATATTTTGTTAACCATAATTAAGGTCATGCTAAGTTAGAAGATGCAATACAAGAATTTTCAATATATATCAGCAATTTACTTTAGCTATATGATTAAAATTGATATCGATTATAAAACAGCTTCCAGTCAATTATCTTTAAATCTCTTTATCGATGTTTCTTGGTTTTTCACAATTCATGCAACAATTTTTGGACACAATTTACATTTATTACATGCTTCAGCAATGTCGACTGATTTTACATAAATATATAAAACATATATAACAGATAAGTAATTTAATATATATATATAATGAGATCTGCAATTACTCTTAAAGAGTAAAAGTCTGATAATATTTCATAAATAAACTCGTAAAATCTTTGATGGCTTAAAATGGCCCATTATCAAAAGAGTACATAATTTCATTTAAGAGCTTTGATGTCTAAAACAAGTCTTTAACAATATAAATCAAAGTTGCATTAAACGTACAACTTTATGAGACACAAAATGATTCTTTTACACTTTAACAATATAGATGAAAATCAGAAATACTATTGTCTAGATACACGTATACACTTTATGCTCTCTTAAATGACTCTTTAGCTGTGTTATGTTTGAATAACCTCACGCAATGGTATCACAACATCGCCATCAACAACAACAAGAACACCAACCAGACTCGATTAGCCATTGGGAATGTGCGAATTGTGTCGCTTTTTGGTTTTTATGGTCGGTTTATCAACACGTTTCTGCCGTTTGGCTGCACTTATCCAAAAGCCAAATAGATTGAAAATACTCGTAAGAGCAAACAGCAAACAGCAAACAGCAAAAAACAAACAGCAAACAGCAAACAGCAAACTCAATCGAATAAAACATTAAATGCGTTGCACTCGCCTGCACATCAAATGTGCTCGTAAAAAATTAAGCCAATCTATTTGTGGCTTAATAAGCCATTAGTAAGCCGGGTTGGTTAACCGCAATGAAAGTGAATTTGCTTTTGCTCACAGCTAGATTTCTCTCAAAATACCAACAGCGGCAAAAGCTAACTAAAAACTTAGGCACAGTTTATACAAATATTTGCACGCTAGTCGAGCGATCGGCTTACAAATTGACCACACAGCCAGACAGAAAGACACGCTGAAAGATACACGAACTACGAGATACACACGCATACGCATACGCATAAAGTGAAATTATATATTTATTGCAGAGATATTAGCTGAAACTGAAAGTTTGACGAGTGATTAAAAATGCCTAATTCCCCATTTGATACAATTGATTACCAGATTAAAGCATTTAAAAACTGTTGAGATTTTTACGTAACACGCAGTTAAATAAAAACAAAATTGACATTCGACAGACAGTTGGATTCTGCTGGTCTATCTTTAGTATCTGCAACAGCAGCAGCATTTGCTATTTGTTTTTATTTTTGTTGTAGTTGTCACATAAAAATGCAATAAAAATATCTCGCTGTCTGGCAGCTAAAAACAGCGAAAGCTTGTTACAAAATTAAATCTGTCAGCATTTTGACCATTTTCCAGCCAAGTGCCATTACGAAAAGATTTCATTAGATCATTATGCCAGCGCAATCAGCTTGTCAAGTGAAAGCCGCATAAAATAGAGTACAATCTAGTTGTAATATATAACATCTTATATAAGCCTAGCCAAAAATCACTCATGGTTCTAGTTTTCTAATTTGCTGTGCTCTCATCTCGTACGCTCAACTCTGACCACTCTGCTGGGTCAGCAACCGTTAGACAACTGCCGACTTCTGTTTGAACCCAAACATAACCAGCTAGAAGTATGGGAAACTATCTGCAACAAGCCGAAGCTCAGATACCCTTCTACGTACATTGAAAGTTGCTTAGTATACTTTAAATTCAGCTGACTAAGTCAGGTGTTGTTAATAATAATCCTAATAGATTTTTACTATATGATGTAATAATCTGATCCGACCGACTCCTACACAAATTTTCCCTTATTCTTCTGGGTTCTATTAGATATAGTAGTATATTCTTGATACAATGTAGACAACAAACAAGTTTTTCATATGATATAGTAGTCAGATCCGAATGACTTCCCACAATTGCTCCCTGCTGAAAAGTGACTGTTATATTAGACGTTTCATAAAGATTGCTTTAACATTTACATGGGTAGGTAAATGGACAAAAGGCCAGCAAATCTAGAAAATTTACACGTTCCCCTGACGAAGATGTTTTCTTCAGTGCTCTACGACAACATTACAAGACCCTCTACAAGGGTATAAAATGACAAAAACAAAAACAACAAAAAACATGTAACTAATACTAAGTCGTAGTTAAGTGTTCTGTGTTAGTCCAAAACTTGTTCAGTTGGCCCATTACTTTGATGACACTTTGTTGAAATGCTTTATGACCGTTGCGCGTTTGATTACCTAAGCCGCAGCGGTAGTTTAAAAAGAATGTGTGCTTTTTATATGAAAAGACATAAGCGCAATGTCAGCTGCAATACTGGAAACACATGTCGTTATTAATAACGTTCCTCATACGCCTCGTGGTGGCCACTCAACAAGCAGCGATCCCCATTAAAATTATTAAATAACGTTGTCACCAGCTGCGTTTGCGTAAATTATTGTAATTGATTTTTCCCACAACCAAACATATAAATCTCATTTGTGATTTCTTCAAACCGCTTAAGCCACACACAAATATTTCATATCTGTCTGCTGGGCGTTAAATATGCAAAAGGGATTCAAGTGGCTCGTATAAGGCCAAATTGGCTTAATACAATATTGTAATGTGGTAGTAAGCAGAGAGAGAGAGAGAGACTTACAAGTGTGAGCCTTGACTTACGACTAAAAATATTATTTCAAGTGTACATACTAACAATTGTTGAAATGGAATTCAATAAATATTTAAAAAAGACTGCATAAAAATCTACATTTGTTGTTTTTTAACAAAACATTTAAGAAACAAAGAAAGTCACAATTTTGTAACAAAAAAGAAATAAATAAAAGTTCAAACATTGTGTAATTTGGGCATGTTCAAATGAGTTCATAAATATTTAATCCTGAAATGAACATTAAAAAAAAAAAGACAAATTCGACCAATGTTTTTTTTCTGTATCAATCATCAATCAATCTATTACATCCATAAATTGAATATCAACTTTATTATTAAGAAGAAGAGCAGCACCTTTTCATTTTATTGTATTATCCAAATCAATTTCAACTATTACCACTATTGAAAACCCGTTAGGCATTTTAAAATATTTGTGATCGCAACAAAGCAGCTTTGGCCCAGTGGCCTATTGTGTGCATATATGTACATAGATGGATGTAACTTGAATAAAATAATCTTTCGAATTTTTTTGGCTTTGCAGGTAAAAACACGTTTGAGAAACACTCGTTTAAAAGACCGTGAAAAAAGCGCTGAGCGCGAATTGTGCGCTGAATTTAGCGGTAAAGCTGCACTTGCAGCAATGACGGCAAACTGGAAAACGTAAACAAAGCTGAAACAATTTTCAGACAACAACAACCACAACCACAACACAACAAGACTGACGACTACAGTTAACGCGGCGGAAGAATACCAATAGAGTAATTCCGCGTGCCAAAAGAAGAAGCAGCAACAACAGCGGCAGACGTGGTGAATGCATTGCAAAAAAAAACCAACTTAACGAAGCCAGCAACTGAACGAACGTCGACAGCATTGGCCTCGCCATGAACTTGACTAGCTGGCACTGCGAGCGTCTCAGTCAGTTGTCGGTCAGACGCGCACGCATGCGCACGTCACCAAAATATTTGAGCGTCTTTAAGCAGACGATTTCTAACCGTTAAAGCCGTAGGCGTGTCTGTCGCGCGTGTACAAATGAAGTAATTGCAACTGAGCAACGCCTTGTTTGAGTTTCAAAAATTTCAGTTTGGTTTGGCTTGGCCAACGCAAATAGAAAATGTGCTAAATGCAGCACAGCAGCAACAGCGAAATTGGCCAAAACACACAGCCACAAGTCAAATAAAAAAGAAAGCACAGCACGCATTGGCCAAAAGAATTTGTGAAAATCAATATTACAACAAATTACTAAAAAAGAAAAAGAAAAGTAACAACAAAAGCTGAAATTGTGTTTACGTGTTAATCGGGTTTTGTACGCCGAATTGATTTCGCCCACAAAAGCGACAACTGTTGTTTATTTGTTGTTGCTGGCTAACAATCCCTTTCCCCGCAATTAGCCCAGTTTAATTTGGCAGCCAGTGAAGCGTAACCAAATAATATAAATAGTTGAAGACTGTTAAATTACCCTTAAGGTGTAAATTGTGGAAAATGAATAAATTTACAGTTGGCAGTTGCAGTAACTGGACGCCGCACATCCGTAATTGGCCAACAAGTGAGAGCCAACACAGCATATCCTCAACGAGTCGAAATAGAAATCGCTGTCAGTCGAACATGGCCAATAAGTCGACCAACTGGCTGCCACTGCTGCTGGCCATGCTCCTCTGCCCAATCCAGTTCACCAACGTGGTCAACGCGGATGAAGGCGCCTTGAGCACAACACCTTTAACACCTGATATTAGTACGCAAATTGCAGAGACAACAGCAACAACAAATGCACCCGATGGGGAGGAAACGCAGGAGGATTGGCAGCCACTTGTTAATGCTACAGGGGCACCACCTCCGCCTCCGTCTCTGTCTTCATCTCAGCCTCCCCGGCCGTCTCCTTCGCCTGTCAGGACAAAGATGAGCGGCAGCGACTCGATTCTAATGCGATTGGCACGCACCTTCTCCAGCGGCAACGATCTCTGGGATGGCATCATACGCGACTGCTATAAGAGGCCAGACATGTCCTGTTTCCAGAAAAACGTCTACAGCTATTTGGATACAGCTCTGAGTACACAGGATGTGAACATAACACGGCGTTTGAAATTCTACAAAAATCAGGTGGAGTACGAACCGGAGCAACAGGAACAGGAAACGCCAAATGAAGCACGTTCCGGTAAGTCTTTCAACAAACCGCTTACACTCAAAGAAATAATGTGCTCTTAAATTTAGTAGAAGTGAATTTTGTTTCTCCAAGCTCATTTCTACGAATGAATGAGATTTTTTAAAAAATCTTCTTTTTTCATAAATAAATATATTTTGATAAAGAAAAAAATTGATGCATATTAAAACGTAATTTTTGACCAATTATTTCTAGCTTAAAGTCTGTATTGGTCTCGTTTCTTCATGGCAGTTTATGGCTTAAGTTAAAAAACTTCAACTTTAATTCTTAATTTACCCAAATGATCTATTAAATCAAACGCATGTGGAGCTCTTACGTAAGCAGCCCTTGGCTAATTTCGCTTTCGTTTGGCTGGTTTGAGTTCGACTCTGGTTCGAGTCTGGGTCTGTTGGTGGATCTTTTTGTTAGCCGTTTTCACATCTCGTTCGGCATTCGATTCTTTGCATTCGTTTTGTTTACCATTTTGCTTGGCACGTTCACACTCACAACTTTCACTTGCCGACGCTCTTTGATTTGATTATACGTGTTTTTTTTTCTTTTGCTGGAAAAGAAAATAAGAAATAAAAATAAAAAATAAAAATAAAGCGCATGCATTCATTGTGAGTCACGGCACTGAACAGCTGATTTCTTTCGCTAATGCAATATCAACAAATAATTGAAATTCATTGAGCCAAATGTTATGCAAGAGTTCGCTTTAGACCACTTTTATAACCATAGAACTGATAAAACGACAAATAGAAATGCGAGACTAATACTTACAATTAAATAACCATCAATTAAATATTACTATTTCTATTTAATATAATAATGTTTTAATAATATATTCCATATGCTAAATGTACAAGAGACTTGATTTTTATGTAAATTTATGTAAATTTGTCATTCTTAAAATCGAAAGAATGGAAAAATAATTACTGCATCAGAATTTGTATTATACTATTTTTAGCAAATAACTACTCGATTTTTAAGTAAAGTAGAATTCTTAAATTTCATGATAAATATCGAAATATATTTCTTAAAATACTACGTTGAAAAGTTCTTCGAAAAATAAATATTATATTGCAAATGGTTTATCAAAACTTATAATTATCATCCTTCACTTTAATGCTAAATAATTGTTAAGTTACCAGATTCCCTGGTAAATTTTATCAGTATTTCACATAAGACAGATATAATCATTCCAATGTCTCATTTAAATATACAACTGATTTGCAAGAGATTCAAGGACTACGATTTAGAAAATCTTTTTAAAAAATAATTACTTAATTTCAATTCGATTAACATAAGCTAAAATTGTTATATATCATTTAATGGGTTCCCCTTCACGTAGCAGCTTGATCTTTGGACAACTTTCTATAGCACATAACTGACTTATATATTTGCCACATCATATTTTACATATAAATGGGATTTTTCACTATGCTGATTTTCTTCTCTCACACGCAGCCGGTCCGGAAACTCCCATCGAGGAAGTCTCGAATGCGTTTTATGACAAAACAATTAAGTTCGCAATGACACACGATGTGGAACTTGATCTGCCGGAGATCGTTTTCAACGGTGCCACATTTCGGATCTCGCCCCGGTCCATCGAAGGCAATGGGGTCATTGCCAAACTGGAGTTGATACCCAAGCAGCTGGTCGAGGCTCGACTGGCCGGCACCATGATCAAGAAGAAGATACGTGAGTAAATGCGAAAACATGTGCAGAAAGTGCGCTTTCAGTTTCTGGTCAACTACAAGCAAATCCAATAATCAAAATGCAACTTTCGTTTCCATAGACAAATTTCTACGTAACAAATTGCTGCTGTCATTCATTGCACTGGTGCTCATTATTAAGATCATCAAAATCAAGTTATTCTGGTTGTTACCGATTGTGATTGGTGTTGGGGCAGCCAAAAAGTTGCTGTTGAAATTCCTGCTCTTCCTGTTCCCAGCCTTATCGCATTTGTTCAAACTATGCTCGTATTATCAGCAATCGTATCACGGCACCAAATATCATCATCATCACCATCTGATCAATCATCATCATACGGTATGTACTCAAAGAAAAAAATATGAAAAACAAAATATAAATTATATTCGGTCTTTATCCCTTTCTTTAAACATTTCTGATTTGTATTCATCATGCCACTCACGATTTTTTTTTGGTGTTTGTGTTTCTGTTGTTAAAATGTCAGCGCGATGAATTTGATTAAATTTCACAAGAAAACAAAAAAAAGAAGTAGATTCAATTTCTTTTGCTCTTTCATTTTTAATATTTATGCCAGACACGCTTATTATTAGGGTATATGTCCCACGCCCACCCATTTCTTCAAAAGGTAATTAAAAACTTGAAGACATATGTGGAAGCGGTATGTCAGCTAATTGTATTATGCGCCAAGAACGCAAAGCACGTGCTTCATTGTCAACTTAAAGATGACAATCTCCACACTCAAACACACACACACACACATACACACACACACACATACACACACACACAACAAGTGCCGCACAAAAAATAAATGCTTAACATTTCATCAAATGAAAATGAAATCCTGTTGCTTGAATTAAATGGTGTCTGTTGCTAACATGGCTTAGCAGGAGCCCACTCACGAACAGACACTCGAACATTTACCCACAAAATCTCATTTATACTTATGAGATATATTCATCATATGAATACTGAATTTGTCGCGCTGACAATGACAATAGGCCTAGATAATTGAAGATCTTGGCGCAAAAGTTTCACTTGAGCCGCGGAGGCCAATTGGATGTACGTGTTATTATTTTTCCATTTTCATGTCCGGATTTCATTTAAGCCAGCAAATTCATTTAGACTGCGCAAATTGTAAACGTAGGTCTGAGAGATGCGCCTTTAAATTTTGATTAGCCAAGACTGTCATAAAAGGCAATATATTTGCATTTAATGGAAACTTGCAATTACCTATTAAACTGCTTTCATAATATTAACGCTCTTCATACATTTATAAATAACTTAGATGTTCAAATCTAATTATGTCATCATCTCGAGTCAAAGGCCTCTCTTAATACTTCTTAATGAGACATTATGTTTAGTGCTTATTGTTTAGTCAGAATAAATATATGCTTATTAAACTACTGGCACAGAATCTTCCAGCTCTCAGCTTTAATGTGCACAAAATTCGCCTTTTGCTCATCGGTACATGATTTAAGCTTCATAAACAGACACTTGTGGTGCAATCATAAATTAAATTTTGACGCGTTCGCGTCTTATACTCAAGAGCTGACATATATCATTGTCCCGAAAGTTTGCCAGGCGTAATCTGAATTTGCTGTCATCTGTTAGTGATGAGACAAAAAATTCACCATTTTTTTTCCTCTTATCTGTCAACAGCTGAAAGCTGAAAGTTGTGTCCTTTAACTCACAGTATGAAGCCCACGTGTGAAGCAACTAAAATTCAGAAATATATGAGACAAATTCAGACACAGACGAGCTGCGAAAATGGAAAACACAAGTTAACAAAACACAAATAGTGGTGATGCTCGACTAGCCTATATCCTGTATTCATGCGAATGAGAATGTATGAATATTCATTTGCCTCATAGACATTTCATAAATAATTATTTATATATATATATTTCAACTAAAAAAACTTAAAGCTTTATTAAAATTATAAAGATATTTTCGGGTTCATTTGCGAGGATTAATCTTATTCTGATAATGATCCAGCTTAAAGTACCAGAACAGCCCAGCTTTACCGATTGCTACTGTATATAAATCTTACATAAGCACTTAAGTTCCTGCTCATCATACCTCTGTTACAGCAGAGCGTTGAACTGAGTCTATATAAAAAATATGTATATATAAATGTATATTGAACTGTATTGTGCTGTCTGGCAATGGCTGTTGTTTTGGCCACAGTACATAGCTCAGCCACCGGGCCCGCATTTATTATTTACGACAATTTGAAAGTCATTGAACTGAACTGAACTAAATCAAACCCAAGCACTCTTCGAACCAAAATAATGCGCATCAATTGCGAGCTATAAATAGCAATGAGAGCACAAAGGGCAACCGAATCGTGCCACATTAAGAAAAGCCCCGACACAAAAGTTGAGCATACAGTAACAAAATGATGTAAGTTACTCTAATGTTACTCAGGAATGTTGCCCGTGTATTATTTAAGAACTGACTTTAATATTCATTTCCTCTCTCTCACTCTCATCTCTGTTATACTCTTTCTTAGGTGGTTCCGCCCTGGCACAGTGGTGAGCAACATCAATCGGTACCGGAACTCATCTACACACATCCACCCAAGGGACATCCGTCGGCCTTTCTGCATGGCGCACCTGTGCACGAGACTTATGGTCCTAGGCCAGGACATGAGCACTTTGAGGGCGCCTGGGAGAGCAGCGGTCCCGGCCTGGGCTCTGAGTAAGTTGCAACTATAAGCCAAGAAAAATATTTGAACTGGTAATAGGAAGAAAGCTGCCAAAGACGTGTCCAAATTTATTATCAGCATTTTTTACTTTATTTTACGAACTACTAATATAATCAATCTTTTAGTCAGCCAAACCAATCGGGTGGCACACAAGTTTTCAGCAACGACTTTTCGGTTACTTTCCTAAAGTTGCGTATCGAATTTAAAAAATAAAAAAACAAACCCCGTCAGAGTGCTCAATCTTCATATTGTTGAAGATTTGTTTTACCGCTTCGTTAGCCATGAAGACTTCATTGTATCAATTCACTCAAACAGATTGTACAAATATTTTTAATTCACATTTTCAAGAATGATTTTGCAGTAGATTTTTCATACTTTGGCAGCAGTTGTTATTTTTGACAAAATAGAAAACATTTTGAATGCAATTATGTTCAACTCTTTTCGAAGTGTTCATCATTTTAATTGTGCTTCTTGTGCATAACTCTCTCAATGTCTGTCTCTAAAAACACTCACACACATACACCACACACAACAAACACATCACATTGCCACACGCTTAAATATCATCTTCGTCACATTTAGATATATAGGCGATATAAATCGCGTTGCACAAATTGGGGAAAATGCGAATTACTTTAAGCCGCACTCAGCAAACGATGTAAATGAGCTGCATGGTTGGGGCTTGGGCACAACACAACCGCACACCAAACAGCATCAGCCATCTGCTAACCAGCAACATCAACACCAGCAGCAGCAACAACAGCACCAACGTTGGCAACAAAACCAGCAACAAAGGCCGCCCACACAACAACAGCAGCAGCAGCAGCAGCAGCAGCAACAAATTGGTTTTCAAAAAGCACATGCCTCTAGTCACAACTTAAACAAACAAAGGTACAAACTGCCCAAGATACGCACACGCACACGCACACACCCACACTCATAAACACACACACACTCACACACACACACCCCTAATATCAACAGTAAACTAACTAAACACCGTAATTGCCTCTATGTACTAACAACTACTAGTCGAAGTGCAAATTCGATATTGTTCCAAATTGTTCAGAATCGAAAGCTTACATTCGGAGAAAAAGTTCAAAGTTTAAAGGTCGGAAATCTGAAATCGAAGAAACTTCCAAAATTCTCAATTCAAGATTAGTTTCTCTACTACCCACATTTCCAGCTATAAGTATGTTTTGGGATAAGTCTATATCAATAGTGCTTACTTTTAAGACAATTGTCTTCTCAAAATCTATTTAGATATTTATAAAGTCAAGAACTTGTTCACTTGGAGTAAGACATATGATACTTGTTTTAATCTAAATAACTTAATCAGCTTAGGTGAAGAATTCTGGCTTTCACTTTAGCACAAAGAGTATTTTACACTTACTTTAAGTACAACCATACTTTTAATAAGTGTATGATTTAACAATATTTGTTCGCATTTATTTTGCTTCGAGAACGATTTTTAATGATTTATTAATTTGTAATAATTTTCAACACAGAAACGCTAAAAATTTCTTACTGATTTCGCATGAATTTAGAACTGAATTTTTCTCTGAGTGCACAGCCAAGCAAACAAATACAAGTGGAACAATCAGAAGAGATTTGCGTGGTTCTCAAAAACAACACAAATTTTCATGCGCATTTCCGAATTGAATGACATTTTTGCAGCTCAAGGCCAGCATTTGGGCAACACAGTCCGGTCTATGTGGCAGCCCCGGGTTATGGACAGGGACAAGGACCTGGACCAGGACAGGGCCTTACAGCCGCAGCTCAGATTGCCGCACAATACGAGCCAGCGCGCAACAATCAGCAACAACAGCAAATCCAACAGCAACAACAACAACAACAATTGGAGCAACAACTTTCGGTGCGTATATAGAACCACATGTGGCAAGCTCTGTTAATTATACACTGATTTAATCTATATTTGTGAGTGCCAATTAAAGCGATAGTCTACGACTGGACTTGTTACAAAAGTAATCAAATTTTGACTGGTCTGATTATTAAAGTATTCATAGATAGCTAAAAGGTAGAGAAGTCGTCAAGATAAATTTGTAATCTATCTGATTCTAAAAAAAAATGTTGAAAAAACTATAAGATTGTGATTGCAAGCGAATTTTATTGTTCACAGTTTTTGTCATTATATCCTAAATTTTTATGAATTCAACCTAAAAAATCTAACAGAATGGAATAATAAATGTTTTCACATGATAACTAAAATTTCAACAGAGTCCATAAAATTGCATTTGCATATTTTATTGCTTATATATATATATACATTTGTAGTCTGGAAACATATACACATATACAAAAGGAAATTAACATCCGTACTTAATAAATCAGCATTGAGGATTATTGGAATATAGCTTTCCATTCAAAGGGGAGGAATGGGAGGCACCGTGCTGTAGCTGTTATTGGACAAAATACTAATCAATCAAGCCGCAGCAATTTCACTTGCAGTCAAGTACAACCAAGTCTAGACGGGCACCATGGTCGTCAACTTTTTATTGACACTTTTTCTAAGAGTGTAAACAGCTTTTCCTCCCAACTCGCAATTGTTTGTCTTAATGTCTGTCCCGTGTCTGTCTCGCCATCTCTCCGGTGTCTCCATGCAAATTGCATTGTCATGTGGCCGTAAAGTGCTATGCACATATTATTTATTTTCCCAACTGCACTGGGTCAGTTGGCAGTTTTCACTTTCAAGAGTGCTCAAGGGTGTTGGCAACCCATGTGGGTCGTGTTAACTAAACCATAATTAAAATGCACTTTGGCACGACAACTAAATTGCAACATCAACTGATGTTGGGCTTTATTAAACGAGTGCAACAAGACAAGGTTTGCTGCTTAGTGATTTTGGCTACAGTGCCTTGAGAAAGTATGCCAACGGCTTTTTAGAAACCTAGCCGACAATTAAATTATTATCTTAGGAATGTTTTTAGAAGATATTAATGATACTTTAAGCAGGCATATGTTGCACATTATACTTAACTCTCTGCAGGGGTTAAACAGAAAGCTTTAGTCATAATTCACAATTAATTTTGTCATTTATTTATGTATCTAATAATTATTGCAATAAATTTATGTATGGTTTTCACCTTTGTTAAGTTTGTTTGTTATATTTAAAGCTCTTTTTCAAACACACCAATTTCAAGTTAAATACCTATTTATGCTACTTAATATTTTATGATATAAATTATTAATTTATCTATTTATTAACTATTTAATAGTTGAATTGCATAATTTAATATTTAAAAATACAACACTTACGTTTATATACATGAAGAATACTTCCGTATTGATTTGCTGATTTTCTTTTTATATTTTAAATATTTCTTTTGTTGGCTTAAAGACAAGTTTTTTTTATTATATATATATTAAAATATATGTAGAATTCGTGTTCAGGGATGACGTCAGTCAGCAGGGGTGTGTCAAGTATTGTGAAGAATGTTTTCAAGCACCAACCTTTTACGTCTCTCATGTAAATACATCAAAGCCAAAACAAAAAATGGGCGCAGGTTTGATAGCATAAAAATCAATTTTAAAAGAGATGACAATTATAATTATCGTCCCCATTTTATATGGAATGCCATTTATAAATGCCAATCAATCAATCAATTTTATATTATTTCATTCAAAGAGATTTTGTGATTTTTTTTATGTGTATATATATTAAAAGTAAATCGATAAAAATACAATATTACCATAAACACTTCAGCTCAGTTTTCATATAAATAGCAATAAATGTCACCATTTCATATTGTCCATTTCATTCTCTCTCCAATCATAGCCCGAACTGGCGGCACAGCTGAAGGAGGCCATTCGGATACAGGCTGAGCAGCGTCTGATCCAACAACAGCAGCAAATACTCGAACATCAGCCGTTTGTGCAGGATGGACAGGTTTGAAAGTGGATCCAATATAACAACTCTCGATCATAATTATTTTGTATTTCTTTATTTCAGCCATTATATCCGCTTAACTACGATCCATTCTACAGTCCCATATTGTTGAAGATTGATAAAATCATTGAGCAGCTGGGCGTTAAAAATGAATTATGCAAGGAGCGCATCGTGTGCAGCATGTACAAGGATCCGGCCACATATAGTCCGCATAGCAATTTCATATCTGCTGAACTTAGTCGGTATGTTTTCTATTCAATTAGGGCAAACTCTGGCCAACTTTGCTTGGCTTAGTTGCTCAAACCTGTCAGCATCATTAATGCGAAAAGTGTTATAAATGCATTTGACTCTTGCTTTGGACCCAATTTTGCGCTCTAATAGCTGCATTACAAATTACACATTACAAATTACAAAATGTAGTGTCAGCCAGTCAAAAATGTCACTGCTTGTCTTTCTTGTCTATCTTGAATTGTAGCCCGGGTGAAAACTGTACACATAATGAACCAAAGCGGCTGACAAAACTTTTCAATCAATGGCCCAGAGCGTGAACAAAGAAAGTGCTCATCGCAAAGACACATATAGATGCACATGTGCAGCAGTTGTCACAGAGCTCGCCTGCTGTCCTCCACATATGCTGCATGTTGCACGCACTGCACTTGAGCAGCCAAGTGGAAAGCGAAAAAATTGTGGCGTCAAAGAGCGCGTCAACTTGTGCCACCCATTCATATACAATGTATTCTCATAATTGACTACGCTTGCCGACGGTCATCTGGCAACTGACAACTGCCAACTGCAGAGCACTCATGCGTGATATAGCTTAGATAGCTCATCATTGTATACCCTGCAATTGTCATGGCACACAAATTGGGTATTTTAATGTTGTGAGTGCGCTTGTGACAGTTAAAATGACAAAGAGGACGTCGTGTGTCCCTTGATGAGTGCATTCTTACTTGTTCTGTGTATAACAATCTCAGAGACTATTAAGACTAGATTCACATCAATCAGCTACGAACAAAAAATGGCAAAGAGACAAAGAGTTGAGTACAGGGTATCTCTAAGTCGAGCTTGCTTGATTAATGCCTTTCTACTCTTGCTGTATATATGCAAATAACAATCTCAGAGACTGTTAAGGCTAGACTCATATCGATTTGATTGATACCAAATTTATATAAAGCTATCTTTAGATATTACATGTTTTCCTTGCTTCGTCGAAATCGATGGGATTAAAAGACATAATGAACTTTAAGTACTTGATTTCAAAATTGATTGGAAGACTCAACTTGCCTGTCTTCGTGTCAACTTGCCTGTCTGATTTTTTGTAATTTTTTTCTGGCTGACAGCACATGAAACCAAAAATGAATATAAATAGTCGTTGTAAAATGTTTGATAAGTATATTGACATCTAGAAATTTGTTGAATAACATTGGCTTCCAGATTGTTGCATACCTTCAGGGGAATTGAAGCTCACTGTATGATTTATGAGTATTCATGTAAATGACACATCATTAATTAAATGCCCCAAGTACGTTCAATTCTAATCTTATTAAACGCACTCGAGTAGTCGAACAACAGATACAAAAGCAGAACCAAAACAGGAAAAAACTTACAAAACAGCAGACTAAATTAAATCGGGGTAGAAGTGCAAAACAAAAGGCTCCAACAACGTCCTTGACATTTGAGGATTCTAGGAAATTAATTAAAATACTGAATAATGGCTAAATGGCTTTTGTTTAGCTATTGAAATTGCTTATATAGATTAAATAGGCTCTACCAATTATACTGGAAAAGTATTCTCTTAATATTTATTATAAAGCGAATATTTGATTATCATTACTATTAAATTACTAATAAAAAAAATGACATAAAATTCAATTAAATCGCTTAACTGCCTTCAATTATGCATTGCATAATTAACAAATAAAGACCCATTATCGATTTTAGTTTAAATTTAATTTAATTAATAAAAAATAGATTCAATTAGCTGCACAACCCAATATTGAAATCAAGAAAAATTCTTCCTTATAGGATGTCGAATACCCTTTTGCACTTTATAAACTTATAAATCAAACGCAATATTTTTAATGTTATATAATGCTTATGGCTGCTATATTATATAGTTTATCAATCAGATGCGCATCCATTCAATTCAAGTAAAAATTGGCATATTTAATAAAATATGTGATCAAAAAAATGGCTCAAGGTAACTTAAAAAAGCAACAAAAATATAAAAACAATTCAATTTAAAACCGCTGAAGTTGCTAACCAAATTAAAGTACCCTCTGGAATTCTGGAACTTTTTCTTTTTACTTAATAATATTTGCCGAACAAGGAAGTGACAGTGACGTGTAACAATCTTACAAATTGTTTTCAATGGAATTTAAGGCAAATTCCATTATGTAGATGAAACTGACATTAATTTTATAACGCAAATGTCTGTAACATTTTGCATGCAATGTTGTCTGAGCACGTCTGTTGACTTAACTAGTAATTTCCGCTCGTCCCGTCAGCCTTTCTACTGCTTGTTTGACAGCCGGCATATGAATACGAAATTCGATGGGCAAACAATTAGCAGGAGAAAATCCATTAGCAGCTGCAATGCCAACCAAGTATGGCATCGTTAAGGGTTTTCTTATGTTCGGTGCGAATAGTTAAGGTTGGCTGGGCGTCAAAGTTAAAAAGCTGAAACTATAATGCCCAGGGCAAAAACCGAAAAGTTTCTGTTTTAGGGAGCATCTCAGGCTTTTTGTCTGCCACGCACACAAAGGACACGTGCTTCAGGCCAGTCCAGCAAAGTGAGTCGGCTTTCAAAGTACATCCAAAAGTTTAGTATGAATGCGGCAAAGTTAATTAGCTGAGTTCCCGGCCTGTTTTGTAATCGAAATAGAAACCGGCTGCTCCTCCTCAAATTAATTGAATTAACAACAATTGTTCATTTTCCTTTTGGCAGAGATACCAGCGAACTGGAACCCGTAACGCATGCGAATGAGGCAGTGCGTCGCTTTTACCGTTTTATACAGGCAGCCCGCGACGGCCAGGATCAAAAGGATTGCCAAACCCTCTATCCACACTGCAATACGCCGGCAAAGTGATAAATATGAAATTGCATTGAGCTTCTACTCAATCAAATCCTTTCTGAGTCAACTTTTCCTTGTTAAATCGAACTGTGAATATCCGAATTATTTAAACATGTTAAGCATACTATAATTGTTAATAACTTATTTATTTATGTATTTATTGAAGTTTTTATTTAAGAAAAGATATTAAGCTTGATTGTCACAGCTCAATTAATATTCATTCTGATTTTGTTTCGACATATTGCCAATTTTCACATTTTTACTGCGACATTTAACACAGTTTTTATTTCAATAATTTTCACAAGGGCTGCAATGACATTTTTGGCAGCCTCAGCAATTTATATGTAAAATGAAATCAGGATTTTTATTGGTTGTCAGACAACTGACAATCGATGCTTACTATCAAATAATATAATGCATTCTGTAGTCCATAGTAATATTGTTGATTACCCTTAAAAAACAAAAACGAAAATACACATAAAAACAGTTTTAAAAAATTAATTATATTATCTCCAATGTTGATTATGTTTCTTAATGGTGTTGAAAAAATAAAAACATTTAAAACATTGCCCCAAAATGTAAATGTATGTAAATAAAGTAAATAAAATCTACAAGCAATTTTGTTACGTTTGGATTGGGTCTGTTATTTACGGATTTTGCTTGTTTCAAACTCAAGCCAGTTCATTTTAATGCGCCTGGCGATTCTGAAGAATCAATGAATCTTTTTCGCTTACCCTGTACTCCGATAAGGCGGGGTATTATAAAGCGTTCCACATCAACTCTTTCAACCACAACAGCAACAGCAATTCATAAGCATCACATGTATATTGAGTGGCGTTAACGATCCTCAGGGATTATATTTGTAATGAATTTGTTTACTTGATCAATTATTGAAATATATTCGAAGAAAGTAAGTGTCCTCCAGTCAATCATTCTCGACTATTCGACGTTCCCCCATGTTTTTTCACATGTGAATCGAGTTTGGCTAATGTGCTGTGTTTGGCACATTTTCTTTGCTCTGCCCCCATAAATGTTGTAGCAGGTTCCCTAGAATTAGCCATGCTGTGAAATCACTCACACGCAGCGATGCTGTTGCGAATACGTAATAAAAATTTAACTCAGTTTGCATAAATCATGACATCACAGATAGCATGCAGAGCATCTTGCTGATTGTTGTTGCATTAGGAATACAGTTGAAATTAAAAAGAATTCATTTGCATAAATATATTTATTAGGTTGAGCTATTGAAATTTGGGTGCGGGCTTTGATGTCTGAAAATAAGTCGACTGGAAAGCAAGGAATATATGAATATTCTGACACGCAAAAATCAAAAATTTCACTTTCATAAAAAAAACGAAGCAAAAAATTCTTTTGGCCAAAAAGAAAACGCAAACAATAAAAACGGAAATAAAAGCAAAGAAAAATATTTGAGAGCAGTGACATCAAAACACCAATTGCCAAATGTTGATGTCTTATTAAATGCCTCAGTAGTAAAAGCATTCGGACACATTCCAGCTAATAGCAAATCCCACTCGCCCAACCCCAACCCCAACCCCAACCCAACCCTCTACTAATGGGCTTGGCTTAATTTTGGGCTACGATTATATTTCCGTTATACGAAGCCCATGACAAAAATGTACAGAAGAAATAAACAAACAAAAGAAACCGTTGATAAATAGTAGCAGCAATATGTGGCATAGCCGACGTACCCATACTCTGTACGAGTCTGAAGTAGGCTTCAGCTGAAGTACGTCTGTCTGAGACGATATTAAATATAGTTGAGAGCACTTGCCAAATATAGAACTGTACAAATATTAGATTTCATTACTTCATCCATATGTGTCTGCTCTTTAAGATGCTTGGCTGAAGTACTTGCGCTTTAATGTGAATGGCGCTTAGTTACCAAATTCTTAGAATTCCATGTATCATTAAGGCTTAGTATTTAATCTGTATATGATTTTTCATGGGATAGACGGAAATATAATTTAGTTTATAAATATAAATAAACCTTATTGTTGAACAGATTTAAGAGAAAGAGAAAACTGCTGCTGTGACTGTTTTTGACTTTTAAGGACTTTTAATGTTAATAAAAGATGATTGCTATTTTCCTATCGTTATTATAGGTATTATATTATATATATTCTTAAGAGCAGAATAATTTTATAAAGTAGCTTCGATATTTTGAATTCCATATCAGTTAGTCTTCAATCCGAATCAAAGTTATATTTGAAAATCAGATATGACCGGCTCTTTAAAACTTGTTGGCTATGAAAAGTAATTCAGAAGCCGCGCCTTCAAATGCATTTGTTGAGTTTTGCAGGTGGCCTTCTATTGATGCATCGTGTCAAAGCCACTTTATATTGTTTCGTATCGTATCGTATCGAATCGCATTCTAATTGAGTTTCCAGGCACGCACATTGAATGTGAGTTCGGGCAACTGATGGTTTTACGACACCTCCTCCGCAGAAGCGAAGAAGCCATAAAATAACTTTCAATTATGTGCGGCATTAAATGCCGAGTATTATGCTTAGAAGTGTCTGATTAAGCAAAACACAAACTGACAGCCAAATGGTTAGACAGAGGCGTGCCCATAAAGCCCAGGCAGCTGACCCAATAGACCTATAAGGAAACCGTAGAATCAGTACACTTAGAAAAATAATTAAGAGCTTGTTACTCAAATCATGAATAAACTCTGTCAAGGTAACAAACTCTAGAACATGGAATGATTTGAATAGAATTGAATAGTAAGAACGATAATTAAGATTCAATTGCTTACATATTCAAATATGTTTGAATATATCTTAAATCAGATACTGAATTACTGTGCAGACATTTTGTACTTACTTTGAATGCCTACAATTTTTATTTTAGTACTTATTACCCTTTTAAATAACACTTAAAGATATTGCAGTATGAGTTCAGGTTCTTAAATTCAGAGCTATTAAATTGAAAACTTAATATAATTCAAAGGAAATTTTGTAATTTGTTCAACAAGGTTTGCTCTTTTTGATACAAAATTGACGTTCGTTTGTGAAACCAAGAATAATTCATGCTTATTTAAGAATAGACAGGTAAAAATTGTAATTAATACATATTAAAGCTAAAATTGATTGAACATAAGGATAGGAATTCATTTCCGGTTGTACTTTTTCTCAGAGTGTGTAGGGGGCTCATGACTTTGTAAACAGGTGAAACTGTTCAACTGTTCAACTGCTCAACTTGCGCTTTCCATGACTTTGACAAAACAAAACGCAATGTCCGCTAAACCTGGGCAGCAAAGCAAGCCATCGAAAGAGTCGCGTACGCAATTCAATTAACAAAATACCGACGTATAAAAACCAAGCGTTACCCGGCCGACATTTGCATAACCCATTGAGTCGCCAACGCGTGTGCAGTGAGCAGCACCAAAAGCACCAACAGCAGCAGCTAACTGGCCAAAAACATAAACCGTTTATTCCCCAAAGTGAAAGTGTGCAAGGATGCAGAGCTACATTTGGCTAATTGGCGCCATGGCGACGCTGGTCGTCGCACAGGCAGCACCCAGCCCCCAAGCACAAGCTCAGTCGGCCACCCAGCTGGCGCTGGATATGTATCATGGCTGTCTCAAGGATCTGAGCATCTCTTGTGTGCGCCCCAAAGCACTGCAATGGTTCAATGCAGCCGTCCAACAGCCAGAGTTAAAGCTGACAGAACGTTTGTCCATTGTGCGTACCTCCTCCAGTGAACGTGTGGCAGAAGCGGAGACGGAGAGACGCTCTCACAGTGCTGAGCAGCAGATGTTTGACAACATCGATAGCTATCTGAGCAGTCATGCGTTGAGGATTCAGGCGCCGGAGTTCTTCCGCAGCGAGGAGGCACGCTCGCTGGTGCCCGACTATCTGCTCCAGAATCCCCTGACACAGGGTGGCATTGTGCCCCTAACAGCTGCCAATGAGGGTGAGTAACCGGTGATTGAAACTCTTTCCGATTTAGAGCTAGTGTTAATTTGTGCAATCTATTACCAGGACGCGGCATGATTCGCAAGGCTGTGTTGCCTTTCCTGTTGGGTCTCAAGCTCAAGACCACGGTCCTCATGCCCCTCGCATTGGGTCTGATTGCTCTGAAAACCTGGAAGGCGATGACTTTGGGTCTGCTCTCGCTGGTGCTCTCGGGTGCACTGGTCATCTTTAAGATTGCCAAGCCCAAGATTGTCAACTACGAGGTGGTGCATTATCCCCATGTGGATCATGTGGTGCCACATCATATTGAACATGTGGTTCCCCATCACATTGAGCACATTGTGCCCCATCACATTGATCATCATCTGGATTTGGATCATCATTTGGATCATCACTTGGATCATCATTTGGATCATCATATTGATCATCATGTCGACTTGCCCTATGAGCATATTGATCATTTGGAACATCCGGCGCCTGCTTGGGATCCACATGCCTGGGCACGCTCCTCCCAAGAGCCACAGGATGCCCAAGACATGGCATATGCGGGACAAAAGAGGCGTTAAGATGCAAAACTCAATACCTGAATGGAAAATGCTGCTGGCTCGATTTTAAGTAGTGCTTCGTATTGTTTTTATTTATTTATTTATTTATTTTATTATTTAATATTTATGTGAATTGTACAAATACAACAAAAGAAAAGTGACAACCATAAAATGAAACTAGAAAAAAAAAACATAATGTATTTCAGAGAGGAAAAGGATTTCCCAGCTAGGTGTAGCACTCGTGTCGTTTTTGTAAATATTTATGCAATAAAACCATGCAAAAGCCTTTTGCCTAATTGAAGATATTCATAGCAAACTTATTTTTGTTTGAGGTAGCAAAGTGGACCACACGAGCAGCAATTAGGTAAATGTAACAAGCTTCTACCTAAGAGTGCTTAAGCGCAAACTTTCTTATGCAAAGATTAGTCTGGGACCCCTTAAAGCACTTAGTCCTTGCTGCAGGAAACCAAACAGCTACTCAACTCGAGCGTTGTTCACATCGAGACTACTTAAGGACTCAATGAGGTGGAAAATCTTGGTCAGGGTTAGACACACATGGAAGCTGCAAACCTGGATAAATTGCAAGAGTTGAGGCAGAATTACCTTTGCACTCAATAACAACTTTTTTAAATATATAAAAAGTGGAATTTATACAGAGGAACGGCAATTTAAATAAAAACCCCAAAAAAAAAAAAAATGCATGGCAATTTTTGTATTTCGCTCTTTATTTACTTGTTTTTAATAAAAGTCAAAAGTGGGAAAGTTGCAGCCGCGACCATAGTGACAACAAACACGTGCAACAATGCAAAATGGCGTTAGCAGCAACGGCAGCAACGGCAACAGCAATGCCCGGCACTGACAAGTGGAGTGTCAACAACAAATTTGTGTGCGGCTTCAACTGCTGGACAACAACACACTTCATTGATATTTAAAGGCACACTCTTTTTTTGACGGTGCTACCTTGTTGCCCGTTTCTACGCAACAATTTGAAATGTGGATAAGAAAATAATAGAAAAAAAAAACAGATATAACAAAGTTTTCCAATTTCATTGGCAAATGTTCCGGGGCTTCGGAGCGTCTGCCAAAATGCGACTTGAATTGTAAATGAACAAGAGAAACTTTGGCTTCGATAAAGAGTTAAAAATATCAACAGACAACAAAAAATAAAAGAAGATATGCTGAAATCGCTCAATTTCCATTTTGTGGCAGGCCGAAAAAGCGTAATCAATTTACGAAATTCATAATTCACACGCTGCCCTGCGAATATATTTTGTGTATTTTTGAAATTCAGCGCATGTCTTTTGGCTACAGGTTTACTTGAGGATTACGTGCGATTTTTGGTGGGGAAGGGTGTCTTTTGAGGGGAAACTGGCCGACCACTTTCGCTTTCAATATGGCAAGGAAAAACACTTTCTACTAAATCATTGTCATGCAGCTGATGTTGTTGTTGTTACTCAATTTAGTCGCAGAGTCTACTCAATTTCAATTATTAATTATGATTTTTCAGTGTGTGCTAATTGCTCGATTTACACAATTTTCCATGTCGCTGTTGTATAAAATTATGCGTTGCATTCAATTTGTGTTGAGTTTTACTGAGACCATTGGACGGGTTATGACTGTGAGCAGCTTATTAAAAATGTTGCCTATATTTCTGCTTACCACATGCGGTCAAAAGTTTCTATTTGATCTTGTGGCATAGTTATTTATAGATATCGCATATTACTATAAGCCCACCCAAAAATTCAAAGTAGAGTGTTAGGTTTTCATTTTAAATCCACCAGAATTTCAATCATAGTTTATACATATTTTGAATCGATAAAATAATCTTCTTTGTCATGTGCAAATTTATTTAATTAGTGACTGACTGAAATGCTTCAAGCGTAGGCAAATGTCTTCTAATTCTAAATGAATAATCATATCGCTATAACCCATTTGATAATGTAATCAATAAGTAAGAGCTAATTTATGCAAGACATATATATCATTAGTTACTTATTAGTCTATGCCCAATAAACCTTACCTTTAGATATTCATAGAAGCAATAACTATTAAAGAAATGAAAACTATAAAGAAATTAAAGAAAGAAATTTAAATTCTTTTGCAAAAAAAATTAAATAATAATATAAAATTTATATTCGTAAAAATGAATTTTCGCATTTATACTCATTCATTTATTTTTCTGCCACATATATACATATATATATATATATACTTCTAAGTACCAAGCTTACCATCTGCAGCTACCTGCACTCTCTCTCCACCTTTGAAGGCGAAAAAATGTGTAATTTCAAAAGTAATTATCCCAAAACAAAAGTTAATAAAAAGCCGCAAATGGCCTCCAAAGTCATTCACAGCTCTTTTAGGGTTTTCTTTCGACAATTTCCTCAAGCTATATTTGACTCAAACCTTTTACAAAGAGTCCAACAGGAAAATGCATTTATTACCAAAGTCAAGTTTGTACAAAAATAAAACGCAATGCTGGCGCAATACTGAAACGCCAGACGCAAGTCGCAAACGCGTTCGAAATAAAGTCGTATTAAGTATCCGACACGTGGTACTCCCAAGCACGCACACACACCAGCTCTTCCAACAACAACAACAACAATAACAGCAACACGAAAAAATCCACTAAGTGGCAATGGCCAACAAGAGCAACAACAATAACAAAGTTTGTAGGCAACAACAATGCACTCGCCGAGCTGCCTCTTTCGGTGTCTGCTTCATTTACGTCTTCTTCCGCCATGTTTTTCTGTTATTTTTTTTGTTATTTTATTTTAATTTTTTTTTTTGTACGTTGTTGCGTACGACAAGAAGCCGAGTGGGGGACACGAGTCGGCAGAGCACCGCAGTCGCCATTTAAAACATTGGGTGAGTATAAAAATCGTGAACAATAGAAAAACGATTATTAAACTCAATTGTGCCAGCATTGAGGCGAGTTGTGTCTTCCGACCAAAGCACCAAAGCACAATTTACAAAAAGAAAAACAAAAAAACAAAATGGCCAAATTGCTCCTTCTGGTTGTGGGCATTACAGCCCTAGTGCTGTCAACACATGGCGCCTCCACGCCGCAGCTGCAACGGCTGATTGCAGAGGAGCAGAGCAAGTGCGTCAGCGGCCAAGATTCGATGGCGTGCATCAAAGAGCGCGCCATGCGTTTTGTGGACAATGTGCTGAGCCAAGATAGCTATAAGGTGATTATAATATAATTGCTTCAAAAATAATGAACCTTAATTTAAACTCAACTCAATCTCGTTTTTCCATTTACAGCTTTCCAATTTGGAGGTTCGCACCAATGGCCAACGGGTGGCGCCCATTAGCGAGGCACGCGCCAGCACCAGCGATGGTTTCCTCGATGCCATCGAGAACTATATCAAGGGGCACGATGTGAGCATGAGTCTGCCCATGGCCGATGCCAAGATCACCGTCTCGGCACGTAATCTGGCCAATGACGAGCTGAGCTTGAACTTGCAGCTGAATAATGAGGATGCTGATGCCAGCGATATCGAAGCCAGGGGTAAGAAGGGCAACATCTTCAAGAAGGGTGGGTTCCAGACAATCAACGCCATCGAATGACTAAATTCACATCCAACTTCCTTCCACTTCAGGCAAGAAGCATCGTCTACGCAAACTGGCCATGCCCATTTTGGTGCTCATTTTGTTGAAGGCAATCACCGTGATTCCAATGGCAATTGGCATACTGAAGATAAAGGCATTCAATGCGCTGGCTTTGGGCTTCTTCTCGTTTATTGTCTCGGTTGGTTTGGCCATTTTCCAATTGTGCAAAAAGGTAAGAGCGATCAGCTATTAAAAACCGCATTTCTATTGTCTTTTAGGCATTCGCGGGCTGTGGTAATTAAGTGAGTGCTGTAGTTGAGTTGTGTGTTGAGGAGGGCAGACGGGTAGAGTTCTAACAATTACTTTTACACATATCACGTATGTATACTGTTTCCCCCCTCTCTTCGACCCCCAAAGTGAGGGCGAGCGCGCGCTGGGTAAGTTCCGAGTCCAAAAACCCTCCCACAACTCCTAAAAAGCACCTCCTAAAAAGCCAACCCCCAAAATGTGCCAAAAATGTCTCTATCTTTTTCTCATTTTCACCCGACCCCTATTTTTATTGTTTGCCTCCACAGATTGCTCATGATCATCATCACACCGCACATATTACCGCCCACGGTCCGTGGGATGGTCGCAATTTTGGTGCGCCTGTTGTGGAGCAGCCCCATCCCCAATTGGCCGCCCATCAGCTGGCCTATCAGGCCCATGTCTAATAATCTAAACCCAAAAATCCTGAAGCCACACAACAGCCCTAGAAAAAGTTGAGCTCACAGCACAAATTGTTTGTTAATTGTTAAAAGTTGTTTGTGACTTGGTTCGTCCCTTTTTCCAAATGAATCAAAACAGAGGACGAATGGTGCGAGGCTGCTCCCCATCCCGTTAGACATTATTTATAATAATATTTATTTATTTATTTATTGAAAAGAGCAAAACAAAGAAAACATACAAATCAAAAGCAAAATAAATGCCTATTTAAATTAAAGTATTCGACTGTCTTCAATTTATTTAGTATAGCCTACTTACTGTTGCTGCCTATGCACGGCTTTAGTTAATTAACTAAACTGCCTAATTTCACTGCGCTTAAATTATGTATAGTCAAAACACTGTTGCCGTCCTAATTAGCCAAAAATTTAATTAGCTTCATATGCTTCGGCGCTACCAACTAATTAAACATTCCAGTCAAATGCGTTTCTGTGGAATGCTGGTGGGGGAAAGAGCAGTGACGGTTTCGTTTTTTGGATGGGTCGATTAAAATGATGAGCTACTGTCTTTAATTTTAATTTTTAAGTTTCTTATTTTCACTTGCGCGAAAGTTATGCGGCTCTTTGTTGTTGTCCACCGACCACGCGCCGAAAGTGAAAGTCTTTAAAGCATTCCTTTTGGCCAGGGCTTTAACCGTTGATAGGCGAGCCATTTTATCTGGCCAACTGAGCGACAAGTGACCACAAGCCAAGGACCCTCAACTCAACACACCCTTTGCTCAATTGCTGGAAATGCTTGTGCCGCCATTTTGCATCGAGACGATGGCATCTCAATTTCATTGAAAAATAATAAAAGTGAACAAGCATTCTTATGGTCAATAAAGCGCTTCCAATGCTGCACAAATGGGACCAGCTGCAAGAATTCAGTGACAAGTTTATCAAACGTGGCATTGGTATAGTTGTGAGGCACTTGGCCAGCTGCCCCAGCGCGCCCCGTCGCTTTCATAACGTTTTGGCATTCAGGAGGACGTTGCACAGTCGTCACACCAGCATATGGAAATTGATTGCATGTTTACGATTTTCATTTTGTTTATATCTTTTTTTTTAAGTTTATTTTTTTTTGGTTTAATTTTGGCACGCATTAAGTAAAGTGTGGCGTCTGTGATATATATGTTGACAATTTCTTTTATTGGGTGATAACAGATCGTGTGACGACAATATAACAACGACGACACATGTTGCATTATTCAGATGATCAGTTGGGTAATCCGCAAGTGTTGTCAACAATTGGCAAAGATTTGATTTTAGGCTACCTGTTCAAGATTATTTCACAGTGAGATATTAATAGTTGGTGTAAATATCTCTCTTAATACTTAATATAATAAAAAATAATGAGAATATTTGTATGATGTTTAATTTCATTCATAAACCAACATTTTCGCAAACGTGAGAATGCCGCATGCCAACGCTGCAAGAAAAATAATTTAATGCTGAACACTGAAATCATATTTAATTCATATTTAATTTCACATTCCGTTTGCTTCCTCTCTGATGACACACTTAGAAACACGCCCTGCGAAATATTAGAATACCGTAAATATTTACATAAACGTAATCATTTATAATTTGAGGATGGGTAAAAAAAATAAGTGTCTATATTTCTGTCCACTTCAATATCTATTATTTACAATAGTTTACGTATAAGTTAAGAACTATCAACATTGATTTTAATTTAACTATTGTTATCAATTATAAAAATACTTTTTGTTTAAAAATATGTTATCATTAAATAAGTGTTTCTTTGAGGAAGAAGGGCACATCAGGATCTCCTTAATTTATACTATTAAACTGGAATTTTATGTACTATTGCAGATCTGTATAATTGACCAATAAACATAAATTTTAAATATATATAATATATTAATATATAATTTTGAAAACAATAAAACGAGGTCACCAACAACAAACAATTACTTTTAATAAATATTTTAGGAAAACAAAAATTAATTATTTACTTATGTATATTAAATCCAATGCCAAATGATAAAACATGTATTCGATTAAGTTGATTCCTATGTATATAGTTTTAGTTATATATCTGAGGATGTCAAACATTATTTAATTATTATTGCTTATCAATCGTTACATCAAATCAATTTTATTCTTAATTAACTGAACGATTGAGTTAAGTGCTTGACGTGCCTACTGGTAAATATTGACTGCAGTCCTGTCAACAAGCCTGTATATCGAATGAAAACAAAAATGGACATGTGTACTACTGACAAATATCAACAACTGATTTGCCGACTCCTTCATTTTTGTTGACCTACATTTGATTAACTCAACATCTGATTAACCCAGTTTATGGAAGCGTGTCGAATGGAATATATGGCAGCAAAGAAACAAAAATCGATTTCGTAATCCCAGAAAACGAACGAAATAATAATAACTGAACTGTGCTGCGGAAACTGAACAAACAGTTCCGCATATATACATATATGTACATACTACGAACGAAAATATCAAATGGCTTAATCCGCATCAATGTCCAATACCAAAGCGTAGACTCCAGTTCCGTACTGAATTTCTTGTATCGAAAAATTTGACACAATACGTGCCCTGGACCCGGGTCTGGTGTTGGGTCCGTCTTGGGTCTCGGCTTTCTTGTGGCTGGGTACGTAAGAGTTGAGGGCTCGCATACTAATTGGGGGAAACAAAAGTTATTTTCATCGGGCACCTCGATAAATGCAACTTTGACCACTGCTCGAGTGTGGGGGAGTCCACAGAGGGTGGGGCGGCAGCCAGTGCCGATATGGAAAGCGAGAAAGCTTGCAAGCTAGTCGAAGCGGACTGCGGGGGCAACCCAGATATCAAAAGTCGATGAAAAACTTTGGAGTAGTTTGGCTAAGGTTCGGCCATGTGGCTTTCGTCACTCAATTCGTAGCTGTCCAAAAAGAAACAATATTGTTGTTGTTGTTGTAGTGCGCTCCAAAAAAAAAAAAAAAAAAAAACCAACAACAACAACAACAGCAACAATGGGCACTCTTGCAATGCAGTAGTCTCTTTGGGGCGCTCCGAGGAGCGGCAGTATAAAATCGTGAGTACTCGCACAATTGTTCAACATTGTCGTCGCAACGGCATCGCAGTGAACACCCATTACGCGCTCTGGTAGTGCATTGAACAAGTGTTTAATTAGACATAGATATATATATATATATATAAATATTTATATAGATAATTAAAAGATGGCATACCGTTACACATCCTTCGTCGCGTTCGGTTGCGTGCTGCTGCTGGCGGCGTCATCATCGGTGCAAGGTGCTGCCATAGATAATGCGGTCACTCCACGGATTCACAGCTCCGATGAGCTGATCTCAACGATTGTGGATAAGTGCTTCCATGCCAATGCCATGCATTGCCTGAAGGAGAAGGTGCTCACGTATCTGGACACCGTTGCCAACGTTGAGGAGGAGGTCAGCGGTCGTGCCTACAACGATGATGTCATCGATAAGGTCATCGTCGATCGTCTCGCAAGGATTCTGCGCTCCAACGAGCTGCGCGTCCAACTGCCGGAGACTTTCTTCTCCAGCTCCGTGATGACCTATCGTGCTGATCGTGGCTTCGATCTGGAACTGCCCAAGGAGGAAGGTGTGTAAAAGATCAACACCCAATCTGTATTAAAACAATTCTAATCACAATTCTCAATCGGCAAGTTTAGGTCGCGCTGAGAAGAAGAACAAGGATAAGCTCTTCCTGCCTCTGCTGCTGCTCATGAAGTTCAAGCTGAAGGTTATCATGCCCATTCTTCTGGCTCTGGTCAGTTTGAAGGCGACCAAGGCCCTGATCCTGTCCAAGATTGCCATTAAGCTGGTGCTCGGTTTCCTCATCTACAATCTGGTCCAGAAATTGGGTGGCATGAAGATGAACATGGTCCCAATGCCACCACCAATGCCACAAGCTGAATATGGTGTGCCCAGTACCACGGCCTCCTCGTACGATCCCAGCAGCTGGGAGCCCATGAGCGGTGGTCCATATGCGCGTTGGGACTCACAGAATGTGGCCTATAGCTCCTATCACCCCAGCAGCTCCTCGTCGTACAGCTCGTCGTCGGGCTCCCCATCGAGTGGCAGCTCATCCAGCTACAGCTCCTCCTCTTAGATCTAGGATAAAAACTGCCGCTGTTAAAATGTACATACCAAGGAACTGAGTGCCATAGCTCTCCTCATACATATCTGACATATCTCTGAGGGGGCGTGGCACTTTGAGTAAGCAGACCAAATGGAACCGGAACATGCCTAGGCCATAATATTAGTTTGTTAAGTTTTAAGTACGCTCGACTTTTAGCCATTCTATTACTTCCCACACTTTACACTCTGCATCTTCTTCCCTATCGACTTCCTTTTACTACTGCTTTATTCTCCATTTCTATGCATTTTCCCTCACATCTTCCACTCTTCCACAGAAAACGACCAAAAATCAAGCAACTTAAATGAAATATTATTTATTTAATTTATTACAAATTCCAAAATTAAAATTAAATGAATTTAAACATTGTTTTTCTAATTTTTCTATATAATAATAGTGCTTTTCCACTTAACCAAACTAACTAACTTGTTGCTTAACAATTAATTAACTATGCTTAAATATTCTATGGGTTCTTACTCTGTTGCAGCTATTGTGAATCATATTGTTGTGAGCAAAAGTTCTAAAGATATGTTAATATTTATTAATATTATTTGTTTCAGCCATCATTGATATAGTTATTGCCTTGGGAAGCACTTTTGAGGGTATAATTTTAACATAAATATCCTTAAATAAATAGCCAGAAGGCAATTCCTTAAGTATTAATCTTAAAGTCAAACCATGACCCCAAAACCCTGGCTTTTGAAAATCTAATCTGTTTAATCCACAATCCACGCAGCTTGCAATACAATTTAATGGAATCTCGGATAATTGTCAATATTTGTTTCTGTGCAAGTTCAAGCTAAATTGTTGTCTTTGCAACAAAAAAAAAACAATAAATAAATAAAACCCAAAACTCCGCGCTTTTTTTTATTAGTTGTTATTGTTTTAGATGCACTGCGATGCTTTCTAAATTTTCTAAAGTTGCTGCAAAGTGAAAATAATTGAATTCGGTTTTCTGCGTCGATAGCAAAAAGAGAGTCAGCGAATAAGAAGCCTTGGAGAGGACTTTTACTAAGTTGTTGTTTTTGAAGTTTTCCTTGATTGAATTTCTCCCACAGCAAAATATTTGATTAGATTATTTGGCATACATGAAGAATAGAAAAAAGGTCTCAGCAGATTGTGCATTTAATCTTACATAGCATACACAGTAGGGCGAAGTGAAACAGAGTATTAGTTCACATCAACAAATGTATGACCCTATAGACAATCATTATTTGTACATAATCATTTTATAAATGATTACAGAACCTCAATTTCAATCTGACATTCTTCAAGCATTCTTATGAAAAATGGAATGGCTTCCTCCTTCTTCCAATTAGTTCTTTCTGGAACTATATCAACAAACTTCTTGGTTTCTTTAAGCACTTTTACAACATTTTTTTGTACTTACTAGGCATATACTTAATTGTTTTTTTTTTAATATTATAATTAAAGTAATATAGGGTAACGTACATTTGATCATGAAAGCTAAAGCGTTGATTTATTTTGAAATATTTTACGCTTTAAAGTACTCTCAACTTTTTGAAAAAAACAAGTGTTCAGCTTAATTTTAACCACTTTACATTTTTTCAAGGCCAAGTTCTGAATATCATAGCCTTTGTGTAGATTGTTTTTAATGACCATGTGCAAAAGAGTTAAATTCATTTTATAAACTTAACGCTAAAATCAAGCACAATACAAACAGGGCCCATTGAGATATTATCTATAATTGCTATTTGTCATAATGCCTGATTTGCATGCTTTGTAGTTAGCAGCAATTTCCTGTACTCTAATTCAATTACACCTAAATTGGCTACTAACTGCTTTTTAACATTCATAACATTCACGTTCCTTTTGGGCCAGTCACGCGAATTCCGAGCAGCATAAATTGAGTAGATGCATGTGAAAAGCGTTTTGCAAATGGACTGAACAAGGTAGGGTGACAATAGATGGAAGGGTAGCAGCAGCAGTGTTCTAATCTAATTGGACTTTCAGCTATGATAGCTATGAAAGCTAAAGCAAAACAAGTAAAAAGGTGAAGCCTTTTGATACTCTAACAACTGCTTGATACTCTAACAACCCGTGTAAGAGCAACTGAGAAATGTTGGCAAATCGATTGTGATTTATTTCGTATGCATTTGAATTTAGACCAGCGGTTGTTTAAAATATTTGGATTTGATCGACTTATTCACGGAAGTAGTTCGAGTCTTATCAATCTTAACACTTTGTGCGACGCTTATACAAAGAGAAAGACATACAAATATCTTCCAACTTTCAAGTCGCTAGCAAACGCATATACCTTTCTGCCATTGGCAAATTAGCGTATAAGACAGCTGTTTTAGCAAAAGACAAACTTGGCTAAAACTGGCCACCAGACCTAGACCCACCCAGACAGCCGGTTTTTCTGCTCCAGTCTGGGCACGAGCTACTTAAAGCGCTGTTGGAGCCAAGCAGACGACAGTGTGTTCAAATCGCTGCTTAAATCGTATAAATCATGTTGCTAACCAATTCCTACCGATTGCTGTGCATTGGGCTCTTGCTCAATTTAGGTCTGTGCCTGTCCAGTGGCACTGATCCAAAGGAAACGGAAGTTAGCAAGTTCTTTAGGCACTTGGATCTTATACCTGATCTTTTAGATCTGGGTCCGCAGGAGTTTCTCAATGTAAGTGCAACACTCAAGATTATTTTCAATGAGTCACAAGTCGATTTCCCTTGTACGGCAATAGGTGACCTATCCGGGCCAGATAAAAGCCGATCGTGGTATTCAGCTCCAGCCGATGCAGGTGCGGGATGAACCCAAAGTCAAATGGGTATCTAGCGAGGAGAACTACTATACGCTGCTGATGACCGATCCGGATGCACCGGATCGCAAGAATCCAAAGTTCAAGGAGTATCTGCATTGGCTCGTCCTCAACATACCCGGTAATCAGTTGAGCATGGGCGATGTCCGTGTTGCATATATGGGTGCCACGCCACCCAAAGACAGTGGACTGCATCGTTACGCCTTTTTGCTCTACAAGCAAACGGATCATCTGAAGTTCGATTTTAAGCCCGTGCCCCGGCACAGCGAAGAGAACAGGATGAACTTCAGCACCAAATCGTTTGCAGAAAAATATAAACTTGGTCATCCACTGGCTGGCAACTTTTTCACCAGCGAGTGGAGCAAAGATGTGCCAGTGCTGAACAAGGCCAACATTCAGGGAGGTCAGGGACAGACTCTATCGCTTTAGGTAATCATCTAAACTCCACAGCAACAAAAAAAAAAAGTCAAAGAGTGAACAAGCTAATTTGTTGGCCGGTTTTTGGATTGCCAAAGAAATGCATAAATAAAATTAAAGCTAAACTTCGATTCCAGCTTATTTCCAAATCTTCCACTTTGAAAATATATTATGTCTGAAGTGAAAGTTTACCTAAACCGGCTGTATAACAATTTAAGCAGTAAACCTTGAAAAGTTTTTTTAAATCGATTTCAAAGTTGTTTATTTAAAGAATCTATGGAATAGCCAACTCAACTAAGACTGATTCCAGTCAGGTTTGGTTTTTGGAATGCTTAATTATTATGTGCAACAGCTAGTTCTGATTACAGGACATGCAGCATATACATTCTTGATCAGAACAATGAGATTAATAAACTTTAAGTTTGGCAAATAAGTTCTCGGATATCACAAGCACATCAAGTATCTTTTATTTGATCGATAACTGCCCCGTTTCGCGAATATCGATTTAAATCGATTTCCGATAATGGTAATCTTCGTAATGTTGTATGTCAAATTATATATATAATATTCCCTGAACTATTATTGATCAAATGCATACAAGTCATCCAAGTTATAGCACAAAATTGTGCATAATAAGCGCGTGGATATGAGAGAAAGGGAACGCATGAGAATCGAAGGGAGTGTAAATTTCTTTATATAGTCTGAACCTCACTGATATCTCTGAATAATAGTGTATATACACACATCTTTGCACATGCTCGTCGCAAGTCGCTGGTTTCAGTTGGGGCTTGTGAATAACATCATACTTGATTTTTGCTTCAGCATGCTGTAATTATATAAGCTACGCTGAGTGACATGGGCTATTTTGGGGTACCAGCTTAAAGATGAATGTGTTTTTGAATTGTGTGATTTGCTGAGAGTGAAAAGGATGGCAGATGCTTTTTGCTTTGTCTGGTGGGAGTTTAAATCATCGATGCAATAATCCGTATCTTTATTAAATATACAATAATGAAACTGATTCTACAAACTTTAATTTCAACTATGCGAGTAAAATATATAGGCACAAGCAACAGTCAAAATGAAAAAATTTTGTCAACAAAACTAGAATAATATATTTATCAGTTGTTCTTAGGTCTTATATGATAATCGAGTTCTCTTCGATTCCAAGTAATTTGATCAGCACAGCTTTGGAATTTGTTCGTTTTCGAATACCTCAGACTACAGACATCCTCGATAAATATTCTTATAATTATGGCTGATATTTCGGAGAGCTTTAAGAAGCACAAGATCATACCGGACATACTGCAAGTGGCACCAGCGAAACTCTTAAAGGTACGCATCCCATTATCCTTAACACATCTGAACTGCATCAGCTGCATGCCACTTAAATAGGTCACCTATGCGTCCGGTGTGGAGGTGAACAGCGGCAATGAGTTGACGCCCACTCAGGTGAAGAATAATCCACGGCTTGAATGGGAAACGGAGGAGAATGCTCTGTATGCCGTGATCCTTACAGATCCCGATGCGCCCAGTCGCAAGGAGCCCAAGTTTCGTGAGTGGCATCATTGGCTGGTCGTCAATGTGCCTGGCACTCAGGTGGACAAAGGTGATGTGCTCAGCGCTTTCGTGGGTGCGGGTCCACCACAGGGCACCGGCCTGCATCGCTACGTTTTCCTGGTATACAAACAGTCCCAGAAACTGTCCTGCAATGAGCCGCACATTCCGAAGACAAGCGGCGACAAACGCGGCAAATTCAGCACTGAGAAATTTGTGGCCAAATACAAGCTGGGCAATCCCGTGGCCGGCAATTTCTTTCAAGCACAATGGGACGATTATGTGCCCACATTGTACAAGCAGCTGTCTGGCAAGTGAAAAAACCAAATAAACAACAACAATAATATTCATGATAATTGATTTAGACTTGAATTGATAAATTAGTAAATGCAATTTGCAATATATTGAACAAAAAAAACGAGTGTTATTAAAAATATTTCCCGCAACGTTTTCGCACAGCAGCAGCAAGCAGCTGCCAGCGTCAACTATTTAAATACGCTGCGTCACAACAAACTAGTTTTAGTTGCCAGCAAATTTTACCAGCGAACAGTTCAGATTGTTTGGCAAAAGTTTTCTGAATTCAATTACACAATTGACATGTTATTTCAATCGGTGCTGATTGCCTGCATTCTGGCAGCAGTGGAATCCAACTCAGTCGAGGACTCATTCAAGGCGCATGGCGTTGTGCCCGATGTGGTGCCACATGCCCCAAGCCAGTTGCTTAAGGTAAGAAAAAGAGAGAGCAGAAATAAGAGATAGACTGGAAAAGCCTAGGTTTAAATACCCTCACCGAAGGGAATTCAACTGACTTGCAGCTAAAAGTGATTATGCACTGATTGATTATATCTGAAATCTCGTATATAGACTATATAGAATCAAGAATATATACACTATATGTTCCTTGAGCTGTCTCCTTCAATACACTACACACTTTCCCTCCAAAGTTAAAAAACCCTATGAAAGGGTATACAAAAAATAAACCTAAAAACGCTAACAAAAAAATAAAAACTTTCCGTTCAAAGGTCACCTATGAGAATGGACTCGTTGCCAAGGAGGGCGTGGTGCTCACACCCACACAGGTGAAGTCACAACCCTTGGTCGAGTGGGAAGCGCAGCCAGATGAATACTATTCGCTCATCATGACCGATCCGGATGCGCCCAGTCGCGCTGAGCCCAAGTTCCGTGAGTTCAAGCATTGGGTTGTTGTCAATATACCCGGCAACGATGTGGCCAGTGGCGAGGTCCTTGCCGACTATGTGGGCTCGGGTCCGCCCAAGGATACGGGACTCCATCGATATGTTTTGCTCCTCTACAAGCAGCCGGGCAAGCTGCAGTTTGAAGGTACTCGCGTCAGCAACAAATCCCGTCGCAGTCGACCCAAATTCCATGTGGCCAAATTTGCCGAGCATCATCAGTTGGGCGAGGTCGTCGCTGGCACATTCTACCAGGCGGAATATGATGATTATGTGCCCATTTTGCACCAGCAGCTGTCCGAGAATTAAGTTTTACATTTGTGAATTTATGCAAAATTACAATTTGGTTTTTATTCTTTGTGGGTTTTTTCTTCACTTTTTAATTTTGAGGGTTTTTTTTTTGTATTATTTATTTATTTTTTATTTGATTACAACTACTTGCCCGCTGCGGTGGCGAGCGGATTGCGCAGGACGAGAATCACTGAATCGCCGCGCAGGAACATTTTCGATATGAAGCGATCCTTGTTGACCGGTTTCACCTTCTTCTTGCCCTTGCCGGTGCGCGGCAGTTCCGTCCACATCTCCTTGACGTTCTCCAACACCATGTTGCAATGGCGATCGAAGGCTTTTACACGGCCCAGCAGTTTTTTGTTGTTGCGACAGTTGATCAACACTTGCGTATTATTCTTCACGGACTGTGTGAGCACTGATAGCGGACCAGTGTTGAACTCCTCCTCCTCCTGACGTGCCAGCTCCTCGGGTGTCAACTCTGATTTTGGTTTGACGAGAGCCCTGCAAAAAAAAAACTAGCTGTGAATTGTGTGCAACTACAACAATGGGCGTGCCGGCAGTACACATGTTGCAGCAGGGCCTTTATTCTTGTTTACTTACATGTTGCAGTGTTTGTCTTAGTTCTGTTTTTATGAGTTGATAAGTGTTAGACTTTATTTATTTACTAAATGCTTATGGACGAGAAACGTTTGCGCCTCGCGGCTTTTTTCCGTGTTTTGCGAGGAGATGCGGCAACTATCGATAAGATGCCACTATCGATAGGCGACGCAATTGTTTGCGTGATGCGGTGCTGCCATTTAGCTAAAAATACAATTATTAAAATCTTTTATACTTAGTAGCAAGAAAAAAAGGCTGCTAAACGGAATAAATAAATGAACATGAATTTTAATTTATTATAAGGTTTATAATAACATTATAAGCAGTGAGATCAGCTGCTGCATATGGTTGAGAGCAAGTTGTAATTTATTGTTTCAGTATTTTTTTGTATTTTCATGATTTACTCCTCTGATCACACTGCAGTTGCTTGATATTCTTAACTCGATTTTAATATAAACAAAAGGCACGTGCAGGATTAACCGCTGCCTGCTGCACATGGCAAGTGCCGCGAAGCAAGCCAAGATGACGGCCGACAAGGAGATGGTGATGCCAGCAGTCGACCACTGTGCCCATTGGGTACAGCGGAAGAAACGCTATTGCAAAATGACGCCAAACAAGGAGAGTTTATTTTGTGGAGCTCACCAGCAGCCAGGAGAGAAATCCCCGGAAGACGATCCCCAAACGGAGAGAATACCCTGCCCACTGGACCCCAAACATACGGTATTCAAGCGAAAGCTAGCCAAACACTTGAGCATTTGCAATGCCAGAGATCAGAGCAGCAATTTTCCCTATTTGGTGAAGGATATCAATGCTGGCGAGGAGCTGGAGGCTCAGTTGGAGACTGAACTGGAGCTCAAGCTGCATGAGCTTGAGGATGCCGAGTTTTATGGCGTTATAAAGAAAGTAAAGCATCTTTATGACACGCACATTGCGGGCAATATTGAGCAACTGCAGTTGGAGCATCCTTCCCTCGAGGAGCCGCTGAGCCACAAGGAATACGGGCCGGAGGCACGCAAACATCTCGTGCAGACATCCGCACTGCTGGGCATACTCGAGCGGGACAAGCAGCTAGCGGAGCATACCAGCTACATAGAATTTGGTGCTGGCAAAGGACAATTGGCTTTTTATTTGGCGACGGCGTTGGAATCACAGCAACTGAAGCATTCTCAGGTGGTGCTCGTGGATCGCCTGTCGCTGCGCCACAAGAAGGACAACAAGCTGACCAACAAGCAGCAGGTGCAACGCATTCGCGCCGATATCGCTGACCTAAATCTTACCCAGCTGCCCGAATTGCAACGCACCCAGCGCCATGTAGCGCTATCGAAGCATCTGTGTGGCGCAGCCACAGATTTGACAATACGTTGCATACTTGGTGATGTGGCATGCCACACCAACTACATTTTAATTGCGTTGTGCTGTCATCATCGCTGCTCCTGGCGCTCCTACGTGGGCAAGTTGTGGCTGCAGGCTGCGGGAATCTCCCGCCGAGAATTCACCATAATTGCTAAGATGGTCAGCTGGGCGGTTTGTGGCAGCGGTTTGAGTCGTGAGCGTCGCAAAGCCATCGCCGAGGCCAAGGAGGAGCAATCCAGGGAGGAGGAGGAAGAGCAGCTGCCCCAAGTGGAAGCCACGCAGCGATTGAGTCGCGAGGAGCGTGAAACAATTGGCTATCAGTGCAAGCGTGTCCTGGACCAAGGCCGTCTGGAGCATCTCAAGGCACATGGCTACGAGGCATCCTTGAAATTCTATGTGCCCCGAGAAGTAACTTTAGAAAATGTTGTCCTTTTGGCAAAGCGGGAAAACACTAAGTGCAATTTAAATAAAAGCTGATTTTGCTTACTTGACTTTGGAGATGAATTATTGCTGCCTTAAATAATGAATATATATAATTGTACAGATTCATTACACTGCTTCTATATATTCCCTTTAATCCGTTTAAAAGATCATATCAAAATTGATTCATTTTCAAATTTTGTTATTTATGTCGAACAGCTGTTTAATGCTGCCAGTGTGTACTCCAAATATTTGCGGTTTTCTGCTGCCAGGGCTGCAGTGCACTGTGAACAGCTGTGTGGGTGAATCAGTCAGCTTTGGGTAGAAAAGAAAAAAAGAACAATTTCGTCTATTTAATATAAAATTGCAGTTGGAAAATTTAATTTGAAATAATTTGTGCACGCAACAATGGCTGGTGAAATGGCGCACAAAATGAAGGCCATCAAATGCCCGACAGACGAACTGTCGCTGACGAACAAGGCAATTGTCAACATTGCTGATTTCACCGAAGAAGTCAAGTCAGTTTTTTATTTAGCTTTTTTTTTGTTTTGCTGTTCGTTTTTTGTTTTTTGTTTGTATTTGAAATGACGCCAACTCGAAATGTGTGGGGGCGTCTGTCTCATTGTGGAGTGACTAATTTAATTGCATATATTTTACTGATTCGTCAATAGATATGCGGACATCTCACCGGGACCGGGACAGCATTATATATTTGCGCTGGAGAAGATTGGGGAGCTGCCACGTGGACATGTGGGTTTCTCGCTGGTGCAGCGCAAGTGGGCAACGTTGTCAATCAATCAGGAGATCGATGTGCGTCCGTATCGATTCGATGCCAGCTCGGACATCATCACATCCGTCGCCTTCGAGACGGATTTTCTGCAAAAGAAGACAATCACCCAGGAGCCCTACGATTCCGATGAAATGGCCAAGGAGTTCATTATGCAATTCGCTGGCATGGCCTTAACAGTCGGCCAAACACTCGTCTTTCACTTCAAGGACAAGAAATTGCTGGGACTCGCCGTCAAATCGCTAGAGGCTGTCGATCCCCGCACAGTGGGCGATGGCAAGGAGCCAAAGTCGCGTAATGTGCGCTTTGGTCGCCTGCTCGGCAACACGGTCGTCCAATTCGAGAAGGCCGAGAATTCGGTTCTGAATCTGCAGGGCAGATCCAAGGGCAAAATCACACGCCAATCGATCATAAATCCCGATTGGGATTTCGGTAAAATGGGCATCGGTGGCTTGGACAACGAATTCAATGCGATCTTTCGACGTGCGTTCGCCTCGCGCGTCTTTCCTCCCGAACTTGTCGAGCAGTTGGGCATCAAGCATGTCAAAGGCATCCTCCTCTATGGACCACCAGGCACTGGTAAAACTCTGATGGCCCGCCAGATTGGCACCATGCTCAATGCCCGGGAACCGAAGATTGTCAACGGTCCGCAAATATTGGACAAATATGTGGGTGAATCCGAGGCGAATATTCGTCGCCTGTTCGCCGATGCCGAGGAGGAGGAGAAGCGACTAGGCCCGAATAGTGGTCTGCACATCATCATCTTCGATGAGATCGATGCGATATGCAAGGCGCGTGGCTCTGTGGCTGGCAATAGTGGCGTCCACGACACTGTCGTCAATCAGCTGCTGGCGAAAATTGACGGCGTGGAGCAGCTGAATAATATACTGGTCATTGGCATGACCAATCGACGGGATATGATCGATGAGGCTCTTCTGCGACCGGGCCGCCTTGAAGTCCAAATGGAGATCAGTCTGCCCAATGAGCAGGGACGCGTCCAGATCCTGAACATACACACGAAACGAATGCGTGAATTCAACAAGATTGCCAGCGATGTGGACAACAAAGAGATCGCCGCCTGCACCAAGAACTTTAGCGGTGCCGAACTGGAGGGTCTCGTCCGTGCTGCCCAATCCACGGCGATGAATCGTCTGATCAAGGCGGATGCCAAAGTGCATGTTGATCCCGAGGCCATGGAGAAACTGAAGGTGACCCGTTCCGATTTTATGCATGCGCTGGAGAATGATATAAAGCCCGCGTTTGGTGCCGCCCAGGAGATGATTGAGAATATGTTGGCGCGTGGCGTCATCAACTGGGGACAGCCGGTGACGAGCGTTCTCGAGGATGGCATGCTGTTTGTGCAACAGGCAAAGGCCACAGAGAGTTCCGGCCTCGTCTCTGTGCTGATCGAGGGTGCACCCAACTCTGGTAAATCGGCGCTGGCCGCCAATCTGGCCAAGATGAGTGATTTCCCATTCGTCAAGGTGTGCTCACCGGAGGATATGGTTGGCTTCACTGAGTCCGCCAAATGTCTGCACATACGCAAGATCTTCGATGATGCATATCGCTCCTCGCTCAGCTGCATCGTTGTGGATAATGTGGAGCGTCTGCTCGATTATGGACCGATTGGGCCGCGCTACTCCAACCTGACGCTGCAAGCACTGCTCGTGCTGCTCAAGAAACAGCCGCCCAAGGGTCGCAAACTGCTCGTCCTGTGCACCTCCAGCCGACGTGAGGTGCTCGAGGAAATGGAAATGCTGTCCGCCTTCACATCCGTGTTGCACGTCTCGAATTTATCCAGTGCCGAGCATGTGCTGGCCGTGCTCGATGACTCGGATGTGTTTGGTGCCGACGAGCTGCAGAGCATTGCGAGGAAAATGGCTGGCAAGCGGGTTTGGATTGGCATCAAGAAGCTGCTGGCGCTGATCGATATGGTGCGGCAATCGGAGCCACAATATCGTGTCATCAAGTTCCTCAGCAAAATGGAGGAGGAGGGCGGATTGGAGATGCTGGCGAGAACGCAGTAGCTAACGAGTCTTCTCGAATTGAGAATGTCAATTGTGGAGCTTAACGATGCTTTCTGAGCCACCACCACCAACGCCAACCACCAACAAGCAACCAACCACCAACGAATTAGCTCAAAATACAGATTTGTAAAACATTCTACAATTATACCAAGAAAAAGCTCATCGAAACCACAACACAAACCGACCAATAACATAGAACAATTCTATATATATATATATCTACATATATATATATAGCCTAGTTTATGCAACATTCCATGCGAATCCCCCTCCAACCACGACGACCATGTCCATGTTGAGCCTTGTCGAATCCTTGTCAATGCCCTTGGCATATTCGTGAATATTAGTTAGTTAAATAACCTTGTAGCTATATTTGATTTATCCGATATGGAAACCTATATATTATATCGCTGTGTATTTGTTGTATATTCAATTTATATGTCCTTAAAAGCATGGATAATCCCCAAATGCCTCGCTGTCTAGTTCAAAGAAGAAGAAGTAAAAGGATTATAAAGAAACACATATAGCAACAACAATTTTTGGATGACTTAACCTAATATACATATATATACATGTGTGTAATCAACTTATACTACATTTTTAATGTCTATCAAAATGGTTTTTTGATCGAACTTTGCAGATTATTTATCGTGCCCAAATTTTGTAATTTTTGATATACTCTAGCGCCGCCAGAGAGAAATTGCGGCCATTTTACAAACTAACTATGCTGCACCGCACAAAAGTAGACTACATTTTAAGAGAAGTTCAGGCTGAGAATTGAGTCATGCCAAATACATTCCACATATTTTGTATTACAAAGTCAAATGAGGTGTTCAAATTTGTACACAAATAAATAATGCATGGTATTTTATGTGATTAGGATCAGAGTGTTGTTAGAGAGAATAAAGCATACTTTTATGGGCTAAAGACTAAAAATTGTTCAACGAAAATATAAAATAAAATGATGCTTTAATATAATTTTTTAATTTGCAATTTAAACTTCAAAGTATTAAGAAATTTTGATTTAAGGATTATGCATGTTTTTTTTATAAGTTTTCAATTTTCAATTGTGGAAATCTAAATTAAAATGCTCGGTTTCGGATATTTCCTATTTGTGTGCAAATATTAAGAATGTATCCTAAACAATTCGAGCCCTCTATACAAATTAAAAGAAAATTAAAAATAACTTATGAAAAAAGAAAACAAACAAAGGCAAGCAAAATAATGCAATAACATGTTTATAAAAAGTTTACAAAAATATATTTAAAATTATTAACAAAATGGAAACAAAGTAAATTACTCTCAAGGATTTCAATCGACATTTTGCAAAATGCACGAAAAAGTTAAAATATTTGTCATTTATAAAGAATTTATGTAAAAAAAAAACTGTAAAAATTGTTCTATTTATTTTTAGTACAAAGCTAATTTAAAAAATGTATAACTTATGAAAATATATATTCGTGCTTTGTTTGAAAGAACTTGCAACCAACAAGTTAATAAAAAAGTTTCCAAATGACATAATGCATTTATAAAGTTACTCAAATGTGTTAATATTATATGCATGAACGTATGTATGTATGTGTGGCAATGTATCTAAGAAATATATGCTAATGAATAAATTTGAAAAGGTACGTCTCTTGGCATTCTTGAACTTGACTCGGGCGCCAATCTTAGACCGCTGCTAATCAGAGCCCCAATTCCAGACGTTGTCGATCAGCTGTTCGAGTCGCCGTTATGGGGCGACTAACAGACTCGCCACACTGGATCCACTCTGGATATATATTTATATACATACGAATACAAATACAAATACGAGTACGAGTACGAGTATGGTCAGTTATTTTTATAATCAATCAGAGGCAGCTTTAATATGTAATTTGAATAAATGATTTATAATGTAAACATTGAAAGCGAGTCTTATACTACGTAATGTATGTAGATTTCTTATTTATGTGTTGTAATTGATATAAGTAGCTAATTGCGCACGACGCCCATTCGACGCTCTCTGCGGACCATATTACACATCTGAATATACATATTTATATACATAAATATGTGTATATATTATATATATGTCTATTTTATATGTATGTGGATCAGTTGAGCGCCAGCTTATCTAAGGAATCCTAGCCAACGTCAATAACGGCTCGACTTTTGCCAGCTGCATGCCAGCATGGTGTTTATTAACTCATTAAAACTGCATATTTTTACCCAAGATGCAGAACTACTTAATTAACTAGCGACAATCTTACACTAGAACGCCACAATTAGGCGCACTGCAATGTCTGCCAAATGCAATTAAAGACTGCCAACCACTGCAAACGCTGCTCGTGATAAGCGTCAATTGATTGATTTTTGTCGCCTCACATATAAATTATATGAAAATTATAAGAAACATTGACGTAGCTATGGATGAGAAAAGATGTAGCCAAATATGAATATAAAATAATATTGATAAATGTTAGTTGTGCAAATTTAATTAAATTTAGTAATGAGTAAGACTCCTTCAATCCAATTAATATCAGTACTACTAAAAGATGTACAAAAATGCACTGGCTTGTCTAAGCAATGCTTCTATACCTGTCTGGTAACAATTAAATCTCTTGACAGTCTCATCTGATAAATGTAGAGTTTAGATTAGAATTCATTTGAGAAAACAAAGCATTTTAGGATATCAAAAGAAAATCTTAGCTAAAGCTAGGGAACCAACTTCTGCTATACAAGAGCCTGTAAGTAAAAACATGGTCTCAGCACAAGCTTCAAAAGTCTATTTGCTCAACAAAAATCAGGATATACATGAAGAAGTTAAATTGTAGAAAAATGAGCAAGGCTTAGCAATGGATATACGAAGCGATTCGCTTGGCATCCTAACAGCCAACTATTATCAATTCAACCTGTCCAAGTCACAAAACTTCTATTATTCCATCCAGTATACAAAACTTTAATGGCAGGCAATGCAATGTCAAGTATTTTAGTGATTGACATAGTCTAACTTATAATGCCAACTAAGAAGAAACAATATTTAAATACAATATACAAGCAAGCTACAGCACACAAATTATAATAATCTAGAAATATATTTTCTTTATAGCGAATTATAAAAATATTTGACCAGAGTTGCGGCTTGCCGACAACTGGCCCTTTTGGCTACGCCCATGTTCAAGTAAAGAGCACCCAAAATAAAACCCATCACCCAACACCCATATCCCAGCACCCAGCACCCAGCACCCAATTCAAGTGTAACTCGTGTGCCGCGTCATCTGGCAAAGTATGCAAATTTTCATGACGAAAGTCCAGTCGGACAAAGTTCAGTGACCGGGGGCACCCAAAAAATGAAAAAATAAAATAAAAGCAAAAGCAAAAACAGAAAAAGCGCAAAGCCAAATGAAATTTTCATATAGCCTCTTTTAAAAATAAAATGCGAAACTTTTACAAAAAGAAAAAAAAACAACAAAAAAAGAGTTGCAATCGCTGGCGTGCGTGTATTTTTGTTATTATTAATTGTGGGTGAGGCTGTGGGGTAGGGGGAGGGGGAGATGTTGGGTGCTGTTGATGTTGGCGCACTTGTCAGCTGTGGCTAAATGTAATGCTAAAGCTAAAGCAACAGTCAAAGCCAAAGCCGACTTCCCCCAACCACCCCCCACTCTTTCCACGATAACACTTGCAAACCGGCTGCGCTTCTCGTTGTTGTTGTTGTTGTTGCTGCTGTTGTTGCTGCTGTTGTTGTTGTTGTTGTCAAAAGCGCAAACGCCGGCAGCAAAAGGTTCGATTTCACTTTCGCACGCTGTCGCTGACGTCGCACGTTGCTGGCGCTACTGGAATGAAAAAAAAAGACAAGAAGAAGAAGCAGATGGAGGGGTTGGAGCTGTTTGGGGGCAGCTGAGTGTAACAGGGGCAAACTGCGCTGAGGTCTGGGTCTGTCATGTGGTTCAGGTTTCTGGTCTCGGCTGCTGCTGCTGCTGCTGCTGCTGCTGATGCTGCTCTTGCTGCTGCTGCTCTCACTGCTTTCTTTCAAATGGAAGTTATCACCTCTGCGCCTCTCCCTCCCTCCCTCTCCCTCTCTCTCTCTCTCTCTCCCTCTCGCTTTTTCTCACCGGATCTAAAGCGCTCGTATCGCTATGGATTTTCATCATGACCCGGAGAAATTGCTGAGATGATTCCAGACTGTTCTGCAACTCTCATTGGGCTTTTGATTTTAAATTATTTTTTGTTGCATTTTTCTGTGGCATTCCATTTTTGTCCTGTCGGTAAACACTATTTTGCCTTGTTTCTGAAACAGTCAAAACGATGCAATCTATTTTTAGTAATTATTTTAGTCACACACTTCTTTTATTTGAGGAAGATATTTTACTAGGCATATTTCAAGCAATTTAAGTGGATGCATCTAAAAATTAGTTTCTTCATTTTAATTTTATTATGGAGTCTGTGCACTGTAATCACTTGGATATATTGTGCATCTCACTGCTAATACCGCTTCAGTCCTTTCAAGGCTGGAATGCGAGGATTGTGTCTGGTTTCAGAGATCTCCAGCGTTAAGCGTTGAGATTGAAGGCCCATAACTGAGCGAGTCTCAGTCTACTTATTGCCGAGCAGTTTTCCCCAATGTGCTCTGGAGTTTTCTTACTCTACACACGCCATTTCCATAATTTTTGGAGTTATCTAAATGCTTGTGCATCTTGTAGAGTTCCGTGGGGAACCCAGTGTATATCCGAAGATAGTTTTTACTCATATTCAGATAATCACTAGTCGAAAACTATTGTGGATTAAGCCGAGTCTACAAAAGTTGCTACCTTTCTGGGAACCAGTATATCATTACTCCATATTGGTATTTCCAAGTTTAGATGATTAAATTAGTCAACTGTAAAGAATTTTGAATGCAGCACTCGCAGTTAATATTGAACAATTAATCGTTTATGGATTTGATCTTGGAGATATGTAAATTGATACTTAGTCAAGATATCATTTATATACACAGATAATAATTTGACGAAGTTATTAACCTTTTAGCAAATATATCCAACATTTCATATTCAATCACTCTAGTTTTTCTCATAATTTTCTGTGTGGCAGCTATGTATAAGTAAACTTGCATTTATAAGTCTATTTTTAATGGCAAATGCAAAACAACATCGTGCAAAAAATCTTCCTGAATTACACAAACGCGGAAGATTTTCTTGCTTTAATGCTTGCTACTCGCACATTTCATGGATTTGCCAGTACTAACAGCATTTTCATGGCATTTTCATTAAGGTTCACATGTGTGTGTGTGTGTGTGTGTGTGTGTGTGTGTGTGTGTGTGTGTGCTGCATGTGAAACTAACAGTTAAATTAGCAGTTTTTTGTTTCGTATGTCGCTTCACGGCACTGACGCTACAATTTTCCACTGTATCTGGCCCGATACTTTGAGTTTTGAATTCGCCCTGGTCTGTGTTTTATTTTTCTTGTTGTTATTGTGTTGTTGTTGTTGTTGTTTGCATTTTGGTTATTTTTGCAATTTATAATTAAGTTGCAATTTGGCATGCGAGCCAAGA